AGCAACCCCCCTTCTTCGAATAACTAAACGAAATTTTCCAGAAACCGACTACCACTTCCGACAACTCTAAGTAGCCGCGTACCCACAGAGAGTATCCGCGCAAGGTCTACCCGTTTACGGTTACCAATAGCTTTCGTACTTTCATCGCGAACACCAGCCACGCCAGCCCCCTTGCAAACCTTCCTATGTACAGCCCGCGTGCACCGTACCATTGCCTACTGCATGTACAACCCAGCGATCCGTGATCGGCCTGTAAATGTATTATACACTTATATGATTCTCCGTCGGTACGCGGCACATTGGCCGCGCGTGTAAGACGAGATACCAATAGATTAACGAAGATCAATTGTAGCCCGAAGAGCCAGGATTTTTATTCTCTCGGCACGCATTAATCCATTGACGTCGACGGGGCAGAATGGTCGATCCGGTTGGACGAGCCTATAAACTGGGAATAAAATAATCGTACGTGATGCGAGACTCTCCTCCGCGATAAGTTACATATATATATATATATATATATGTTCTTTTAGCGAGAAGAAAAAACGACAGTTTTAATAGTCGTCCCTTGGTAGAGACGATATACAAGAAATAACGAAACGTCTGCGCTAATGATGCCTCTCTGTTTCTTTTTCATTTTCTTTAGCGTCAACCTTAAGGTTACCACAGGAGATTCAGAGGATCCAAACAAACGATCATCCGGATTCCCTGGTGTATCGTAGAGGTAGTCCCGTGTACGTAGACTCGTCGTCTGCTCGATGTAGATAGTCAAGGGCTGTCAGAGGAGTCAACAGACTGAAACGCTACACCCGATGATCCAGAAGTCGCGTGGATCCTTGTAGGGCGACCGAGTGGTTGGAGTGAGAGTAACGTTTTTAGCTTGTCTCCCGGGAGCGGCCCGGAGACCGGGATAAAAACATAAGAAATACGTAAACCCGTGGTGATACAAATAACAAAAAGGACGTAGCAGGACTCGGGGATAAAGCAAAAGGTAATCGTCAACAGGCCCGAAGGATCAAGCCCCGCCAAGTAATCGTGCGATCCTCTCGACGAAGCGAAAGAGAGTCGAGATCGGCAAAACCTGTCGCAAGATGGCGGATGTGTGCTGGATGCCTCGGGAGAATGGATACTGGGATAGAATCGAGTCATGAGAACCGGCCTTTACTGTGACTGGAGTACGTATGTCCGACTACTGAACTCTGTGCTGGTGTACGGTAGCAGATACTAGTGCCGGTACCGATCTCTTATACTTTTACTTCTTCGAGACACCCAATATCCGTTTTCCCTTCTTCTTCCCAGTTCGACTTTTCATTGCTCTTATTCCAACCGAGAAATACTTATTGTCGTTAACCACACTAGCTCCCTGGCGCCTAACCACTAATCGTAAAGCCTATCGGCAGGGCAGGGACTGGGTGTGCTGCTCGCACTTGGCTGCCACTTGGTAGTAACCTGCAATCCGAGTGAGCAAAGGCGCTCGGAGCGGCTTCACCGTTCACGAGAAGGAATGCGGCCGCTTTGGAGAGCCGCGAGAGGATGAGAGGGGCAGAGGGGAAGGAAAGAAGAAAGAGAGAGAGAGAGAGAGAGAGAGGACTGGACTTGGTTAGCGATGGCTTCGAGCTGACACTGTGCTTGTTCTTTTCACTCCTGATGATAACCATCCGTTGACTGCCCACAGATAACATTGGAAACGGATCTTTAAATCCGTATAAACAGATCCACGAGCAAACAACGATAAAAGGATAAAAGAGATGATATTTACTTGGGGAGGGGGAGGGGGGGCAAGGGGGGAGAAAAAAATTTTTTTCTGACTCATGCAGTTGCGAGAACAATGAATATTTAAAGAGTCCGATGCTGCGGGTATACCGGAGAAATAAAAAGAAGGGAGAAATGAGACTATTGATTATTGGCAGTAAGAAACACTGATTGCGCTACTCGTTATCGTTATACTGCGCACAAGATGGTGTGGGCTTGCTGACCGATTAGCCGGCTCGCCAGGACATTTTTGCAGACGGGAAAATCACGAGAGGGAAAAGGACAGCACGTGCGGGTCTCGTTTGCCGTGATAGCCGAGCCAGCTGTGCGCGAGAGAAACTGCGGGACTCTCGTCAAGGATTTTTCGGTAGACTGTGTGTGTGTGTGTGAGAGAGAGAGAGAGACTTTTTCCTTCGTTACAATTATTATAATAGATATGAGAGTACACGTCTGCAAGAAGTCGCGTGCCAGTCGCACCCGTATGAAATCCTTTCTTATTGTTGATATCACGCGAGTTCCCATGATATAATAACGAGTATGGACCACGTGTTCCGGACGGTGTGCGGTTGTTAATTTTCTACGGCGAGTAATCTAATATCTGGCATCGAGACGTTACCGTCCAAGAAGTCAGCCAAGCGCGTACAGTGTATCGCGGTAATAAAGCGAGCACGTGGCACGGCTTTCGAGAACTTTTAAAAGAGAAACACATCAGCCTGCAGCGTGGATAGACTACGTGAGTATCTTCCGGAGAATCGTGAGCTAGTCAAATGCGCTACTCGTGCGAGATACGGAGCTGGCTTGAGTGGGTGAAAATAAAAAATAATAAGTGAGAATATAACGAAAAAAAAATTTAACTACGCAAACGAGAGAGCTTTCCCTTCGCTTTCGAAAGCAACGTTATTTCCAGAGTCAAGCGAGCGATCGTTACGTTTGGCTCCGCTGCACCTTCGGCGATAACACAGTTGACAGCTTTGATAGTCTTTCAGGCATTTTCATAACAATGCTAAAACCGAGAATACCGATTGCGCATTTCTTTTCGTGTAGTTGGTATTCCGTAAAGGCGATTGCCATTTTCGAATGAGTGACGTAACCCCGACGCAGTGTAAACATTCGGACTTCATTACGGTCAACGAGGCCGGTTTACTTTGGTACGATTTGGATTGTGATCTAGGGGAACGTGGTTCGTACGCGTTCGGATGATAAATTGTCGTCGTTTAAATCCAGTACGAAGTTATCGATAGGTTTGTACTTTTTCAAGTATCTCAATAAAGTTATGGAGCGACGATTAAATTACAGTTTTGGTCGGATTGAGTTTTCCTTGACATTCCTAAAGGTCGTTATAAATATATGAACCTGTTTACGTCTCCTGGATACGAGTGATTCCTTGAGGATATGGAAAATTCAACCATAAATAATCACAATCGGCGTAACGTCGTCTCCTTGTAAACAAAATCCACGTGTCTCACGTCTCGCAATTCCCATTGAAATATCACGAAATTTTCATTTAGTCGTTCATTTGACAATATTCACTGCTCACTGTATATAGTCCTCTGTCCATCATCTTCCACACGCGTTATGTACGTGAGAAGGCACAGGCACGCGCGCACTCACGGATCCGCATGCTTCAGTTTCCAATTCAGGTCGTCGAAACGAGATTGAATGCAGAACCGGATAGAGAAATACAGTTGAGACGAACAGAGGGAGGAGAAGGAAGAAGTCGTAGAAAAAGATCAACGGGTAGACCAGAGTGGATGATATCTGTTTGTAGAAGGATAGTCATGGCAATTCATGAGCATTAAATAATTCCGTATTCCAATGGTGTTTACATCGTTGTCGACGGCACAAGAGAGACAACAATAAGGTATATACAGTACGTAAACGAGAAGATAAGATACACGAGAGTCACATAGAACGCGGCTAAAATTGGTAACATGGCGCAGGCATCAGCTGGACACGGCGGGGACTCTTATTAGTGGATTAAAATTAGTTGGATTAATATGCTTACCTTCGTCTAGTAGGCGCTCTACGTGTATGAAGACATTAGGGAAAGCAGCTAGCTGCTTCCTGTCTTTTAGTAACTGTGACAGATAGTCCGCTATACTTTGCGTCGTCGTGTTAGTATTATCACACATTGCAACTACTCGATTATATCTCTTTCACGAGCGCGAATATTAAATGTTTTCCACGAGTGACGAGGAGTAGCCGAGAGATATCTGACTCTTGCCGCTGCTGCTGCTGTATATTTGCTGTTACTGTCGCCGTCGCGATTCAGAGTTCTGGCTACGACGTTATACCGTGTGTCCCGTGGGTGTCTGTCACTGCCGCGTCACCGTACGTGCTCGTGCAAATTAATCGGCTGGCGTTAAGATCGACAGGGTGAGTCGGGTGAGAAACTTGCGAGCGTACGCCGTTGTTATTACGAGTCAATAGAGAATGGTATAATCGTCTAATAACGTAGGAGAGAGCGATCTCTCTCTCGCGCTCTACTCGGTTAAGGTTACAGGTTTTGCGGATTTATCTCGGGGTATGTAAGTACGCGCGCTACGGGACTCTCGGCTCTACTGGGCAGCTCTGCATGTGCCGCGCTGAGCCACCCGAGAACTTCTCCTCGTTCGCGCATGCGCCGATGATCCTTCCTAATCGGGCGCATGCGCCAACGACAAACGCACCTCTCTGTCTTCCACCATGCTTTCCGCCCACTACCATATACGGCTCCGCATACGCGCGAGAACCGAGACACGCACCATACCATGCTGTGAAGGTTGGATGTGTTTCTTCTGCAATGACTACGCCTGCTTCTTGGCTTCGCTCTCTCTAGTCGAGTGTACCGCGGCTATACCTACCCTCTGCTCCTCCTCGTTCCTTACCCATCGTCTGCTAGGACAGAACACCCCACCCATTGCTGCGACGCGCGACGCGCGCTCGCCTCCTCGCCAATCCTCATTCTACTCGTTCTCTGCCTCCTTCTCTTTACTCCTCTGGTCCACGTACTGTCCTTCTTGGTACACTTCTCTTTTATTCTATACCCGTATACACGCTACTCTTACGATATATTTTACTCTTCTCCCTTACCTATTTAATGCATTCACTGTACAAACTGTAGTCTCTGTCACTGCTTAAACACACCTACGAGATCTGAGAACGGTCGCTTGGCTAAGAAAAGTGTAATTAACTCCTGGTAGTCCTGAAGCTGATTAAAAAGAAGTACTGCCTAATCGAGCATGTTTGATCAACTGCTATTTTCTACTTGATGATAGCTTCTGCGTGTTGTCAATGGATTGTGGGTATCTAAACAATTTACATGATCAGCCTGAAAGACAGAGGTTGCTCCATTACCATTGTTGATGATATCATAACAGTCTTTGTCTATTAACTTATGTTATATATATACTCAATTTTTATATGAATTCCTCCTAGATTATGCATTAAAGTCTCAGCCTTCATACTCATCGTACCAAGCAATATTCGAATTTGAAACTGGAACGAGGTGCACCCGAAGAATAGACCTTCGGTAATAAAAATCTTCCTGGATATTGCCACAGTTCATTTCTGTATGCATTACTCAGTTACGCCCAAAGCTCTTACTATGGTGCTGTACAGCATGCTCTGGAATGCATAATTAATATATCCACCTACCTTGTTTTAATCTCTCAGATCGCATCGCATCTCGTAAATTCAAGAAGCGAGAAGACGGAGTTTCGGCGAAGATAATTATTTTGACGAAGAATAATAATTGAATGAATTGTATACATCTCCCTTACGTTGACCTTACATCATGCTCAATGTTAATTTCCAATGTAACCGATGAAAATTTTTGGAGTCTTTCAGTCTTCCAATAAAAATTGCAGAGAGTGGTTACAGGGGTTACAGCAAGTTGACTGCTGGCATAACCTGAAAGAACCCACGGATCAAGCGTCCCACGACTAACCTAGATTTGATATTCAAAAGGTAAGAGAACGCATAAAGCGACAAAAAATTACACGTAGGCGATTTTTCGTTGGTCAATCATCTTCTAGTCTCGTCTACCCATCGTATAAAGAAACTCTTTTTATATAAATGGCATTTAAACGCGAGAAATGAAGTCTTTACAACCGTTACCAACAGTTATGAGAACCGTGAAATCATTGCATCAGACATGTTTATTAGGCGCCACTCGGATTTTTCTATCTCTATATTCATACGCTTATTATAAGATATCAGGGGATTCTCATCTCACTCAAGAGTTATCACCGTTAACAAGACATCAGTCTATTACGACTTTGCATTAGTCTGAATTAGAAAATACTTGGATACAAAGATAATAATAAAGTGCAACGCGTGTTTGACCTTTTATTTTTTACATACGAAAATATTCATGCAATCGTGCGTGTACGCCATCTTTGAATGACATTAAAATTCTTTCCAACTTTCTTTCGGCATCCTTCTTGTCCTTCGTAAAGCGTGTCCCTTTTGGCCAGCATGACAATGCCGTCATTCCGCCATTTATGAGAGTACGTTTAAAAGGCAAGAACCATGTTTATCATGAGATCATCAGACCGCGATGCTGGTACCGCGCCATCCTGTAAGACGTTCTCGTCCTCCTCAAACTCCACAGAGCACTATCTTTCACAGAATTCTCTTATTCGTTGAGAATAATTTTTATGACGAATCATTCGAAGCGGTCGAGCGACGGTTAAGACGACGATGACGTTTACCCTCGTCCTTAAGTCTAGCCTTAAAGGGAAATCCACAACCGCGACACAGTCGTTGCAGTTGAGTTCAGCTCCTCTAATCAAGATTGCTTGAATTTTCCAATAGATGGCGAAAGACAACGTGAATCGGATCCGCCATTTAAAATAAATTAAAATGACAGTCTCCTTTCATGGTACACTTACGTTTTGTATATCCCCTCCTGATTGAACTAGAAAAAAATTATCATTCATGTAATTTGCCATTCATTGATCAACGCTTGATTCGATTTATTATTGATTTATACCCGTAAGACACATTAATTATTATTATACATTCCAATGCATTCTACAGCCAATATGCAATTCCCTATCAGCTGAGACGAGGATCTTGGAACCGCCTTAGTGTTCTCCCACGGGCGTTACCTTCTACGTTGTCCAGCGCCTACACGTATATTGGTTAATAGTAATGGTGACGTCACGCTTCCTTACATGGCCCGTCGTGGAATCAGGTGGGAGTCAAATGTTATAAATTATTATTTCTTTTCGCAATGACATTCTATTCTGTTCTCCACTCCAAGTAATTTCGAGGTTACAGGTTGTCAAGGTGCCCATAGGGTCCTGACATTTCTTCAGTAAAATATTTCGGTCTCTACTACCCTCCTTCTCGGCCCTCATCACGCTCGTAGCAGCCTCAATTGTCATTCATAATAATTCTCATGATACATTTTAAGCATCCTAACGATTTGAAGAAAAAAAAAGACTTGTTCGCCATCTTATAAATTTTCTCATAAAATCAAGCTAATTCCATGACACTTTAGACGGCTTTTGGTTTTTCAGTTTCTCGAGAAGATTATCGCGTGAGCCACGCATCTATCGTTCGCTTGTATATCTCCTTTGGGACAGACCTATGTATCTGTTCTACGGTCCTGACCGTCAGGCTGACGCATAGTCAATTAATTTAGCGCTTGTCAAGAGACACGGCGTGACGGTTAAGCTCAGGCGTAAACTCACCGTTTCGCGGATCTACGATTTCGCAATATGAATGACATGCGAAAGGGCGATGGTTTATAAATAAAGGCTATATTTTTACGCAGCCACCACCGACTCTATTACATGATTCAACAGCACAATATTAGACGCGCGTAAACTTAAACGTACCCTTGCACTATGATAATTCGGTGTTGCCAGGTGACCGGGTTTCGTGCCAGTGCCACGGTGGTAACCCAGATAACTCTAGTTACATGTCATCGTATAGGATTATACAATGATAAAAATATGTACTAATCATATACACGTTAATGATAAATAACAATATTGTTACATCCAAGAAATTTATTCTGTTGATGTTCCAGGGTGTTCCTCTGTACAAACGATTGAAGCCTTCCGTACCAGGACATCTTTATTGGCTAAGGAGACGATGAGAATCCGGTCTAGAATTATCTTGCGAACTGTCGCTTGTCCTTCCCACGTTTGCCCACCTGGCGGAAGGTCTTGCTTCGCTCGATCTGTCGTCCACCGCTGGAATTGTTCATGCTCTTGAAGTAGCCGTAGCCGCCTCCGCCTAGTCTCTTTCGCGGCCGCGAGTCCTTGCTCACTCCCACTTCTGTGAGATAACCTCGTTAAGGAAAACCAAAGGGAACAAGAAGACGTATCGAGGAACCGATTTCCATGAAGATGTCGACAATTAAATTTTCAAGAAAACCAAAGCAAATACCGATAACAGTATCGGTGCGTGGTATGTCGATAAATTAGTAAAAAATAATTTCCAAAAAAAAGGATACTGAGGTCAACAGCTGGTGGTACGACGAATCCAAAGGATTTGGCGACCTTCGCCAAATCTACTGTCTCAATGTCGAAGATCTGCTTCAGATGATGGGAATCGTAGGCTCTCACGTAGGCCTTGAACGCTTCCTTCGCCGACGTGTTCAAGAAGTAGTTTTTCGAGATCAGCTTCTCCAGCTGAAACAGGCGATGAATCGTGATCCAGTTTTCGTGTTTAGAAAGTCGTCTTATCTGATGAAGGAACTTATGGGATGTCCATGGTGAACGAAGTTAAAGAACGTGAGTACCGGATGGCGATTCCAGGTGTTATCAGAAACAAGATAATTGATATCGACGGGTTACGCACTTTTCACGATAAAGAAATAATGCATTCCTTATATTTTTATACGTATCTCTGTCTCTTGGTCAATGTATCGATACTTGACACTGAATCACTGCCGATCTTACGACCGTAATAAATTCCTGGAAAAAAAATCATATCCGAGTTTCCCTCAATCCGTGTACCCAGTGTACCCAAACGAACAGTCCCAAGACCATTAGTATTTCCGTATCGAACATAACAACGTGTAAAATCCTTCCTAGAATTAATGAAGTAAATCAGAATTCACGGTCGTGTCGTCCATGCTGTCAATTCGATGAGACACGAGCGCGTCTCAAATACAAATGGTGCAAAACAGTTATTGCGCAAGTCTCCACCATCGAGATAGCATTTCTCTTTCCCTATTAACTACGTCTCGCACGAAAGCACAATACTTTTTCATTGGACGGTATCAAATTTCACATTTGTATTCCCCCTGCGTCCCTCATCGAGTTGTCCATCGGTTACAGTGTCTTACAAAATTTTATGGTTATTCCACAGGAACGCCATCGAAATCTGCTCTTCCGCCGGCTCGTTTACCACGTTCGAAAGGATGTCGCTAATCTAGGCGAGGCATGTAGGTGTGAGCCTTGAAATCCATGCACGTGTAACGAATGCCAGTTCGATCGTATCCAGCATCACATTTAATACGCAGCAATCCCATGCAGTGAGCATTTAACAGTATAGTCTTTTCAGAAATGCCCGTTACTCTCTCCTACGATCCACGGATTGGAGTGAGAAGTATGGGATTTAAAAAAAAAAAATAGAAATTCGTTCCACGAATCTCCTGGAAGACGTTATGGAACACCCACGTGATGTATCCACCGCCAATTATGGTAATCGAAGCGTCGCGACGTCTGTCCGTTATGCGGGTACAGAACAAATACTTGAGCATCCATCGGGGCGACGGGTGAGTTTTGCATAACCATACGTTCCCTTGGTAATACGTTCGTCCTTTCGCCAGCTATGGTGAGAAGCATTTCGACCGGTAGCGAGATCTTGACGCCAGATCCTGGATAAGGGGACCAGGCATAATCCACCTAAAAAGTCCGCGAGAACCGGGAGAGATTCTGGACTGGATCGGGTCTGTTCGAAAGAAAAGGGAGTGGTGCGTGAATCACGCGTGTGGGCGCCACAGCACGCCTCCCCCTTGCACTGGCTCTCACCGTCATCTGCTTCTGTCTTCTTTTCTCGTAGCGCAATTCTTGCCTCGAGAGACGCCTCGTTCGCTCCCACCAGCCCCCAGCGGTGAGCGGGAGGCGAATCAACACGGTGCCCAGGGTCCCACGGGTTTGGTTGTGCCAAACGTAAACAGGAGGGAAATAACAAGGGAGCTTGCGAATCTTACGGGAGACACGAGGAGAATCGCAATTTCTCACATCTAGATCGTTAATGGATGTTCATCCATGATATATATATATATATATATATATATATTCGGTCGTATACATATATATAAGACCGTGAAATTCTCAAGCTCCGTTTATGGAGTCTCAGCAATTCACCCATCCAAGTTGTTCATTGCTGCTGTTAATTCGGCTGTTTACGTCTCTTGGTTAGGATCACTTGGGACGACCCTTGTAAATTTTTTATTCTTCTCTTAACACTCCCGTTACTTGGATCGAGCGAATAAAAACTTAGTTCGAACGATCGCCTGGCGCTTGAATACGTCTCTTTCTTTTTCAATCCTTTCCTGGGACCACGTCACAGCCGAAGACCCTGCCTTTTTAGGCGAGCTCGGCCCACGTATCACTCGACTGTTAATGCCTTTATCCAATGGAAGGATCGATTCTTCAATTATCATTAAACCCCCACGTAATTAAGTAGATTGCAGAGTGCCTTGTCGATAATGGCGGATGCTTAGAGCGTTTAGTTCTCCTTCCGTCATTTGTTAGTTACTATTTTCTTGCTTAGACATCAAAGTAACACGTAACTGTCTTTATACAACTATAAACTGGTAATGGAAAAATAATAATAACATACCGGAATCGTTGTGCTGTGTTATATATATAAGGGTACGTCGCGATGCTACGCACCCTTCTTCACTGTTTTCTTATTAATATTGAAACAATCCCGATGTTTCTTTGCTCAAGGTTTATCACGTAATGCTTCACTTTATGACTTACTTGGAAATTAGGTCAATTGGCATAGTAATACTATTACAATTATCCCTCTGCTAGGATCGAACTGGTTTACCAACTATTTTATGACTCTTCGAAGAAATAGAAGCTCCCACTCATGTACCAATTACAATTTTCCACTTAGTTACTGTAAGTCAAGTCAACCAAGAGTCTTCTGTTGCTTGTGTGTATTTCTTAGTGCTAGGGAATTGGATCCATATGGCGCTTCATAATTGTATTGGAATAATAGTCACATAGTCAAGGGCAAGAACTATGGAAATTGCAAGCTGTACGACTGTTTACAGTTGAACGTTAACAAAAATTCTTTTATGAAGCAATTTAAAGTGGCTGAACGTTGTGTTGATTATAATCTCTGAATTTAATGTAGGTGGATCAATGATATTGTATGTCGTACATCGTTCTAGAATTATGGAAGCGCGGATACCAATAATAGACTTCCGGATACCGACAAACCTAATGAAATGCCAGTCCTGGCTTCTCCTGCGACACGTATGTGAATGGCGTGTAACGTGTGAAGAGGGAGGTTTATCGTGGTAGTGGAAGGTATTTATAACGAGTCTTAGAAGTGAGAGAGCTGCTGTTTCTACTTTCGAATAACGTGGGTAGCAGCGAAGTATCTTAAGTCATGAACAGTCAGGATAGCTTAAACATTTCCTTTCGGCAGTTTGAATAATTTTTGATATACTTAGTTATGACTCACCTGTAGTTGTATGTCTGCGATCTTATTCCATGAAAAGTCAAATTCGTTTACCGGTACTCGGGCTTGTTTTAGGTAACGCAGAAATCCAAGCTCCTCAGGTCGCAGTACCAGTAATGCATGACCACTGCTGCCCTCACCACGAGCTGTTCTCCCCACGCGGTGAATATATTCCTGCAATAGTGTTAACTCTTCAGTAAATGCTTACAGTTGATTTTCTCTCAAAAACATATAAACTAGTGGCAGCACCTTAGGATCATCTGGAGGATCGAATTGTACAATCCAATCGACATCAGGAATATCAAGTCCTCTGGCAGCAACGTCGGTGCATAAAAGAATTCCGGAAGTGGCATTGCAAAATTGGAAAAATGTTGTTGTTCTTTTTGTCTGCTTTTGCTTTCCCTGTTAGATATGAATTCATTGGTGACTAAGTTGGTCAATAGAAGAAATTATGTTTGATATTTATGTACTTACATGTATGCTCATTACTGGTAGATCGATATAGTTCAAAAGTTCATGATGAAATTTGACCGACATACAGGAACTGAAGAAGACCATAACTTTTTTCTTTCGGTTCTTCTTCAGGAATGTAAAGAGAAGAAGGAATCTTTTTTCACTGGGACACACTACGTATCCCTGCTCCAATCCTTCGACAGTTGCCTTTTCTTTTTCATCATCGACTCCAACATATATAGGTTCCTTTTTGAGTGCAAGCGCAGTCAGCGCTTCAGTTTTCTTTGACTGCGTGGCACTAAATAACATAGTTTGTCTTCTTTCTATAAAATATTTTGTTTAATTATTTTGAGTTGTTTCAAATGAATGAATATTACTTAGGATTCAGCTTACTAGGTAAAATATTGATGATTTGTTTCAGTTCTTCTTCAAATCCTATGTCTAAAATACGATCGGCCTCGTCGATTATAAGGGACTGCAAATTTTTATATAGGAAATCAGCTGTATTTTGCAAATGATCAAGAAGGCGCCCGGGTGTCGCAACTATTATGTTAATTCCTTTAGCAAGCTTCTGGGCTTCCGTTTGTCTACTGGCACCGCCCATTAATAAACCGTATGTGTGATGATGATACTTCATAAGTTCCTTTAAGACGCCAAATGTTTGCATGGATAATTCACGTGTAGGGGATATGATAATGCAGCCAGTACCTACAAAAAAAATTGATTTTTTCTTTTGTACTTTGCTCATGTGTTTGGTGTGAATTTTGTTAATAAACTTTTACCATTGCGAGGCATAAATTTGAGTTTGTTAATGAGTTCCACAGCAGGTATAAGGAAAGACAATGTTTTTCCTGATCCCGTTTTAGCTGCTCCAACCAGATCCCGACCTTCCAATAGTGGAGGAATTGATCGTGCTTGAATTTCTGTCATGTTCGTGAAACCCATATCTTCAATAGCTTTCAATGTATTTTCACAAATTGTATCCTTGAGAGATGAAAAACTTGCACTATTCATTATTTCTAGGCCCATAGACGATCCTGGTACTGTGAAATAAATATTTGATCATTAGGAATATATAAAATTTAACTATTTACTGCTCATAAGAAAACTAGACCTTGTCAATATATGTCTAACTCACAGCTTTTACTAAGATCAGAAGAAACATCTTCCAATTCATTGCTATCATTATTTTCATCCTTGTCATCTTGTGTTTGTTCCGTCTGAGGTTCTGTTATTCCTTCATCTTCGTCTTCGTCTTCCTCTTCCTCATCTTTGTCTTCTTCATCCTCTTTGTGTTTTCTTGCATTCTTCTTTTTTCTTTCTAATGAAGCAAACTTCAAATATGAATACAGGACGCTTCAGTACAGCCATAAGTAACAAGAGTAAAACATACTTTTAGCAGGACTGTTCTCTGGAAGATTTCGTTTAACACCATGTCCATTCTCAATGAGTTTTTGTTCAACTTCATCCGAAAATTCTGGTGCATCTTCATCTAAAAATTGTTTAATTAACGTCATATGTGTACAACAGCAATCTAAAAACTAACCTCCTGATATCACTTACCATTCTTTTTTTGTGTTTCTCGTTCCTGAAGAAACTTCAATTTATTTTTCTCGCGCTTCTTAATTTTACGCATTAATACCTTGTTTGGTACAGACATGATTAGCGAAAGAATAATATTATTAATATTTATAAAAGAGCAATTTTATTCTAGCGTCCATGTGGTTACCATGCACATGATATTTCACTAACTAGCGTACTATACTATAGACTGTCAAACTAACGGGATTTTCTAATTGAATCTTACAACCTACAGCCGATTTCTATGAAAATATAGAGCGGTCAACTCACAATTTATTTAAGTTCTATGGTTCGATTTTTTTTTAAACTACTATATTTCTTTGTGGGAGTATTTAATTATTTATTATTGCTAGAAAAAATGAGTTTGTGGGTTGATAAGCATCGTCCGACTTCTCTAAGTAAATTGGATTATCATACGGAACAAGCCAAACATTTAAAAAATTTGGTATTTATATCTTATTAATAAATCCACTGTTTTTATCTAAGGTTAAGCCGTAACAATATCCCGCCAAAAATAATTTTTCATAATTTTTTTATTTATTCCAAATCGTGTTTATATGTTATGTATTTTTCTATAGACTGTAACATTAAAACCATTGTATGTAATATGTTATGCTACAGTGAAAATTCAAATTCTAAGATTCTCTTTTATTAAATAATGTTTTTTGTTAATAGGTACAAGAAAGTGATTTTCCTCATTTACTCGTATATGGCCCACCGGGAGCTGGTAAAAAGACTCGTATAATGTGTATCATTCGGGAGCTGTATGGTAGTGGAGTGGAAAGACTGCGTATGGAGACTATGCATTTTGAGGTACTTGTTTATACATCCAATTCTAACAGTTATAACATAGAAAATGTCTTTGTTACAATTACATTTTTGTTTCTTATGATTTTTGTAGACACCATCACAGAAGAAAATGGAAATAATGACGATCAATAGTAACTATCATATAGAAGTTAATCCAAGTGATGTTGGTATAAATGACAGAGTAGTTGTAATGGATCTTGTAAAAACAGTTGCACAAACTCATCAAATAGATTCTACTGGACAAAGAGAATTCAAAGGTAGATACCATCGAAAGAATCACATTTAATTTTGAAGTATTAACAGTGTACATGCGCATACGAATGAAACGTTCTTTCCAGTGGTATTATTAACAAACGTTGACCAGCTTACAAAGGATGCACAACATGCACTTCGCAGAACTATGGAAAAATATGTTGCCACATGCAGATTGATTTTGTGCGCGAATTCTACGTCGCGAGTTCTGCCAGCTATACGGTCTCGTTGCTTAGGTATAAGAGTACCATCTCCTACCATACCGGAAATAACGAGTATTCTAAATTCAATCTGTAAGCGCGAGGGCCTCAATTTGCCTGATAAACTAGCCACCAGAGTTGCCGAGGCGAGTGGCAGGAATCTAAGACGCGCAATTCTAATGTTAGAGGCATGCAAAGTGGAACAGTAAGAGAATTTATTATGTTATATAAGCCTTAAGATATCTTTTTTTCTTAAAATATCCTCCTTTGCTCAGGTATCCATTCACGCCTGAACAAAATATTACGGAACCAGATTGGCAAGTGTATCTGCGGGAAACAGCAAAATTGATGGTGAAGGAACAAAGTCCATCTAAACTTCTTCAAATTCGTGGAAGACTATATGATTTATTAATTCATGCTATACCCTGTGATCTCATATTTAAAGTACTCTTTCAAGAATGTGTAAAATATTGTGATCTTCAAATGAAAATGGACATAGCAGCTGTTGCTGCTGAATACGAGCACACAATGATTCGTAGTTCCAAAGCGATTTTTCATTTAGAAGCCTTTGTGGCTAAATTTATGGCTATATACAAACGCTTCATGGACTTGTCAGCTGGCGATTTTATGTAACTGCATTCATGCTCTTTTTGTTTTGGAAATAAATTTGTATAATTTTTTATAAGAGGTTTTTTTCAATTTTTTATAAGATATTTATCCAATAAATTCAACAGATTAAGTCAGAGTTTTGATACTTTGATTGCAACTTTTCTCGTTAGATGGCGCTAAGTATGCTGTAACTTGATTATGCTCCCATGTGCTATAAATTTTCAATTTGAAATTATGTTTATACATACACGTGGTGTCAGAGATTAATGTTATTGTTACAGTATTTAGTGATTAGCAAAGTGTTAAGAAGTAGTTAAATCCAGGATCGGATTCCAATTGAACCTTGTAGTCAATAACAAGATATACAATGGCACAGAGTAAAATATTTATTGGAAACCGTGCCCTAGGTTATGTGAGTAACCACATACCCCTTGTAACGAGGTATATTCAAAGAAGAAAAGAAAACTTAATAGTAACATGCGTGGGTAGAGCTTTCCATACTTATGGTTGTTCACATTTCACTCTCCTAACTGTTTCTGGAGCTCATCCTGCAGATATCAGTTGCCTTGCGGCAGATACCTATCACGTGTATACAGCCAGTGAAAACAATATTTATGCATGGCGTCGAGGAACAGAATTAAAACATACCTACACAGGTCATGAATCTCCTGTGCACATTATATTTCCTTTTGGACCACATTTACTATCTGTGGATGAAGACAGTAATATAAAAGTATGGGATATTAAATCAGAAGACAGTATACTTGAGTTAAACTTCAGTAACAATGTCTTTAAAATTACTACACTTCTGCATCCTAATACATATATGAATAAAATTTTGCTGGGCAGCGAACAAGGACAGCTTCAACTATGGAATATAAAAACTGTAAAAATGATTTATACCTTTAAAGGATGGGGGTCTCCGGTAACTGCAATGGAGCAGGCTCCTGCATTAGATGTTGTAGCCATAGGTTTGGCAAATGGAAAGATCATTTTACACAATATCAAATGTGATAAAACTCTTTTTGAATTTATGCAAGATTGGGGTCTTGTAACATCAATTACATTTAGAAGTGATGGTTACCCCATTATGGTCACAGGAAGTTTATCTGGTCACATTGTATTGTGGAATCTTGAGGAGAGAAAAGTAGAGAGTCAAATCTTGAATGCTCATTTTGCAACAGTCACTGGATTAAAATGTCTTCCAAACGAACCATTACTGCTGTCAAGTTCTCCTGACAATTCATTGAAATTATGGATTTTTGATTTGGCCGATGGAGCTGGGAGACTTCTACGTATTCGAGAAGGACACGCGGAACCTCCAACGTTCATTCGATTTTATGGAAACGATGGAAATAATATACTAACTGCAGGAGGAGACTCATCACTTAGGATATTCTCAACAGTGACGGAAACCTTTAATAAGAGTCTCGGTAGAGCATCCTTCAATAGGAAAGCTTCAAAGAAAAAAGGTCGATGTACAAATGATAATTTGATTATGCCACCTATTACGGAAATAGCTACAGAAATTACACGAGAGAAGGATTGGAATAACATAGCAGCAACTCACTTAGGATTGGCCACTGTCACTACTTGGTCTTATGACAAGTTAAAAATGGGTGACATGAAGTTGCTGCCAGAGAAGTTCCAGCGTAATCTTAATGTTACAGCAACAAGTCTCTGTCTAACTCATTGTGGAAACTTTGTCATAATAGGATATAACACAGGACACATTGAAAGATTTAATATACAATCAGGTCTACACAGAGCAAGTTATGGTAGTGAAAGTGGAGCACATAAAGGACCTGTTAAAGGAGTCATTGTAGATTTACTGAATCAAATAGTGATGACAGCAGGAAGGGATGCATTTCTCAAATTTTGGCATTTCAAACCTACCAAAGGTATGCCAGTCATCTAGTACTATTTCTAATTTTTTTGCAGTATGATGTACTAAACTATGCACCGTTGTTTTCCAGATCAAAATCCTAAACAAACAATAGAACTAGAAGAACCTGTAGAATTCATTAGGACACATCAAGAGAGTTCACTGGTAGCTGTAGCTCTAGAAGACTTCAGTGTGATACTCGTGGACCTGGATACGAGAAGGATAATTCGTCAGTTCCAAGGACACACAGGACGTCTAACAGATGCTAGTTTCAATCCTGATTCCAGGTGGTTAATTACATCTTCGATGGATTGTACGATACGTACATGGGATATCCCATCCTCCCACTTAGTTGACGTATTTCAAGTAAGTCTACAAATTATTTTCTCTTTATGCAGACCCTGAGGCATAATTCATATTAAATTATTCTTATGCAGGTCACTGATGCCTGTATCTCTCTACACTTTTCTCCAACTGGAGAGTTTCTGGCTACGGCACACGTTTGCAATTTGGGAATATACCTATGGTCAAATCGCACTCTCTACTCCCATGTTTCTTTGAGAGCTTTACCTACGGATGCAGCTATTCCTATGATGAATCTTCCTGGAGCTTTCACAGAAAAAGATGCTGAAACTGTCCAAAATGAGGATACCGTTGAGGAAGAGGAAGAATATACATCTCCGGAACAGCTGGCCGACGATCTCGTGACGATGTCCTCCTTAGCGAACTCAAGGTGGCAGAATTTACTAAACATAGACATTGTCAAGAAGAGAAACAAGCCTAAGGAAGCTCTCAAGGCACCGGAAGCTGCTCCATTCTTCCTGCCAACGATACCATCTTTGAATATACAATTCGATTTATCTAACGCTACATCTACAGAAGATAACAGTCGACTACTTACTCATCCAGATTTTCAGAGTCTCACATCATTTGGGAAAGTGTTACAGTCATCGGTGGAGACTAATGATTTTCATGAGGCCATCAAGATGCTCAAATCCCTAGGTCCAAGCTCCATTGATCTTGAGATACAATCCTTATCTATGAGCACGACGTCTTCTGTAATCATAATGTTACAATTCATGAAATTGATAAGACACATGATGGAGAGTAAAAAAGACTTTGAATTGGCTCAGTCTTACTTGGCTCTCTTTCTGAAAACTCATGGAAAAATGATAACCGAGGAAGATCAGCTGAGGAAATATCTGTCACAACTTCAGGATATACAGTTAGAAAATTGGTTGATATTACGTGAGAAACTTTTCTATGGTCTGAGCGTTGTGCAACATCTTAAGAAAATGTAATTTAAATATTCATTAAAGAATGACTGTACAAAGTTTTCTAAACTCGATGAATAAATTTGTAAATAATCGAGCATTGTATTCTGTCAGTACCTGTTTCCCATTATGCCAATAAATCATTATTTTCACTGAAGGGATTTCTTGTCAATTGCGAAAAGAATACTATAACATACAGTTTATTAGGAAAATAATATTTTTATTACAAATGACATTTTTTAATTTTTACATTATCTATATGCTAAGCACAACGTACAACAGTTCTTTCTGTTAAAATAGTTTAATTTCGCACTTACATCGAACCTGTAATGTATACTGATTTCAATGTTTCTCGTAGCTTATTTTTTAAACATAAAATTCAAGTGTAGCACCAAATCCAAATTAATCTTTCCCCTTTTTATTATCTTTGTATGATCTATGTGTTTTGACATATTATTTCAGTTTCACAAAAATAAAATAACGTAACATTACATATAATTGACGTAGTAAATAACTGTATTCTGAATTATGTTGCCCTGTTCTACTTCAAAATTTTCAGAGGTAAAGATAAAAAAAATGATTATTTTGTAGCAACGTATATAACAGAAAATGAAAAGTCATTGTATAGGAATAAACAAAGTCTTTGTCCAGGTGTTTAGGAATATTAGACATTTTTGATTGAGTACTTAATACATGTATTTATTCTCTATACATAAGAAAACTCTGTAATTGTTCTAGTGTAACCTGCTCAAGAGCTAAATCCTTAATGTAATATCTAAATGCATTTGTAATTCTGTATATACTGCGCTTTGTAGCACTTCTTAACGAAGCCGCTGTCAACCTTGTAACTTTCTCTTCATTTTGTGATTTTTTCACTAAGATTGCAGTCTTTTGTAGTTTATCAAGAGCTTGTTTCAAAGCTAATAGTGTTTCGATTATAGAGGATATGTCTTTCTGCACAATTCCATAAGGATCTTCTTTGAGGGATATTGCAGATAAAGATGAGATTGCTTCTGCAGCCCAAATCACTGGCTGACTGTTATTTAGAATATAGGAAACTTTACTGTCCGACTGCTCACCGAAGATGTAAAATATTAATGGCTTCGATAATAAATATTTTATGAAGCTCTGTTTCTTATTTTGAAAGAATTGGATAATGAATTGTTCATTAGGTGCAGCTTGTTGCGTAGTAGAAGGTGCTGTTGCAATTGGTGAGGATATCTTTGGTGTCATTAAATTTCGCATATGATACAGCTTTGTAGTTTCGTATAGATGTGTTCCTGCTACTTGCATGTGTGAAATTGCAGCAGGTTGTTGGTCCTTTTTGGCAGAACATGCTTCATTCAGATCATTTGTGAATTTTTTTATAAGAGCTAAGCATTTCTCTACAACTGAATTCCAATTGTAAGGATGCCCACCAGGCTGGCTTAGAGTAAACAATACTGATCTTCTATTTTTATCCTTCTGCGCAAGAGTCATTAAGTCCAGGTATCCTAGGTGCTGCATTATTGGTACTTTCTCCATAGTTAAAATCTCTGGCAGAGTAAGGCCACTGCTTTCATTTTTAAAAACACTGCATTGACCAATATCAAAAGGTACCCATTCTGTGAGATATGCTTGGAATAATAAATGCATAGTATTCATTGTGATCACAAAGAGTGCTGCGTATAACCAAAGATGAAAGAGTAAGGAGACATTAAATAATCCTGATAGTCGGTCCAAGGGTAATGTTTCCAGTGACATAAAGAATATAGCCAGGATTGCTTTACGACAGTATCCACCCAGAAAGTAATAAAATACTGCAAAATATAAGGTCAGCCAAATTGCACTAAGCATAGCACTTGGTAACGATTTGATAACTCCTCTTTTCATCTTTGAAAACTTGGATTGAGGAATTATTGGAAACTGTAAATATTGAAAATTGAAAAAATTTGTCTTGGCGAAGTAATATAAGCCTGTCCAGAAGCCACCAAGCAATAAGAAATAATGTTCTTCCACTAAGCAGGATCCATCCAAGGTCTGACACGCTGCTGTTAATGAACTGTACTTTCCACCTGCTACTGACAAATGTAGCCACACTAAGACTCCACCAATCAGTATATGCAAGCCACCGACCAGTAGATTGTGAGGTGTTAACATGTTGCAGAATATTACAAATCTACTCTTGAGGTACAGTGGTTTGTTCAAATAATTCTTGCTGCATATAATCCCCTGGAGAAATATTAATGTAGCCAAGATAATGAAGTAGCTCCACGTTCGGAAACATGTGATGATTTTCCAAGTGTCTTGAATCCAAGTTAGTGGATGGAGTATGCTCAAATTGGTAATAAGTATAATACAGCTCATAAAGAAGAACTGTACTATTATACTCGAGGCGATGGCCATGATTATTCTTCTATACAGGAATTCCTTGCTTTCTGCTTTGCAAATATCCGTCATTCTGTCGGTTTATTAAGAGCTAACCTTGTTCTATGAATAGTTCCGGCACAGATAAAGAAGACACTTCGTTTCAAGAATGTAAAGAAAGTTTTAAAGGCTTTTCTGCATTTCTTTAACAGTTCAGATCACTATGCATAATCTTTTCTTTTGTACAATAACACGCTACTAAATTAAAACATTACACAGCTAACAAAACTTGTTCTAATAAAACTTGTAGATGCCGGCAAAAACCGCTACAGTTTAAAAACTGTCCAGCACTTTAAATAAAAAAAAATTCACGATCTTCCATTGGTGGATGTTTTCACGTAATTGTGGATTAGCCTTTAAAAAATAGTATATGCAGCAGTGCTGCCTCTTCATTCACGTAAAGATAGCTTTATCCATCATTCTTAACATAATAGATAATTTGTACAAAGTGTAAGAATAAACTATTGTAAGTTTTATGGAGATCAATTTTTTATTGGATCAGGAATATTTTTTGATTTCAATAAAATTAAAAAATATAAATGCTCGCTCTTGCGTTTGTGATAAATTTATTCTCACTTATTTATTCAATCTCTATATTATTTATAATTGTGAAATTTTTAATAGAAATTATGTTGACGATTACATCAACCTACAATAGCGTGCTGAGGATTCATGGAATCCAGTCTCTCCTTGTTCCTTACACCCAGCATTATTATGAATCTGTGTCAACGAAGCAGTTACTGCAATAATAGCTGCTGCAACTGTTCCTGTAACTGTGCATAACGAATCTGCAAAGAACTCTCCCGTTCGTTTTGCCTGTGCACATCTTCTATCAATGCATTTATTCGTCTCGGTAACGCAGCTTCCTCTTGAGACTGCAAGAACTTAAATGTTGAAAGCTCAAGTTGCGCCTGTTCGATTTGATCCCACAAATCGTGATGTTGTTTTGTTAATCCTTGCGCTCGCGTCTATAGACAAATATGTGGTCAATACATTAAATCAGGAAGAATAAAGATATTTACTATGTATGGTATCCTTACCTGATATCCTCCGGTAAGTATCTTTAATTTTTTTTCCAGTTTTGCAGCCCTTTTAGCTTCTCGAGTCATGTGAGCTCTGTTCTCCTCTAACTTCCTTTCACAGGCTTCTATCCTGTCTTTTTTGGAAGCCAATGTTGCTCTTGTGTAACGTTTTTGTGGTTCCAGATACAAGATCTATTCAGGATTGTGTAAAAAAACATTGATTTGTATTTTGTTATTTAGCGAAAATTTATAATAATACCGTACCTGTGATAAACATTCTTCCCAAACTGTGGTATACGCATCCAAACTTAAATCTCCATGAGCCATACCCTCGCGTACTACTTTAATCTCCTCTTCCAACAAAGTCTTTGCCTATATTTTTGGGAAATATATTTTTAGGTTACATAAGTTTCAATATAAATCAATGCTTTGGTACTTACAGCAGTAAGTTCATCAGGTTCATAATGACCATAAGGATGCTGATCTAAGTACGCCTGCACCTGTGCCAACGCCGATGATGATTTCTTGGTACTAGGTTGTACAGGATTTTGCGTAGCGTCATAATGCAGCATAGTAATCATTTCTCTTTTTATTAACTCCTCAGCCTTTAATTAAATTTTTAAAAAATCTTATGATGGATCATTTGCGACAAAAATGAGTGATATAAAAATTTTGATATCATACTCTTTGTAAATCAGTCAATGGAGAATCAGTAAGTGGTCTCAGGATACTCATATTTGCATCTACCGGACGTGGTAAATCTCTTTGTATAACCTGAGATCTACGGGCTAAATCTCTTTTCCCTAAAGACAAAAATTATTCTCATTATATAAACCTCCTGTAAGAAATCATAGTACGAGTTACTCAATGATTTTTCACTTACTTTGCTCTAATAATTCTTGTTGTTTTCTAGCATCTACATCAGCCTGATCCTCTACAACATTATTAGTGGAAGCAACAGCTTCTTCGTCCTTGAAGTCTCCCTCGGGGACAACTATTTCATAATCATTACGCGGCACTGGCAATGTACTAAGTCCAGCACGTAGTTGTTCCTTGGTCTGACAGTAAGAATTTTTGTTTGTTTTTTTATTCTTAAATATAATATTTAATTGGGAGCACAAGATATACCTGTTTTTGAAGAGCTGGAGTTTCAGAACCTTCTAAAGCTTCCTCAGGGTTGATGCTGAGCTTATCCCTCACTGGTGTCGGTGCCACAACTCCACCTTGGGTTTTTGATGTAGGCGTATTGAATGAATTCACAGGGGTACCCTCGCTCCGCTGAGAACGGAAAGGTGTTGCCAGAACTGTATTTGGAGTAGCGACAGCATTTGTAACAGGTACAACACTGGTGAAGTCAGAATTATGAAGAGGAGTGTTGAGGCCACCTGGAAATCCAAATGTCAGAAGAATAATTGCCACTTTATAAATAAAATAATAGGTCATCGCAGAAGAATAAAAAGCTACCTTTCAAAGGCGTGTCGACATGGGTAAGAGCCATAACATTTTGCGCCTCCTGAAGAATTCTGTCACTAGCAGCTGGAGTACGTGGAGTTACTGCTGCATTTGGAGTTAAGGAATAGTCTGCCAGTAAACTATCCGATAAAGTAATTCCACTTTCTGTGGCAACTTCACGAGCAACCTAAAATTTATAGGAATGCTATAAAAAGATGGAATTATCTTGCCTGTTTTGACAATTGATTCGATTTCTGGATTTCATCGATATATTATATTGATTTAAGTTTCATACTTCGGATGCACGTCCAAGCTTGACTACTTGTTGTAATTCCTGGTCGGAGATCTGTGGCTCTGGTAGAACGAGCTTACTTCGCTTTCTTAGAGGTTCCTGATTATTGAGCATTCCCATAGGTATATCATTTTCTTTACGTTGTTTCAATTTTTGCTTGTCTTTACGACGTTCTATCTCTTCCTTCTCTTGTCGGAGATCTCCGTCTAGATGTTGCTGACGCATTTTTGAGAAGTCTGCTGCCAGCGGATCGATGTGTTCAGTGGAAGTGTCATAAAAGCCTGCAGCCGGACGCTTTTCAAATGGAATTTCGGAATTGTAATTAACGCCACGTTTGCGTTTGTTCTTTTGAGAGACGCTAATTCCTGCTGCTCTCAATTCTCTACGCTTCTGCAATGCTGCAAGGCGACGAGCTTCTTCCAACTGCTTTTCTCGAGCTTTACGCTTAGCTTTCTTTCCCTGAGTATTTGCCAATCGAGCACGAGCCTCTGACAGCATTTCCAGCTCTGTAAATAATATATAAAGTAGATCGTGTGTGATTTTGTATACTGCATCGAGTATAAGGAAGAAAATACATACCATCTTCATCCATATCCTTTGGATCTGGGCGAGCAGGTTTTGTTTCTGGATTTGGATCAATTTCTCCTGGCTTTAATTTGCGGGGATCATCCGCTGCATCTTCACCTTCCTCCTTTTTCTGTGCTTGATCCCTAATTACAATTGAAATAATTTCAAATTCAATATATCTATGAATTAGTAATAGTATGCACTTTGAAAGTTGACGCTTACAGTAAGTATTCATATCTTTCCAAACATTGAGCTGCAGTTCTTCCAATAATAGGAGCAATTGTTCTCCATTGTGTTGGCATTAGTTTTGCAAGATGCAGAAGCTTCTCATCTTCCTCTCGACTCCATTCTGTCTTTTTAATACTTGGATCTAGCCACTCAAACCATCGTGCTTTACACTGCTTCGCTGATTTTCTGTGCAACAGAGATGCTATACGACTCCATTGATTTTTGCCATATTTCATAACAGCAGCTTTAAGGATTTCATCCTAAAAATAATATACACCATTGTACCACAGTAGAAACATATAAAATATTATATATTTTTTAAAAATCTATCAATCCCCAATGAACATATAAAATACTGAAATAAGGTTACGAGAAAAATCACTACAAACTTACTTCTGTATTTCGCCAAACACCACCCTTTATCATAATTCGTGGCATTTTGGTGTATATTTATTTGCACGCTTTTGTATTAAAAAAGTTTCATAGACACAATAGGAGTACCGCGGCTTTCACTGTAGAATTAATTTATCCAGGAAACCGCTTTACCCATCTTTTGTAATGGCGTTCCAAAAAACTGATTACAGGCATAAAATAATTTTAAAGTTAGATGAACTCTTAGACAACATAAACAGAGAAGAGTAGGGAGATGCACAACGTTAAAGAACCTCCATCTATTATCAAACTTCGTAACTTCATTTAACTCGATTAGTAATTTTAGAACGCAGCCTCGTTAGGGATAAAAATTGGTGTATTTTGGTACACGGCAAGATTTTCGCGGTAATCGCGTGAAATGTCACTCATATGAAATAGGGGTTAATACTTTGTCGATGTCACAAAAAGTTTTAAAGAATATAACTGTTGAATTAGAAAAGTTACACGTTTATTGATACTTATTTCATCGTCATCGTATCACACATTGTATTTTATTTAATTATCATGAAGTGTACTATTCCGGAGATTTCATGGCATAATCGTGATCCTGTTTTGAGTATTGATGTACAACCGGGAACAATAAATTCAGAAAAAAATGAGATTTCTTGGCGTGTTGCTACCGGAGGAGCTGATTCCCACATTTTGGTATAAAATTATACAATTTTGATATTATACTCAGTTTTCTTAATGTTAAACTGATATAATATATGTCAAGATAAGTTTGACAACCTAATATATTGTCGCTTCATTTAAATTGTTTTTAATCATTTCATAGATTTGGCATGTCAAAATTAATGAAGTTGGTGCAGCAGTTGTAACATTTATAGCAGACCTAGATAGACATCAAAGAGCTGTGAATGTTGTTAGATTTTCACCATCAGGTGAAATTTTGGCATCTGGTGATGATGGTTTGTATAAAGGAATAGTTACGAATATCACTATTTGCTGTTCTATGCTGTTATTGATTCTATAGCTAATACCTTTGATTTCAGAATCAGCTATTATACTATGGAAACAAAAGATAGGTTTTGAGCCACCTCCTCTTGACAGTGAAGAGAATCAGAATAAGGAACATTGGAAGTCGTGGAAGGTCTTAAGAGGACATCTTCAAGATATCTATGATATCAGTTGGTCCCCAGATTCAACTTCACTCATCTCAGGCTCTGTAGATAATACAGCTATTTTATGGGATATTCAGAAGGGAAAAAATATTGGTATAATTTCGGAGCATAAAGGATTTGTTCAGGGTGTAGCTTGGGATCCTGGTAATCAGTACGTCTGTACCCTGAGCACAGATAGGTATTTTTAATACTAAATGTTTCATACATCTTCTACCTGGTACATCATTTAATTCCAACTCTCTTATAGAATATGTCGGCTGATTGACATTAATACGAAGAAAACAGTGCAACGTGTAAGCAAAGCTAAAATCCCAACACCACCTGGACATCACCTTGAGGGACAGACAGTTCGTTTATTTCATGATGATACATTTAAATCCTTCTTCAGGAGATTGACATTCTCCTTAGACGGTGCATTGATCCTAGCACCTTCTGGTATTATCGAACCTCAAGATTCTTCGGAGAAATTTGCAAACACAACGATAATCTTTTCTAGACATAATCTCAGAGAGTAAGTTTTTCAAAACACGCATTACTAATGGAATCGATATCAAGAGTTTAATTGAATTCTTAATTTTTTAGACCTATTGCTGTTTTACCGTCACTTGATGAAAGTACAATAGCCATTCGTTGCTGTCCTATCTATTTTGAATTAAGAGACAATGGTCCAGCATCTATGATGGCCTTACCCTATAGAATGGTTTTTGCTGTAGCCACACAGAAATCTGTATTAATATATGACACACAACAGACGTCACCAATTGCCGTTGTATCTAATATTCACTATACACGTTTGACCGACGTCTCTTGGTGGGTAATACTTTATTAAGAAACAATAAACTGTCTTTTCCATTATTCCTTAATTATATTTCATCCTCAGGTCTTCCGATGGTCAAATTTTAGTAATATCCTCCACAGATGGTTATTGTTCCATAGTACATTTCCGAAACGATGAACTAGGTAAAGCTTATCAAATGGATAAATCCATTAGCGCGAACAATTATCTAAACAATAGCAAGAAAATATCACAGAAAGTCAGTATCAAAGACGATATTGTAAGTGACAATCAGCCATTTTTGGATTCAGATAATAACGCAATGGACATTGACATAAAAAAAACTAATATTGAAAGTGATGATGACGGCGATGTGATGGCAGTAGATACTGCTTTAACAAAGAAGACACAAAATGAAGTTGCTAAGGATAAAACAACAGCAGAAACTGGTAAGAGAAATGAAATCGAGGAAATCATTGAGGAAACTGAGGATATACATTTAGTGTACAAAGAAGAGAGTACGGTGAATGATATAACAAATAATGCACCTGCAATAGAAGTTACTAAAACTGTCGCAATAAATAGTGAAAAGGTGATTGAGAAAAATTCAAAGGATTCTAAGTGCACTAAGCACACTCCACCGAAACCAGAAATAACTTCCATGACTTTGAATAGAACTCCACGACGAGTACAACTCATTACCCTTTCAAGTCCTAAACGGACAAAGAAGGAATAGATACATTTTATCCTAATCATACACGAAAGGAATAGGTTGTACACAATATGTTAAGAGATTTTATTTTTAATGGCGAACCTCATTCATGTACGTAAATGTAAAAAGGGCGGATAAAAAAATAAGAAAATATCACACTTGGTTCTTCGCGAAGAATTTCTTTTTATCCACTGGATTTGGAATGATCTGGAATCAAACAATTATTCATAAGGTACAATAAATTTAATAAGAATTATTACACATAATTCATATGTAAACTATGTGTATTTTGTGATACTTTTCCAGACGTCCATAATATTTTAATTAGAAAATGATTCGGCTGATGTTACTGATAATATTAGATTTATTAACTATGTGCGTACGCACACAAAAAAATATCTAAGGATGTATAGTTGTAGTCGTACAATGTATCAGCGTCATCAATTTTTTTAAACGGAGTTTTCTACTGTACTTTTTGTTTACGCGTACACTGAAATAAGTGCTTAGATATATTATAATCCATGTGCGTGCGCACTTAGCGAATATTTTATGGACGCATATTAAACATATGATTATGCTATAAAATTGTAAATATATTTGGCCTATGATAGCGACATTGGAATAAACATTTTTTAATGATTGTATGAGTACTCACTGTATCTTGTCCTGGCTTCCATCCAGCCGGACAAACTTCTCCATGTTCATCTGTATATTTGAAAGCTTGTACTAATCGAAGAGTCTCATCAACAGATCGACCAACGGGTAAATCATTCATTGTAATTTGACGTAAGATTCCTTTTCCATCAATGATAAACAAAGCACTGCCATGAAGATCAACGACAATTAATATGAAATGTTATAAAATTTGTATGACTTTATATAATTACCGTAAGGTATGACCCAGATCTTCCAGATATACACCATAATCCTTAGATATTTTGTGTGTAAGGTCAGACAGCAGAGGGATCTTGATCTTCTCAAGTCCTCCTTCTTTCCTTGGAGTATTAATCCAGGCTAAGTGTGTGAAGTGGGAATCGACTGAAGCTGCAACTACTTCGACATTGAGCTTTCTGAATTCTTCCACACGATCAGAAAATGCAAGGATTTCAGTCGGACACACGAATGTGCTATAAAAAATGTATACTATTATAGTAAATCAAATATTAATAAATTCTGATAGTTTATAACAAATCTTCTTACAAGTCAAGAGGGTAAAAGAAAAATACTAAATATTTTCCCCTAAAATTAGCCAACTTGATATCCTTGAACTCTCCATTTATAACAGCAGTACCTTCCCAATGTGGTGCCTGCTTTCCAACTGTAATACATTTAAAAAAATTGTGAATTATAAGAAAACTATATTGTTGAAGCAGCTTCATGATTATGTGGAGAGATATTCCATTTAAGTCATTCTAGTAATTTTTTCTATACACTATGTATCTGACATAGATGTTCCGAATATACTATAGAGACCAGCTGGAATATAGCCAAACAGAGTTCTTAAATTAGGTCACATTGCATAAATAGTAGAAACATATTCTTGCTAATTACAAATACAATAATAATATTCACTAATGAATAAATGTAGATATAACCAATAAACATTTAATCGATTAAAAAAACTGAGGTACAAAATCTCAACTTCTCTCAAAATATATATATTCCCCAACAATATAATCTGATAAATTGAACTGATTTCTAATCATGATAAATGCCACTCAATAAATCACGTGAAATCTATAACTAATCGCTATATCCAAAGAACGATTATAATTGTCTCAACTAAAAAATCATGTTTTATTTACATGAAAAGTAGGAAATCGGTTTCCAATAAATGTCAATAAAAATTTACATCTGAGAGTCACTTAGGTATATATTAAACATTGTTTATTCATACGCATCATTATTGTGTTTATGAGCAAGCTTATGTTTTTTAACCGCTATCGACGTTTCTCATAAACCTGATTAAAAAGCTAATTTACTCAAATCTGTAACTTTCAATAGAAGCAGAATTAATTATGATAAAATATCATAAGTCAACTTACTAACAGCTTTTGTCGTTTGCAGCTGGTGTCCTACATGTTTTGTGCCAGTAGGATAAACAGTACCACCTGCGAACGAGTAGCAAGCTTCATCTTCTCCAAAATGAGATGCCCAGCATTTATGAAGGCATAAGATCAAAAAAAGTATGCCAGAAAAACTAATTTCACTGGACCACATGTTTACCGGGTGCGTGACAATAATCGACGTGTTGATTTCTTATCTACTAACTACTGATTATGTTTACGCGATTATACGGAGTTTTTCATTCATTCGAAATACGGTTACTTCAAAAAATATCCGCCTATCGGACACGTTTTGCCGCCATTAAGCATATTAACTCTTGTTGGTCATCGAATAGAGGGAAAAAGCTTGTCCAATTATTGTATCGTGAAGGCTGATTCTGATTAACCTGTTTATGCAACGAATTAACTACTTTACGTACTCACAGATGGTGCTACAGATTCAATTTCGAAACTTCACCATTAAAGTAATGTAAAATTGTATAAATATGTTTGGTTATTTCGCCTCTTACTTAATATCTCTGAAGTTTCCTGTTCGTATGTCCCCTTTAACGCGTCGTGCAGATTACTGAAGACATCCAAATTAAAAAGAGCAGTAATTCCAATAATTCCTGTATAAATCAATATATCCCACATGTTTCGTGTTGCCCTACTGCGTTGTACCATTTTCAAACAATTGTTACTGGGCAGACTTCGGCCCGTTGATATTTTTAATACACAAATATTTGACTATCCGCATTGGAGGAGGCAGCCACAAGGAAAGGAAGGAAGGAACTATTTTACTAACATCAATGCATAATCATTACAGAATAAAAATATCTCGTGCTAAGCAACCTTGTATATTTCTTTACAAATCTACAACGCTAACTGTAAAGTAACATAAAAAATTCTGTACAGAATTCATTTAAAAATTGCGTGTATAAGGACTTTAACAAAAATCCAACGCGTCATTCGTATATCCAATTATTCAAGGAATATATAAACGTTAACAATATCCAGCCAAGGTTTGAACAGTGGGATAAAAGGATCTTATCAATTGGCAACGATCGCGATCTACACACAGTGACTTTTTTTTCACAATGATCTCTGTTTCTATATCTCGACGTGCCTTGACTAAATCAATCGTAGAATCATCAGCAGATTTTATCTGTTCCAACATGTCAGATATATTCTTCGACAGAATCTTCACTTCTTCTATTAATCTAAATTTAATTTATAATCAATAAAATTAGCATTTCATTTTCATATAATATAAAAATTACTCGGCCTGAACAGCATCTCTGCAACTTTCTACACCAGCACGCTTTAATCGCATATCTAATCGCGTCTGTGCGCATTTCATGGCACCGTCTAATCTCTTTAGGGCTGTACGCATTTGATCCACCAGAAATTCAGTATCTGCCAGTTTACGTAGACACTGAAATATGATGAACTGATGAATAATTATGAGGCGGGATTGATAAGACTGATAGAACTAAAAATACTCTGATTAGTTCGTTTTCCAGGCGTTGAATAATTTGAACGGTTAATTCGATTTTATTCGCAAGAGCAAGTTCAATACGATCAGCTTGAATCCTAAGATCCCTGATTGCTTTTTCGTAAATATTATATAAGTTATTGCGAAGAATACGTGATCTTTCTAGAACATTATCAGCCTGGACCAAACCTTCTTTTGTGTAACGTTCGTAGTCGTACGGTGACGATTGACTAGATGAAATAAAGATGTAATGTAAATTTCTACGTAATTTTATTAGCAGTACATGGATACATACTCCGGTGGGATTCTAGCAGATCCTGGTTTCCAAATTACTATTTCTGAATCACTTTTCAATCCACGACAAGTAGTGTCGATTTCATAAGAGTCCAGTTTATTGGAACGATCTATCTCTAATTTTTGCTTTGAGTCCTTCAATTCTTGCAATTGTGACATTAATTGATCTACATATTTGTTGTATAGAATTTGAATTTCCGCGCTCAATTTTAATTCCTATATATTTTCGAATAATGTACGTTAGTCGAATAATGTACAATGGGCACCTAATAAAAAATATAATAACATTTTTCAAATACTTTATACCTTAATCACTTCTTCGTCTACTTCATCTAGAATTAAATCAAATTCCATTCTTGAACACCTTGCATGTTTTACGTCAGTCGCAATGGCGTGCACCATTTGTACAGCATGCAGGCACCGTATTATACGTTTACGTTCTTCTTGGATTAAACTAATCTCTTTAATTGTATCAGCAATGGATAGATCTAATTCCGTTTTCCATCGAAAAATAAGACCAGCTCTTTCACTGAGTTTTATGTCACTGGACAACTGGTTCTTGTCTGTTTCAATATAGATACGATGCATATAACGCCGCGCATTGAAGGCTGCCAAACTGTAAATATATTTGACAAATAGACAAGAGATTATTTGGTATTAACTTCGTTGACTTCCTTACGCGGCATTTTCTATACTGGTTTCAGAATTTTCGAAAAGACTCTTATTGTGCAGTCGCCCTTCGGCGGGACTATATCGTGAAATTGAAAAGTTATCAACGGCCGGTCGAGTTCCTGTCAATCCTGCCAAAGGAGTCCAATAATCTAAAGGTACAGGTTCTTTTGCTGGTCCTAAAGGATCAGGAGGTAAGACTATCGGTCTAGGGATGAGAACTTCTGGTTCCGTGCAAACACATGGTTTAATGATTGGACATCTCGTTTCGTGCGAGTCTTGAAAATTCTCTTGAGTTTCTGGTAACGTGGCTTCATCTTTTGGAATTACAATGGGATTTTCAAATTCTTCAGTTTTTATATCCTGTAGGATGCAGCATGGATTTGGTTCTGGCATAATTGGAAATCATTAGTACGCGCGGCTTGCGATCGATGTTTTCTGTCCAGGAGATTCAAAATCCTTGATTGCATCAATTTAACGCAATTAGACTTGTTTCGATGGACTTTATGAGGTTATGTGAATCACGTAAATTATAAACAATAGAACGATAAGAACCATATTCTACAGGTTTCAGATTATCGAGGAATATTTATTAGAAAACAATATGCTACAAAATCGAGTATAATATAAAGGACTAACAAAGGCAAAAGGTCATACAAAAAAAAAGTTACAATAAAAAAATAAAAATTATAACACGAATACAAAAATTAGTGTAAACAGTAATAAATAAATAATTCAATTTTGATATCCGGATAGAGCTGCAGCGGATGGATAAAATGAACGTAGCCATTGTCCCCGCTCTCTGTCTATGTAGAGACTCTTCCTCTTCACCACTATTTCTCTTTCCAAGTCGCTCCTGGCTTTGACCAATCCTGCCTGAGCGTCTTCCGCTCTTCTCAACTGTGCCTGCATAGCAGATACGTTATCCCCTAGAGTCTTGACTTCCTCTATAAGTCTGTAAAAAATACCATATACTTTCCAAAACATCTACCCATAATAATAGCTTTCAATTTAAAAGCATTAATTATTTGAGAGCTAACCCGTATTGCGGCTCGTCCCTGCAGCTCTCTACATTCCGTCTAAGGAGTCTGTAATCTAATCTCGTCTGAGCGACTTTCATCCCATAATCTAGTTTCTGAGTTGATGCCCGAAGATTCTCAATAAGATCCTCAATACTTGCCAACTCGTGAAGGCACTAAAAAAAAAATTTTATTATCATCCCACCTGAGCAGGAAAACTATACAATTTAAAAACAGACCTTAAGCAGTTCCTTCTCTAGATGTTGACAGACTTGTTCTGTCAAACTGATTTTTTCTGCCAGGGCAATATCCACTCGATTAGCTTGTTCACGAAGATCACGTATAGAATTCGATAAAATGGAGTCCAGTGTCGACCTCAAATTGACTGACGTCTGCCTAGCCGTTTGTCCTGCGGCCAGAGCTTCCCGTGTAAACTGTTCGTAGCCAGATGCAGTAGACTGCCTTTGTATCAGGAAATCAATATAAAATAATATAGAATCTGTATGTCCCTGCAGTTCCATAGGTGAGAAATTGAGATGACTCACTCGGATGGGACTCTCGTAGCTCCGGGTTTCCAAAGAATTAATGGAGAATCATTTGTCAGGCCTATACAGGCTGTATCTACTTCATAGGCATCCTTCTTGTCCGTCCAATCAAATTCCATTCGATTCTTTGCCGCTTTTAATTCCACTGCCTGCTCCTCTATTTGCTCTCGTGTTCTAATTAAGAGAATTCTTATTTCGGAACACAGAGCTACCTCCTGTAATTATTTAGCAAATCATTACATAAATCAGTATCTACATTGACATTAAATAAGCTACCTTGATCAGTTCCTCCTCGACTTGATCGCGCACCAAGTCAGGTTCGAGCCTCGTTGAACGAAGTTGCAGAAATTCACCAGCTATCGATTCCGGAATTGTTAATACTACTAAGGATTGTTTTAATCTACGACGTTCTTTTTCTAAAAGTTCAATTTCTTCCCTCATCTCATGAATTCCACGTTCTAATTCTGTTTTCCACTGATAAACCACACCTGATCTTGTACTGAGACGATCACGATTTTCCAACTGATTTTTGTCTGTCTCCTTGTGAACCCGCTCCATACATTCTTTGGCATTGACTGTGGATTGCCTAAAAGGACAATTATAAGGGGAGGTAACAGTGCATTATTATTCACATATATATTTTTTGAAATCCTACCGTGCTTCATGAATCTTTTCATTCGATTGATCAAAAAATGTCTTGTTATGTGCTCGCCATTCTGCAGGACTAAATCGTGTAACCGAATACCGATCTACAACCGGCCGAATGCCTGTAATACCAGCTGTGGGTCTAAAACTCATTCTACCAGTTGCCCAGGGACCAATTGGGCCCATTGGACCCTCAGCTTTCGTTGGTAGATCATCGCCCGGTTGCGGGAAATATGGTGGTTGCTCATCGGACTCACTGATTCTTTTAACAGCATCCAATGCAGGGCAGGGTTTTGCCTCCTGATTTTAAAAGTATGAAATTTGTATACTTATAAAAATATTTATTTTACAGAAATTAATTATTTTTAACACTCACTGCAGATTCTGTGATGGGACTCTTTGGAATTTCCTCCATCCCACTGGGAATACAGGGACTATATACAGCTCTTCCAGGAACCGTCATCCTGGATCTTTCATCCAAAAATGTTCTCTGCAGCATATTAACAATCTGAACAGTGACACCAGTAACTGCAACCTTAAATGAACCAGACGTCACTCTAGCTTTAGAATGCACTATACCCTAGGAGAAGGGATGGTTACCTAGTGAAATCAAACAAGGTGTTTATTGATCCCAACCTTCCAGTAGGAAGTTCTATCCACTTTCGCCCTTAATTTTCTAACATCAGACACGAGGATCAGTCCCCTGAAGTATCCTCCATAAAAAAAAAGTAATATTCAATTGTCTTTACTCAAGTTCACTATAATAATCATTTAATCCTCTAGTTATTCCAACTTCACCACATGTCCTAATTTCCAGGATTTCGTTTACACAACTCCAAAGCAGTTTACATCCGTTTCTCCTGTTTGCCTATAGCTAATTGACCCTAACATCAACTAGGTGGAATGGCTAGTTGAGGTCAGTGTGAATTCATACGGTGGCTGGTCACAAGCGAACCGTCGGATCGACGTGGAGAAATAGACGTGACCGAACTCGCCGACGTGCCCGACGGATGGTCAGGTGGCCTCTCGAAGTTTGTTCAGGCGAACGACGAGGATCAGTAAAATACACAGGGACACCACGATCATTCAGCAGCCAGAGTAAATTCGTCGTACTGGACTTGGATTTATCCGAGACTTTGCAGATTACGAGATGGGAATCGTCACTTTCATATTGAAGTGGTCCTCCTTGAATCCATGTGCCAAATGGCATGGACTATTTTTTTTCTTCTTTTTTATACTGCATTCGCCATAAGTCTGATGTCGGCTGGATGCTCGTGAGGATATTGCCGGGAGGACGGGGATGCCATTTAGAGTTTTTGAGCCCTTGAAAACCCTTCGTCAGTCGCGAGGAGGGTCGTCGAGATGATAGGGAGAAAGAGGATTCCGTCTACCGTGTTACTGAGCGTAGCGAACCATTAGCTCGTGTAAACGCAGTTTTATGATGCGTGCTGAGCTTAACTCAGGGGCGTATTTCAGCAAGGGTTCTACTCATGGGGTAGGACTTGGATAAACTGTGTAGGATTTTCACATTTTTTTTCCAAATTTATATTACCTATTTAAACATAGAGACATAACATTATGGATTCTAAGGTTAATGAATTAAGTCATATTAGTTTGATTAGGGCAATGGTGATGAAAGTCATTGGCTTCTGAGTCTTTGAAAATGTCAAAATTAATGTTACGATGTACAGGAGCTTTTACAAAAAGCGTTAAAGCCTCGTGAAAACGATACTGGCTGCAGGGTGAAGGTATAAAATAAATTTCATCTCAGCTTACTGCCGAGAAAATCGATTCACAACACAGGGTATGGGGTATCTCGGTGGCGGTATAAAATAAATGTTAAAAGACGCAAACAGCAGCAAGGGGTTGAAGCAGCTTCCTCTGATAGGTGAGAACGAAATTCCTCCATACTTGTAAAAAGCCTTATATAGTTAATGACTGATTTATTTAAAGGGGAAAATCAAAACCTAAACCACGTGAAATCCGGAGGAGCCATTAGCAAAGGACTTGGTCTTGAAAATCGCTTAGCACCCCTTGGAGCGAAGAATGCAAAGTAGCTGCATAGGTATGTGGCTAAAGAGAGACAAGATCAGAGAGACACAGGAACTGTCAAACGAGATGGAGCAAGAGGAGAAGTGAGTACACTTCCGGTTGAGTTGAATTTCGACGAATAGCAGAATATACGCGTAGACAGGACGGGCAATGATCAGCGGTTGGCCGGAATAGAGAGGATCTCTTTTCACCAAGTTAGCAGGGGTTGATGGGCGTACAGACCACGCCTATTCACCCTGGAGAAAACGTACCGCAAGCAGTACGGGGTACGTGGGTGGAGTCGACCAATGACATAGTGGTGGCGAAGCTCGAGTCAGCTGACAACATGGCCTTGGAGCCGCCCCCGTGGCTAACTAGCAACCCCTGCGTGCTGGTTTCTACTGACGAGCGGGAGCCACTCAGCCAGCAAGTCCCAAACCGCCCTCTCGCACCAGCCATCCCCAGGTCCCACTACCGCCGAGGCAATGCGCCAACGCCAAGGTGTTACCTCGGGGTTACACGAGCGAGATCGTACCCCAGCTTCTATGTGGTAGCGCACTCTCAACCAGTCCTGGCTACTTCGAAAACCCCATTCCATATACAGCCTACCTACCCCAGCCAACTAACCCCTATCCACCGCCATCCCCCTGACCATCAGCGTCAACCATCCCTTCGGTTAGTGAGTGAGTGAAAGAGAGACATATATATACGCACCAGAGATACCCTCATCGTCAGCCAAACCGACACCTAGCGACGATACCACCCGTCAAGACCCGGAGCCACCTAGCCACCGCGGAGCTACAGAGAATCACCCGGGACTCTGCTTGACTCCGCATCCGGGAAGCAACACTCTCCGTCTGGGGATGCTCGACTTTTGATCCTGCAGAGGATGGGCACAGGTCAGTTGATTTTTTCCATTACTTTTTCACTTATCACTTTCCTTTCTTAGCTCATTGTTACATGTTAGATTTAAGAGATGTGAAACACGGTGCTTCGGACGTTCGACTTTTTGATTACGTGTAATTGCCTTTGGTTTGGCCTTTCGTTTTGTTTGTGACATTCCGGTGAATTTTTTCATTCGATATCGAATGACTTTGAGGTGTTTAATGATTGGTGTATGAAGTTTTTAAAGAAAATTTTATGATTAACAGTTAATTGGGAATTTTGTTCAGACGACGGCACATTTTGCAAAATAATTTCAAATTTTAGAAAATATTCTCAGACCAGTAAATTTACTGACAGTTGCATTGTGTACTTATTTGTGTTTACTGATATTTGTATAGTTTTTGGTAAATTTCAGTTTTATTGAATTCAACGTTAGTTTTCAATTTTCACTTGTCACTAACCATCAATTCTGATTCAAACTTTCATAGTATACATCTTGACTAATACGAGATTTTGAGAAAAAATAAAATTTGTAATTTTTTCAATTTTTTGATAGTAGTGTATAAGAACATATTTAATAAAATATTAAAATCCAGGTATTACACAAAGCTACAAAACAACAACATGGCCTTTTCAATTATCCTCAATACTTCATATATCTTTCAAATTACAAATACCAATTGACCAATTCCAAAATTCTCATAAACATAATCTTCTCAACCACTCCACAGTTATAGTCGGAATTATCAAAATCCTGGTTGTAAATTTAGCACCAGTCATGGTAAGCCCACAAAATTAATGAATATCACCCTTATTAAAACATTTTAAGCGTTACCCGCGGTCTCACCATTGAATTACATATAATGAGACGTAGAACGAAGAGGCACTCGAATAAGGGTGCAGGTAATGTAAGGTAAGATGAAAGATAATCCTTGAGGGTGTTGAAACAAGGACTCGCGTAATGTGTGTGTATAAGTTCTGCAGGTTGGGTGGGTCGTCAGGGTGAGAGGATTGGTCGGGTTACAGCAGCTCGAGTCGTGGGTGGTTGTCTCCGCTCTGCGAAGGGGCTGAAAGCTCTGGTTGGCTTAGGCACAGCCGTGTTTTTCTTGCCGCGGATCATTAGGACGATTAGGGTAGCCGCGAAAGGGAGAGAACAGATTAACGGCAACTCGAACCTTTCCTCCCCTCCTGACAAGACTGGTTTCCTTTATATCGTCTTTTTATCCAGTAAGACTTTTTCTTCCTTTCCCAATTGGCTGGACCATCTTTGTTCTCTGTAAATGAAAAAACTTTGATAATCCTTTCTGAAAGAAAGAATAAACCTACCTGCATCATAATCTGTATATCAGTCCTTGGTACTGTTTAAAATTTCGTCGCCTTTGTAATTGCTGCAGATGATGATCTTTCTTTTCTTTAGCGTGTAAATTCTCTTTTCAGGTGACAGACTACTTGATATCCCGTGCAATGTATGCGGGGACCGTAGCTCTGGAAAACACTACGGGATTTACAGTTGCGACGGTAATTTCATTTTTAATTTTTTTTTTTATTACTTAATTAGGCTCTCATACTATTTCTTGATCTTTTTTATCTGTGTAATTAAATAAGGGTTGTTTTTTTTTAATTTTAGGGTGTTCAGGATTCTTCAAGAGGAGCATACACAGCAATCGAGAATACACCTGTAAGGCCCAAGGTGCGATGAAGGGGCGCTGCCCCATTGACAAGACACACAGGAATCAGTGTCGTGCTTGTCGCCTAACCAAGTGTTTTAAAGCCAGCATGAACCGGGACGGTAAGTGTTGCGCTTAATACCTGACAATTTAATTTTTTAATATTAAAAATAGGGCACAGAACCTTTTCCGCTATCAGTCACCTTTACTGACTCGAAAAAAGTAGCATGGATCAATTTTCCAACTTTTGAAAACAAAACTGTAATATTCTCAAGCTTATCGATTTTTCTTATCACGCATGGCTTACGATTTCTTAGGATTAAGATTTCACCCTTTGGACACCATAATCGAACCGTAACGTCATGACTTTCGAGAATTCTAAAAAGAAATATATATATATATATAAATAAAAATTATACAATGCAAATGACCAAAATCAAAGAAAATTCGTTTGACTTAAGACCTTAAGAAAAATACCCCAAATTACTCTTTCGCCCTCTATTCCTGGCTAATGATCTTCACCCAAAGGCAGAAGGTAATTTCTCGTTGCGTCACGCAGAGATGAAGCCATCACTCTTGATCTGCACAGTCATGCAACTTTCTCATTTTCCCCAAAACATCGTCTATCCACCAAGAATCATCCAGTCAGTGGGACCTTCCTTCCTGCTGCTGTCCGAGTAAATCCATCCAGAACAGTGTTTAACTCAAGCAGACATATAGGTATACAGCTGTAGGCAGTTACATGCGAGTTATATGAGTGAATAGTAGGAGGAGTACCTGATGTAGGAGTCTCCTGTTCCAAGAGTAGCTAAAGTGAGAGAGACAGAGATAGAGTACGGAGACAGAACGCGACCGCTTGTCGAGGATGAGGATGAGGGTGCCAGGGTGTCCGGGGTGTTTAATGCAGGACGGGTGCTTCGGTTCCCAGCGGCCGCGGGGGCTCCAGACGAGTAAGAGAGGAGATTCAATTAGTGGCAGAGCTTCCTAACGTTAAGGCTCCTCCACACCGTGAATTACGAAAACGTGCCGAGAATAGGTACTGACAGAATGGCGCGAATAGAGGTGAGGCCGTCTCGTCTGTTGTAACACCGAGAAGGCGAGAGAGGGCACTACTTGTATGTACGGCTGGTATGCTATGAAATAAAGAATAGGAAAAGTTTTCGTACGTCAATGGCTACTGTGCTCATCCACGCGATTGTTCTATTACCTGCTTATGGAGTTTGATGAATCGGCCTGAAACAGCCATAATAATTTTCTTTGGAAGACGTCAAGTATTTATTCTCGAAGCTGTTAACTGTTTGGATGCGATATTAATTAATTATATTATTTAGTTTTTGGAGGTTAATTTGACAGATTTTTAATTGTGAATTCACCCGTACACCTAGGTGTCTAACCGTTACAAAGTACCTAGGTAGCTCGTAGCCACTATTCTGGCTGGCGCTGCTTTGCCAAACGCCCGCGGCGTGCAATCGTCCTCTGCTGACAAGCCCTAACCTCCGACCTCTCATTCCTCAACCCCTCGACGAGGCAGCGTTTCGTCCCTCTCTCCATGCCTATAGTCCTGCTCTGGGAATCGAGCTGCCTCTTTCAGCCCACCGACTCATCCTACTAGTAACATGGGTATTTCGTGAAATATGGTTTTAAACGAGACTAAAAGATTAACAAATGATTTACCACTTGGATATTCATACTGGTATGATCTCTTATGTATTATAGCTAGTTAATTAAAACTCTCATTCCTGGTTAACCAGTCTCGTCACGCAATCGGATGTAATCTCATTCGTAGCCATGCGAAGAATATAAAATACCATTAAAAGATTTACAAGTAAATTATACGGACGAGGAATCGATCTCTTAGATTAAATTGTTATAATTAAATACGAAATCCCTCTGAAATGTGTACACCCTATCATCCCACTAATGTATCCATGGCGCGTCGCGGTGTTATCCTTGTCAACCCTCCTGGTGATACCTTCAACCAATAAAACCAGTAAAACCTCACCCTTGAACCTATTCCATCCCATTATGCCACCGCCGATTTCTCACACCGATTCCTAGGTATTATCAGCATTAGGGATACCTCAGCCCAGTCGCTCCTTATACGTGTACAAGCGCCGCGGAGTCCCCAGGTCTGAGCTTTTAAAAAGCACCGAAAAATTGTATCTCCCAGGATGATATGTGGGAGAATTTATGCGGGGATGATATCCATCAATTCGTTTCATTGATTTAATTTACACTGACATGATATACCTCGTACATTATTTTCCAGCTTGAATGTGACAGATATAGGAAAGATTTACCACGAATATTCTCAATATAAAATTACATCTATCGAAATTCCATCGATCAACTTTTCCTACGTGACTCAATCCAACGCATTGTTTGCCAACTTAATCCACGGTTTCACCCTTTCGTAGCCCGAAGGGTTTTCAGGCTTTAATCTCAACTCGACGTAGTCTTTGCTCAGGGATACGGAAATAGTAGTGTAAGCAGAGAAAGAATTCAATCGTGATGGCCGACGCCTCGATTACTGACACCACTCTCTTTCAGCGTCGCGACGCTTTCATGAAATCGGACGAGAACGTGCTGTCATTGGCCAATCTTTAATTCCGGCGAACCTTCATCGCGTAGGAACTACTCCTTTTCGTCCTTACTACAGTCAATATCATCTCCAATGTACACAGCTGTAAATCCTACTGGGAACTTCTCGTTATAAATTTTCCAAACTTTGACGTCCAATCGATTGCCAACTTTCCAACTGGAAGTTTAAATCTCTTTCCTCTCTAGACCGACGGCACCCTTTCGCAGTTCTAAAGATTGTCTCACTGTTTACCGTGAGTCAGATTGTTAGCCGGCACAGAATTTCACTGAAAATAAAGCCAATCAAGACTCAGTGATGTTTTTATATTATTTGTAAAAGGCATTTTGTCACTGTATCATCTTTCTGAGTATAAATACAAAAATTTACGAAAAAGATTCCGAGCCTGATACAAAGATTAAGTAAATCTCCATGTTCAAAGAATAACAACCAAATAAGCTCACTGGTGAAATGAAAAGAGATATCCGATGTATACATTATACGATTTCAAACGACACGCATAAGACTTTGAGCTTTGAAGTTTTAAGCTTCCAGCTTTGAGCTGGAGTGCACCGTGTATGAAAGCTACGGAGATGCTCCTAGGCGCAGGGGTTTGCGTGGGAGTGGACGGCTGGAAACGCATTGAAGCAAGGCGTGCCCTACACGCCGGCTACAGCATCAATCCACCCCCGTAAATGACAAATAGCCTAAAAGGTAGTCCAGGTCACTGCATCCTTGGAGCATCCCGAGATAAATTAAATTAAAAAATCATCAAGAACAGGTGGTCGAAGCAACTGGATCACAGGCTTGACCCAAAAAAAGAACTATTTGATGAGATGAAGTGAGGTTAGAATGGTCAAAAAGCAATACCTATACCTAGTGGTAAGCGCCTAGGAGTTGGTCCAGAGTACAGAAGGTTGACGTGTCAGAAAATTCTGGATACAAGGGCGAGCGGGCCCTTCTCGTGGGAGAAGACGGCTGGTAACGCAACGAAGCGAGGCGTGCCCTACACGTGGCGGGCAGCATCAATCCATCCCCGTAAACGGTGAACGAAGCCACCCCGATGGCGAGGGTGCGAAACGATGTGATGCGATGTGCTCTGATGCGAGGTGATGTGTGGACAGAACGGGTCGTTGCACTAAGCTGGGCTTTGATCGTCACCTGTCATCGCGGGGATCGGTCTCGTCTTGGCTGTGGGGACAAAATTGTCAGGTCACCTTGCGAATTCTTTATTTTTTTAAGTTTCCCTCCCCGTCTTCTAACGCGACGAGGAAAGAAAATCGTCCGCGGCGTTTCCTATCGATATTGCCAGCACAATTGTCTGTCAAGTAATTCTCACCAGACAACGCATCAAATTGAGGGTGTCAAAGGCATACAAATGGAATACAAATATGTACAGGGTATTCGCTATGTATGAATCTGCAAATCCAATCCCTGAATATTGCATACGCACCATCAGTAAATTCGTCGGTATCCGTGCATACATGGAAGTTCCGTATGAATAGCTAGAAGGGAGTCTACATGGTCCGGTATCAAGTGTGTTGATATAGGAACGATACACGGGCTTCTGTAAACCTACAGGCCGTCTGTGGAAACGGGCGACGGAAGCGGTGGAAGTTGTGAAGGTACGAGGGCGATGTTGCGACCCCACTCACCCAAGGATTAGCCTTCGAGATCGCTGACTGCTGAAATGTTCACAGATCGGTTTACCGTTTAGTAGGATAGAGAGTGTGATAGTGTGAGCTCTCGTGCTCAACGGCGCCTACGGCCTAACCAACAGGGGTCAGAGGGCAGAGCAGAGCAGGACGGAGATATCGCGTGGCCAACTCTCATCTGTGGGAACTCGCATTGTGGCTCGCACGTGCCACATACGTATTACGATAGAGCTGCGTATTGAGGAAGGGCGTAGGGCGCGGCCTATTCCAGCGCATGCGGTCCTAATCCTTGGCTCCACTCGATATGGAGCGATGCAACGTGTAGCTGAATATCCGACCGGGACGAAAGGACCTTTTTTCACTTCCTAATTCAATAGACAGAGCTTCTTCGATGGAAACATCAATTAAATAAGAGTCAATGTAGACCTTGGATATTCTTTTATCGAGGATTTCGTTAGTCGTGGAGACGTTAAGGCGGATCTTCGAGAAGGATCAAGGATACGTAATTTGTCCTTTGATAGTGCACTGGACCGGACTAAAGATGCTGTGCTACAGACGTTTGTTCTTGTTACACTGGAGTAAATGTACCATTTGCTCTGGGCTTTCATCCTAAAGCTAATCCAGTCCACGGTTGGAAGGTTTGCAGATTCACAGGCTTTGGGACTTGTCTTTGACCATTGGTGCGATTAGGACTCGTGTTATCTATGTTTAAAGTTATTTATATGTTATTAGATTATTTATATTCGAATATAATGTGGAAACCTGGTTTGAGATATCGAGGCTGTTTTCATTTAATTTTTTTCCTCTCTTTACCTTTATTTTTCCGATGCTCCGGGGAAGAAAAATTTCAATCAGATACCTTTAACAAAACAAGAACACATTTGTAATTACTCAGAAACAGAGTACTGATACGATCGATTAAAGATACATGCCCAAGGCTAGTTTTGGCATGTTCACCACACGATTTACAGTATTATTTATACACCCAGTATATCCAATATTTTCAGAAGCAACGTACGTTCAACGCTTCGGTAAAAGAAACAATAAATAACGGCGATACGTATCGACAGTGTAGAAAAAAAATGTCTCCATACACTGTTTGATGTGGATAAAAGAATAAATTATGAAGTAATCTTTTGCCGCAATCTATGTCAAATATAATTCTAGTCTTTGTATTCAGACATTAAGAGCTTATACTCAGTTCGACAGAATACAAAGTAGCAAAGTCATTCGAGATATCAGAGCGTATCTAAACTCTAAGGAAAAAGTTTTAATTCAATCTAGGGTGGTAGGTTGCGCCACTGTGGCCACGCGTTTCGAGTCCAGGATGAAATGGATATTGCGACGCCAGTGCGAACGTGGGAATCTCCGGCTGGTATCCGCTCAGCCTCATTAATGATGATGTGCCACCCAGCAGCAGCGGTAGCACTGCCGGAGCTAGGTTGGAGCCCGAACCCCACATTCTGAAGCCCAGCCACCACATCTACTTACTCCACCCTCCTCTTTGGCAAACCTAACCTCTTCCTACTCATGTACCTTCCTCGCTTTCTTCCTTCCTTCCTTCTTGCTTGTTTCCGTCCCTGTTTTGTACACCTCGACACAGCCCACATGCTGCTATATTCCATCTGGAACAGGCTGCCATTCTCTAACATATTCCCATCGTTCCTTTTCGACCTCGTCCTTGTTGATCTCGTTCTGACTGTCCGGAAACTTTGTCACTTTGACAATTTCAGAGATTGAATGTTGTCTACTCTTGGAGGTTAGATTTTCAGGGATTTTATCACGCATCCCGTCGCGATGTCTGTTGGAAATTTAAATAATTTATAATTCTTATTAAGAATGTTTGCACTTGAATTAAATATTATTAATTTACTGATAGATAAGTGAGGCTCTGGTATAATTAATGTTTAGCAGTACAACACGAGCGTGGTCCCAGAAAGCCGAAGCCCCTTTCGGTTTTAACGGACAAACGTCACCAGCAACAGTCGCCCAATGGAGTCACGCGATTATCACCCCATCCCGGTACACCAGGACATCACGATACATCCAGAGTCGAGTTTAGAGCACATATTCTTGCTCATCAAAGGTTTGCATTGTATCTTTTATAGTACATAGTTATGCCGTTGGCGTGGTAAAAAAGGGCGGCAATTATTCAAACGTTCTTTCAAACGTATTGTAGGCGACTCAGGTGCGAACGAAGGCCATACTCACGGCCAGTCGCTCTTATGCAGAAGCCATTCGAAACCACTCCTTCATCAGCTTCCTTGGTACCTCCACCACCTCCACCACCACCATCACCACAGACAACAGCCCTGAATCACTCAGCAGCTGTCACCCTAAGACCGCAGCCTCCTCTTCTACAGATACTCATGACTCCCGAGAAGTATCAGGTAAGTAATTCTCCCCTAAATTGTCATCCTTCCTCTTACCAGGATATTCTGAGAACTTAACGACACCTTCATGAATTATGGAGGTTAAAGCCCGTTCTGGCTTAAGACTGTTGTGTTTCAAATTGTGTACTGAAATACAATTTGATATGAATTTAATTAGGACGATCACAGCTTAGTGATATAAATTTTGTTTCCCGAAGCGAATAATAAATCTCGAAATGCAATTAAAAACATTCAAAATAATGCCAATCCAGGAAATTATGTGGAGCGCAAGATTACGATCGGAGTCCGAAGTTTCTCTGGATCAAACGGAAACCGAAACCAGTCACAGTCCTACGGCGAGTTTACAAAGTCTCAGTCCTACTTGGGAAATTTTACAGGTAAAATAAATTCGACTGAACTTATTTTATTTACTTCGCAGTCTCGCGAGATGTTTTTTTTATCGTCAAAATCGATTCTAGGAGACAACCGCACGATTACTCTTTATGGCCGTACGGTGGGTTCGATGGTTGGCTCCTTTTAGAACACTAGCCGAACCAGATCAGTTACTCTTGTTAGAAAGGGCCTGGACTCCTCTCTTTCTTCTTCATCTGGCACAGTGGTCCGTATCCTGGGACATTTCAGGCATCCTCGAGAGTAAACATGTCCGTGGAAAATTACCGTACGACAACGACGAGTCACACGGTGACCTCACAAAAATTCTGGTAAAAGCATTATAATTGATCGATCGAAGAATCATTTTTTAAAGGAATTATATATTTAGAACTTTTTATAGATACTTATTGTCTATCGCTTGTAATATTTCTTAATTGCAGCACATAATGCGTAAATTTCGGCAAATCGGTCTTGACACCAACGAATGCGGGTGTCTCAAAGCTGTGGCTCTTTTTGCATCAGGTAAATTGCAAATTTAAAAGAAAAAAAAAACATTGCAAAAATACTCCAATTCTCATTCCGTCGCAATACTTTTTAATATCGATATCTTTGTTTTTTTTACATTGTCAGATACGCGAGACTTGAACGAAGTCGAGACTGTGGATAAGCTTCAGGATCAGGCTCAGTGCATCCTCAGCGATTATATACGATCTCGTTATCAAGATCCTCACAGATGCGGGAGACTTCTGATGCTGCTGTGGAGTTTACGGACAGTCAAACCGTCGACCGTTGAATTTCTATTCTTCCGAGAAACCATAGGAGAGATACCGATAGCGCGCCTCTTGCGTGACATGTATATGGAAGGGTATGCTAATAATATCTATAATACACAAACGGTATGTCAATATAATGCACGAGATGACAAAAATGAACATCCAAATTGCCCACAGCCAGTGGACACCTACGGATTTATTTCCAATTGCGGTATCTAGATGCGAGACCCTACGCTGTATCGACGTTTCCAATCAATTTATTAGCGTCGGAATGATAACATTCATTTTTCCGAATATAAAGAATTTTATGTAATATATTCAATGATTTTTCAACGTCGAATCTTTTGTCGCGTCAAATCCAGGCTTATGTCAGTAGCGTACATAAATTTACGAGAGCCCTGTACATTGATTATGTCGCGCTAAACTCTTGGCCGTATAACAGAAGATTAACTAACTCACCTTTAAACAACAATTGCAGACACCAAGAGACAAACGAGAATAAAGAATTGAGAAGTAATGCGGCTTCGGAAAAAAAAACTGAGCCCAAGAATGGCGAGATTCAATCGGCAATCTGGATTCCTCAGCATTAACAAGTGCGACCTGTGTTATAGAGATAGTCTATTCGATTTTCCTACATAATATTCAAAGCGTCTTGCCGAAAATCAGCCGACGAAATGAAATGCAAAATATTCAAAAGAAAATACTTAGTAATATTAAAGATGATAACGATTATTCTTGATGGTCGTTCATTAAAAAAAAAAAGCGCATAACTCATTTTGTTTTCCAAATAGGAGTCCATATTTGAATAATACATATCTCATTCTCATTCGGAGAGTCTACGTCATTATCGCCATTGATCTACACGATAATTTTTATTTAGCGTAGATGCATCTATTAGACGTCATACATGTACGCGTATCGTATAATGAAATGTTTCATATATCCCATTACGTCGTGTTATTTTTAACCCTTAGAGGACGTGCAGATTCTTTAACTTCTACAGTTTCTCGCTGGAGTTTCAATACATATGCTAGAGTGATACTGTAGGAAACATATGAGACCGATGTAAAGGCAAACAATCGGCTTCCCGTCTTCTAGAGGTTAATTTATTCCATACAGTTATGAAAAATGACGACTAAGAGAACAGCGTTCAACTCCTTAGAAATATACACTGTAGAATAAAAATTCTTTCTCTGTAATTCATGCTGATTGCTCATTCCGCAATTTGCATTCATAGAAAATAATTTAATAATTCTCTCTTTGATCGGTTCTAGATCTCATTGTGTGATCGTTATTGTCAGTAGTACCGAAATGATCTGTAGAGAATCAATCAATTAATGGATTCATATATATGTTGCACCTGTATTCCGCAATCTGTGATATTTTTGCGTAAACCCTATATTTTACACAGGAGATAATTATTATTTGTCCCTTATTGGTTTAGCGTAAAAAAAAAAATTGTACATTTACCTAACTGAGGAGTAATTTCTGCTATGACCTAATTTCAGCTAATCGACACAGTGGGCCTATCAATGTTATTTCTACTGGAATTTAACTTGCTCTTAATTACAATGAAATTCAAAGAACGTTTATCGTTTTTAATTATGTAGAAAATTACTCGCTCGGCTATATCATACCATATATGTTTAAGATCTTAAAAGTTCGTTCCTAATCGACTAATATTTCTTCCAAAGAAATTTAGTTATTCAATATATAATATATATTGTAAGATATATATTATTAAAGCATTTTACAATTTTCGTTATCTATTTTATATAGGTGGTACGTATATTTAATGGTATTATTAGTTATTATCATGAGAAACAATACACTAACTGTGAATAAAAGACTGTCTGCTAATGAGCTATCAGTTTCAATTGGATTAATCCGATTTTTTACGTTATTTACGTAGTCAATGTACGTACGTAATGTAAAGTAGCTGTAAATGTCTCTGCTGTAAATCGAATCAACTTAATGTATAAATGTACTACGTATTCATGTAATATACATATGTTATATTTGCCTTATCACAATACCTTAACTCTTTACCTGCATCTCAGTTAGAATGCTCGATTATTTAAAGTTGTTTATTTCGAAGTAAAGTTTGAAAGAGCTTATGGTATAAAACGCCAGAGCGCGGTTAAATCAGCGAATTATTAATTAATGATTGTGAATTTACTGGTACGCGGACACGGAATTTGAGTATAAATCGTAAATTCCATGAGCTCTGGTTCCCTGAAACTACATCATTATTGTACAGTAACATTAATACGACGATTAACACTAGTATAACACAGCTCACAGCGAATATTTTACACCCAAATTCTCTTTCGTTTTACATTATTTTGATATTGGCACACTTGTGTTCTTTGTGTAAGGAACGTGCTCCTTGTGAGAGGGGGTTCTATTGGAGAGTACACTAAATATGAGTTTGATAAATAATACAAGAAAACAAAATGAAAGTAACGGCAGTGCTCATTGCCATTCAAAAGAGGAAATCCTTCTTAATTCTTTTTGAATGATAAAATTAAACTATAGAAATTGGCCTAAATAAAATATAGGTTTTCGTTTGTATCGTATAGGGAATACAGAAATACTATTACTTTTGCAAAGTTATAGGGGAAAATAATAGCGCAAGATTTTCTTTGCGTCAGATGGTCATCCCACTATTCTCGTGCATTACTGTCAGTAGTACCGAAATGATCTGTAGAGAATCAATCAATTAACGGATTCATTTATATTTTGCTCTTATATTCCGCAATCTGTGATATTTTTGCGTAAACCTTATATTTTACACAGGAAATACTTATTATTTGTTTCTTATTGGTTTAGGGTTATAAGAAATGTACATGTACTTAACTGAGGAATACTTTTTGCTATGACCTAATTTAAGCTAATCGAAACAGTGGGCCTATCTATGTTATTTCTACTGGAATTTTACTTGCTCATTACAATAACTAATATTTCTTCCAAAGAAATTTAGTTATTCAATACATAATATATATTGTAAGATATGTATTATTATAGCATTTTACAATATTCGTCATCAACTTGATACAGGTGGTACGTATATTTAATGGTATTATTAGTCATTATCATGAGGAACAATACACTAATTGTCAAAAACAGACTGTCTGCTAATGAACTATCAGTTTGAAATGAATTAATCAGATTTTTTGTTATTTACGTAGTGGATGTACGTATGTAATGTAAAGTAGCTATAAATATCTCTGCTGTAAATTGAATTGACTTAATGTATGAATGTAGTACGGTATTTAGATAAATCCATTAATCCATTTGTTGTATCAGGTATGGTTATTTACTTGTCACCCATCTGGAAAAAATGAGTTTGTTTAAGATCTTTTCTTAGTTCATTCTAATTATAAAAATATGGTGTATATCGTGTCAGAGACGCGAATCATTTACACCTAAATTCTCTTTCATTTTCCATTATTTTGACATTGGTACACGTGTGCTCCTCGTACAAGAAACAAGGGGGTTCTATTGGAACGTACACTGAATATTAGTTTAATAAACAATACGAAGAAATAAAATTGAAGTAATGGCAGTGCTCATTGTCATTCAACAGGGGAGATACTTCTTCATTCATTGTGAATGGTAGTTTCAAACTATAGGGAATACAGAAATACTATTATTTTGCAAAATTGCAAAGGAAAATAATAGCGCAAGACTTTCTTTGCTTCAGATGGTCGTCGCACTATTCTCATGCAATACATTTCTCTTATTAGAACCAACTAGACAGCAGCCTTAATATTCTGTCAAAATTGAATAAGTATGAACGTATAGAGAACATTATACTGACTCTTGCAGCTTTTATCAGTTGATCCTCAATAAATGCAATCAATGTAGGTATGTCTTCTTTGCCATGGAACGTAATGCGTTTTCTTTCTCCATCTATAAATAACTTGAAGCTGCAACATTCAAATATGTGTTAAATTCTTCACATTCGAGCTGGACAAACCCGTGTGATAATTGCTAACGTACGTAGGGAAATGAGTAATATTCTCACGAATGCATATAGATTCGTGAGTAGCACAGTCAATCTTTACTATCCTCATATGATCGTGTTTATATTTGTCATAAGTTTCACGTAGGTGCTTCCAAAAAGGTTGAATATCCTGGTCAAGTCTAGGATAAAATAAAGAAAATATAAACTTCTGATTCAATGCTACATGCAATTATGCGAAGAAAGTATAAGACTAATACGAGTACATCCAAAAGAATCAATAAAAATACTTGCTTGGAGTTATAGTACATAGTAAAATGATGATGTGGAGCATGTCCCTCAAGGAATGGTTCTTCAGTATTGTATTGTACGATACGCGCATCTTCCTCCTGTGCAAATGCAATTTGCGCGGGCACAAGAAACAATAAATAAACGCTTTTCCTGATCATGATGTGATGCTATTTTATTTTTAGGGATTTAAGTGCTTCAAACCATCTCTTCTGACTGCAGTCTAAAATAAAAATATGAATTTAACGTCAGTCTCTTATAAGACAGTTCAATATATACTACTCGTCATCCACCTGGAAGAAATTAGTTTGTTTAAGATATTTTTTTAACTCATTCTTATCATAAAAATATGGTGAAAAAAATCATTCCATTTATACAAATAATTTCAGAAATGCGAGTCTTTTACAACTAAATGTTCCATTATTTTGACATTAGTACACGTGTGTTCCTCGTGTAAGAAACAAGGTGGTTCTACTGGAGGGTACACTAAATATTAGTTTGATAAAAAATACGAAAAAATTAAATTGAAGTAATGGCAGTGCTCATCGTCATTCAACAGGGGAGATTCTTCTTAATTCATTTTGAATGGTAATTTCAAACTATAGACATTGGCTTAAATAAAATGTAGGTTTTCATTTGTATCGTATAGGGAATACAGAAATACTATTACTTTTGCAAAATTATAGAGGTAAATAATGGTGCAAAATTGTCTTTGCGTCAGGTGGTCATCCCACTATTCTCGTGCATTACTGTCAGTAGTACCGAAATGATCTGTAGAAAATCAATCAATTAACGGATTCATTTATATTTTGCTCTTATATTCTGCAATCTGTGATATTTTTGCGTAAACCACATATTTTATGCAGGAAATAATTATTATTTGTTCCTTATTGGTTCAGCGTAAAATAAATTGTGCACTTACCTAACTGAGGAGTAATTTCTGCTACGATCTAATTTCAGCTAATCGACACAGTGGGCCTAACAATGTTATTTCTACTGAAATTTAACATGGTCTTAATTACAATGAAATTGAAAGAACGTCTATCGTATTTAATTATCTAGAAAATTACTTGCTCGGCTATATCATATCACATATGTTTAAAACCTTAAAAGTATGTTCCTAATCGACTAATATTCCATTCAAACAAAATTTATTTGTTCAATATATAATACATATTGTAAGAAGATATGTATTATTAAAGCATTTTACAATATTCGTCATCAACTTGATACAGGTGGTACGTATATTTAATGGTATTATTAGTCATTATCATGAGGAACAATACACTTTTTGTCAAAAAAAGACTGTCTGCTAATGAACTATCAGTTTGAAATGAATTAATCAGATTTTTTGTTATTTACGTAGTGGATGTACGTATGTAATGTAAAATAGCTATAAATATCTCTGCTGTAAATTGAATTGACTTAATGTATGAATGTAGTACGGTATTTAGATAAATCTATCAATCCATTTGTTGTATCAGGTATGGTTATTTACTTGTCACCCATCTGGAAAAAATGAGTTTGTTTAAGATCTTTTCTTAGTTCATTCTAATTATAAAAATATGGTGTATATCGTGTCAGAGACGCGAATCATTTACACCTAAATTCTCTTTCATTTTCCATTATTTTGACATTGGTACACGTGTGCTCCTCGTATAAGAAACAAGGGGGCTCAATTGAATATCCTGGTCAAGTCTAGGATAAAATAAAGAAAATATAAACTTCTGATTCAATGCTACATGCAATTATGCGAAGAAAGTATAAGACTAATACGAGTACATCCAAAAGAATCAATAAAAATACTTGCTTGGAGTTATAGTACATAGTAAAATGATGATGTGGAGCATGTCCCTCAAGGAATGGTTCTTCAGTATTGTATTGTACGATACGCGCATCTTCCTCCTGTGCAAATGCAATTTGCGCGGGCACAAGAAACAATAAATAAACGCCTTTCCTGATCATGATGTGATGCTATTTTATTTTTAGGGATTTAAGTGCTTCAAACCGTCTCTTCTGACTGCAGTCTAAAATAAAAATATGAATTTAACGTCAGTCTCTTATAAGACAGTTCAATATATACTACTCGTCATCCACCTGGAAGAAATTAGTTTGTTTAAGATATTTTTTTAACTCATTCTTATCATAAAAATATGGTGAAAAAAATCATTCCATTTATACAAATAATTTCAGAAATGCGAGTCTTTTACAACTAAATGTTCCATTATTTTGACATTAGTACACGTGTGTTCCTCGTGTAAGAAACAAGGTGGTTCTACTGGAGGGTACACTAAATATTAGTTTGATAAAAAATACGAAAAAATTAAATTGAAGTAATGGCAGTGCTCATCGTCATTCAACAGGGGAGATTCTTCTTAATTCATTTTGAATGGTAATTTCAAACTATAGACATTGGCTTAAATAAAATGTAGGTTTTCATTTGTATCGTATAGGGAATACAGAAATACTATTACTTTTGCAAAATTATAGAGGTAAATAATGGTGCAAAATTGTCTTTGCGTCAGGTGGTCATCCCACTATTCTCGTGCATTACTGTCAGTAGTACCGAAATGATCTGTAGAAAATCAATCAATTAACGGATTCATTTATATTTTGCTCTTATATTCCGCAATCTGTGATATTTTTGCGTAAACCTTATATTTTACACAGGAAATACTTATTATTTGTTTCTTATTGGTTTAGGGTTATAAGAAATGTACATGTACTTAACTGAGGAATACTTTTTGCTATGACCTAATTTAAGCTAATCGAAACAGTGGGCCTATCTATGTTATTTCTACTGGAATTTTACTTGCTCATTACAATAACTAATATTTCTTCCAAAGAAATTTAGTTATTCAATACATAATATATATTGTAAGATATGTATTATTATAGCATTTTACAATATTCGTCATCAACTTGATACAGGTGGTACGTATATTTAATGGTATTATTAGTCATTATCATGAGGAACAATACACTAATTGTCAAAAACAGACTGTCTGCTAATGAACTATCAGTTTGAAATGAATTAATCAGATTTTTTGTTATTTACGTAGTGGATGTACGTATGTAATGTAAAGTAGTCTTAATTACAATGAAATTGAAAGAACGTCTATCGTATTTAATTATCTAGAAAATTACTTGCTCGGCTATATCATATCACATGTTTAAAATTTTAAAAGTTCGTTCGTACGTTCCTAATCGACTAATATTTCTTCTAAAGAAATTTATTTATTCAATATATAATACATATTGTAGGAAGATATATATTATTAAAGCATTTTACAATTTTCGTTATCAATTTGATATAGGTGGTACGTATATTTAATGGTATTATTAGTCATTATCATGAGAAACAATACACGAACCGTGTATAAAAGATTATCTGCTAATGAGCTATCAGTTTCAAATGGATGAATGTTTATGTTATTTACATGGTCAATGTACGTACGTAATGTAAAGTAGCTGTAAATGTCTCTACTGTGAATCGAATCGACTTTTTGTATAAATGTACTACGTATTCATGTAATATACATGTTATATTTGCCTTATCACAATACCTTACCTCTTTACTTACATCTTAGTCAAAGTGCTTGATTATTTACTCTGTAATTGTGGATTGGTTGTTAAATAAATATTTTTAAAGAATGCGGGTTTCAGATTATTTGCAGAATTTTTTAATAAGATTAATTGTCTAATTTTTGTTAATGAGTAAAGACGATTGATTACAGTATAACGGTAGTAAAATGTACTATATAACTGTTAGTTTCAAGTAAATTATGTCCGTCTTATTAGAAAATGTTGGGGTTTATAGAATATCACAAGAATTGCAATTATTAAGTTACTATTCGATAAACTCAATGAGCTATTAATGAAAACGTGAAATGTTTATCGAAATGCGAAAATCGTTTATTTCGAAGTAAAGTTAGAAAGAGCTTATGGTATAAAACGCCAGAGCGCGGTTAAATCAATGAATTAATGATTATGAATTTAGTGGTACGCGACCACGGAATTTGAATATAAACTGTAAACTCCATGAGCTCTGATTCCCTAAAACTACATCATTATTGTACAGTAACATTAATAAGATGATTAACACTAGTATAAATGATCACAGCTCGTCGTGCGACTGAAGATGATGCATGACAAATTCGTAGAGATCCTCGAAAGTGCGTGATCCGTTGTACTCAAATATTTTATGTCCATCACGGTACAAGAGTAAAGTTGGGAAACCGTCGACTTCCTGGTCATTGCAGAGCTGCTTGCTAGATTCTAAAGTACAATCAACCTTAACTATTTTTACGTTTTCATTGGAAATGAATTTTTTCCCTAGATCTTCCCAGGTCGGTGCTAATCGTTTGCAGTGACCGCACCAGGGTGCGAAGAATTTGACGAAGGTCACTCCTTTTTTAATGCTCTGATCAAAAGTCTCACCCGTGAGGGTCAACACAGAATATAAAGTATCATCTGCGTTATCCTTCTTATCTTCAGTTCTATCTGCATTCTTGCCAAGCATCATAGACACGTAGGCCTTAAGATCTTCGTGGCCACGCTGACCTGTGTATTTGTCGATTTTCTTGCCATCCTCAATCCAGAGCAGGGTAGGATATCCCTTGATGTCAAATTGACTACAGACTGCCCGATGTTGAGTGCAGTCAATCTTAGCTATGCTTACTGACTTGTCATGACTATGACTGTTGGCAAGCTCGTCCCAGATCGGAGCCAGTTTTTGGCAATGACCACACCATGGAGCATAAAACTTGACAAAGTGTGACCCTGATGACACGTGTTTGTCAAAAGTGTCTTCTGTTAACTCTATCAAACCGTTTATTGCGTCAGGTATGGTTATTTGCTCGTCATCCACCTGGAAGAAATTAGTTTGTTTAAGATCTTTGTTCAGTTTGTTCTAATACATAAAAATATGGTATAAATATACAATAATGACGTCAGAGGCGCGAGTTTTTACACCCAAATTCTCTTTCATTTTCCATTATTTTGACATTGGCACACGTGTTCTCATTGTGAAAGGGGCGTGCTCCTTGTGAAAGGGGGTTCTATTGGAAGGTACACTAAATATTAGTTTGATAAATAATACGAGAAAACAAAATGGAACTAATGACAGTGCTCACTGTCATTCAACAGGAGAGATTCTTCTTAATTCTTTTTGAATGGTAATTTCAAACTATAGACATTAGCTTAAATAAAATAAAGGTTTTCTTTTGTTTCGTATAAGGAATACAGGAATGCTATTACTTTTGCAAAATTATAGAGGGAAATAATGGCGCAAGACTTTCTTTGCTTCAGATGCTCATCGCACTATTCTCATGCATTATATTTCTCTATTAGAACCAATGAAACAGCAGCCTTAATATTCTATCAAAATTCAATAAGTATGAGCGTATAGAAAACATTATACTGACTGATGGAGGGCTACCCAGTTGCTCGTTAATAAATGAAGTCAACGTAGGTATGTCTCGTGTGCCACGGAACTTAATGCCTTTACTTTCTCCAGCTTTGAAGAACTTTAAGCTGCAACATTCAAATATGTGTTAAGTTCTTTAGATTGAAGCTGAACAAATCAGTGTGATAACTGCTAACGTACGTAGGGTAACCAGTAACATCCTGATCAGAGCATACAGAGCTGTCAGTAGTACAATCAACCTTTGCAATCTTGACATGACTATCTTCATCTTCGTTTAACATTTCAGCTAGCTGCTCCCAAATAGGTGCAAGCCTCTTGCAATGTCCACACCTAGAATAAAATACAGAAAATATCAACTTCTGATTCAATGCTACATACAGTATACACATAATACCAGTATATCCAAAAGAATCAATAAAAATACTCACCAAGGGGCATAGAACATAACAAAATGATTTTTCTTAACAATTTCCTCAGGGAATGTTTCTTCATTATATTGTACGGTATGCACATCTTCCTCGTGTGCAAATGCAATTTGCGCGAGCACAAATAACAATAAATAAATGCCTTTCCTGATCATGATGTAATGTTACTTTATTCTTAGAGATTTAAATGCTTCAAACCGTCTCCTCTGTTTGCAGTCTGAAATAAAAGTATAATTTATTGCGAGGAGGTTTATGTAGGCACTACACAAAGAAGTGCCGCAAAAATGAGAATCATGCAAGTTAGTCATTTGAGTATAAATCGGTATACAAATTTAACCAACATTTAAAGAAATCTACCTAACAAATAAAATCTTCTAAGCTGCGTAATGGTATCACTTTATTCAATGACTTTTCAACAGGCTTATTCAAGATTATATGTTTCTTACTAAACAGCTCTTTATATTCTACCAATTCTACGGATCGAAAATACGGATTCCGCCCTCCGCACATGCTACGTGTATTGCGCCACCAGTATTCAATCTCGATACTAAAACCATAGAACTTCCGATTGTTCCTGCAGATGAATTAACGTTCTTTTGTTTCATGAAAAAAATGACCCCTGCAATGTTTCTAACAATATGGAGTACCGTCAGAATGAAACTTGTTCTGCTTCAAAAAACAATATTCGACATTGATTATTGGATTTGGCAGTGATTTAATAATTCCAGAAGAAAGCCTCGAGCGAACTTCGAGTACATAAAATTAATCTTTGTCCAGTCAGACAACTAAATTTCAAATATTCCGGAACTGACGCTTATCATATACTTGAGTAGATCTGAGATATATATTGCAGCTTATTGACCCAATCTGCAAATATGCATAACTTGAATTTTTAATAACTTATTCTGAATAATATGTTTTTTATTGTCAGTAATAACTAATATTACATAAATGCTAAAAGTTTTTCTTATTTAACTCTAACAGTGTTGACTTCATAGTTATCCAATAACGTCATTATTGTACGCAATTCGGGAGTACTAAAAAATATAAATTGAATTTTATATAAAGTATAAATGGCTAACATAAGATTCTTTGTCATTAGTTAGCCAACACAATCCATTTTATGTTTATTTCAATCCTGCTTATCGTGTTGGAAATGTACCACGTGCAAATTATGCGAACCTCTTGTATACGTATACCCTCTTTGCCTGTTTACTAAATGAAATTACAAGTTTTACATTATGAAAAGATCGTTTTAATACAAGAAGTTAATTTCATATAGTATTGCATTCCTGCAGTTTATGTAGGAATCGATAAAGGGCAGCAAGAAGCGCAAGCGTTAGCAACTAACGACGCATGTCAGCTGTCAGCCGTGATATGTAATAATAATCAAAGGTAGTATCTTCTTATGAAGTATTCACTTCGCTGCTCCAAATAGTCTTCCACAACAAGTACGAACATTGTCGTGTGCCCTTCAGATTTTTAAATGGCTTGCGATAACCGTAACAAAGTGTATTTGGGCTATGAAGACGAATACGTCACTGAAAAGCATCGCTCCCTTGTTAACTTTACCACCAACAAAATTGGTGGTAAGCCGGTAAGTCATTGAAGTATTAAGTAATTAATATCATTTACGCATGCCATTTACAAAATACGAAATATATTTTACAATGTTTTCATTTATACAGGACTGGCATAATACCAAGGGTCTGTTGTCGGCACCACAATGCAGACTTTGTGGGTTGTATCAACTGTTAGCGTTGCAACTTTATGTACCCTTAGATAATTCCAAATATCATCGTACACTTTATATATTTGCATGTATTAATCCTAATTGTTGGAATCAAAATGAGAGCTGGAGTTGTCTGAGGGTTCAGTCATTGGAAGAGACGACTAATACATGCTGTACAGAGAGTAGTACAGTCACAGTACCATCAACAGCTAATTGGCTTCCAGAGTCTGATGATTGGGGGGATAGCTGGAACGATAATTCATCTGAACAGAATGGAAATAATTTACTGAATGATCCTAAAAAGTTTAGCCTCTCTGTGAGTAATGCAAGCTTCGACGAGGATTTGAATGATGAATTCTCTGAGTTGCACATGGATGATCCCAATGCTAATAGGTAAATATTATCTAGGTATCCTGCTGTAATATTTACATGCATCTATTAAAATGATATCATTATAGTCCTGCAAGTATAGAATCACCTATCGGAGGAGGAGCAGTCGGCAGACTAGATTCCCCACATGCATCTGCAGAAATAGAAGGCGAAGAAAGTGAAGTTGTATGCATCGATACTCCAACTCGACCTCAATGTGATTTAGTCAGCCTCCTTCATGAGGTAACTCCGCTACCGGTTCTCCATATAGAATCGAAGGCAGAACCGAGTCTCACTTTCACGGAAATATTCATTTCCGTCGATGAGGAGGATTGCAGCAATCAAGTACCGCAACACGTACGCGATCTATACCTCGAATATCAGCGACGTAATCCTGAGTTATCCATGAATGCTGCATTAGAATCCGGAGACTCCAAAGGCACAGAAACTAATCCTGAGAAATACGAAAAAGGAATACCGGCACATGGGGATGAGATGTTCCACGATTTTCTCAGTCGGATACAGATCAACCCAGGCCAAATATTAAGGTATAACTGTAAGCCTATAGAAACCAATTAGAGCATTTAAGTTATATCCACGATACAATTATTATACGATTATACATTGTAGGTATTCCCGAGATGATACAGCTCCATTATTATTATATCCAATGGGTGGTTGCACAGGTCGATGTAGGCATTGTGGCGACGAGATGATATTTGAGCTCCAAATTCTTCCAACAATTATTCCTAAGCTTAAACTAAATCCTAGACATGAACGTAACTTCCAAATAGAATTTGGTACAGTTTTGATATATACCTGTGTAAGAAGCTGCTGGTCCGCAACAGATTCTTATAGAGAGGAACACGTTATCGTACAAGCCGAAAGATTGTAGTAACAATTCTGAATGAATGATTATAATGAAGAGGAGTACAATCTAACAGTCTACTAGGACAATTACTGTCATGTTACCTACGTAGAAATGTACCGTCCACTGCTTCATACACATGAGACAACTCGTAACAGAAAGTCAATTTTATATTGAACTCGATGTTACTCGCCTCGATAAGTATTTCTACAGATGTCAGTGCTGTCGGTATGAATGAGTAGTTTTATTCTCTAGTCGGGAGTCTTGAGTACATATTTGATTACTCATAAAAATATCCTTAAATGATACTTATAAATTGTGATTAAAAAGTTTTGCTAAGACAGATATAAGAATTTCGACGACAGAGTAATTTGTAAGGAATTAGTAGCGGGACATGCTCTATATAATTTCTGTCATTATCTTAGTTTTCGAATTTAGATATTACACTGCTGTTAAGAATTGATTATTAATATTATACTGAGCTATCTAATTTCGACAATGAAAGATTTTTGTGCATTTTAACTGGATCGCCCTGTACAGTTTTTCTCTTTTGTTGACTTATAGTCAAAGTGAATAAGTAAAAACTATTGAATTATTTCCATAGTTATATTTTCTGGATTATTTAATGAAGTAGGATATATCGAATTCGAATATCTTACAATTAGAAACTTCTAGAATGTGACTCGATACGAGACGGAGGCCGAAGTTCGATGTGATTGTCACTGTAAACACCAGGTATATTAGTTATTGTTATTACATAATTTGTAACGTATAAGATCAATTACTAACAGTATATAGAATAAACCATAGAAAACAAAGAAAAGTGGTACAGTCTTCGGCCGTTTTCGTATGACGACTAATTCACGTATGAAGTATTGAGTCAAGCTATTGTAGAAATGATGCTTACAAAATTCTATTTAAAAAAGTTGTTTTGTTATAAAGCAATTAAGATAATATGAAATTACTATCGATAGTAATTAATTACACATTAGTTTCTACTTTTCAAAGCCTTTGACTATTCTAGAGCTTTTTTGCCAAAGGACAAACTAAAACTGAATCTTTTAATAATTTTGTTTATGTAACTTGTACATAACGTAAGAAGACAAATTCGTTATTTTATTATATTATTCTGTGCTTCTGCTAAATCCAAATAAGTCTCAAAAATAAGTGGTAAAACATAGTACTGCTAGTCTTTGTAAACTGTCCAAGTAGAAAATAAAAATAAAAAAATCAATGATATTCTGCTATGTGATAATCAAAACTTTCTCAGGTACACCCACAGGATAGTATGAATTTTAATGCAATAAAATGAAGTAATGACAAACAACCAAATCAATAATCACAAAATTTATTACTCCTTATTCACTGCATCTGTATACTACATTAATTACAATCTTATGTATAGAACATATGGTACCTTTACAAATGAAAATTAGTTGTGGTACTCAAACATAAATAAGAAATTCAGCAGCTCATAGTATTACGCTTTTTCTTTTGTTTTTCGTTGTTTCATTTGTTTACAGAAATGATCTATTCTTACCATTCAAAAGTCTTTTTCATTACTTTTATCAGTTCCGATGAAAATCCTGAACAAAGTCAATAGTACACAACTGTTTAATTATTATTATTTCTGTTGATGAAATGATTTGTTCTCACAGGAATAAATATTTTAACTAAACGTTCATGACCAAAGGATGATCAATAATATATCCCTGATTTTTAACTGTTAATTCAGCTAATTCTGCTCTGACGTAATCACCGTTTACCAACTCTCCAGCTTCAATTTCCTGAGCGATGAACTTTACTCTATCACCGATTTTGACAGTCAGCACCATTGATAAACGCATATCTTGTTCGCTATTTTTAATGCCTGTACAATATGCTCTTGAGGCACGTCCTAGAACTGCAGAGACGACGTAAGAAAGTGTTGCCATTTCATTTAGTCTGAGAAGATCCATCTGTTTTTCAGAGACTTCGGTTCCATAACGATTAAGTAGTAGTTTGGCAGATGTTTTTACTTGGTTTATACAAAACTCCAATACATCTGCTGATGGCGAAAGACTTGGGTGCAAATATTCGTGTATCTTCAACTTTTCCTTCTTTGGTGAGAAAAAAAGATTCTTGAGGGTATAGGCAGGATTCTCTGCAGGATTTCTCTCCTTCATGATTGTTGGGTAGAGTTCAATTCCCGCGTGCTGAAGTCCTAACAGTGCTGTGTAGATACTTGTATCGATGTTACTACAGTCAAATAAATTCATACCCAATGCATCTCTATATATACGTTCGAAAGGATTTTCTTTTAAATAACTTTGGGCTCCAATTAATTGCATCGCTTTGTAGATATTCTTCACACATTCATTCGTGCAGTACGATTCCACTATTGTACTTTCTACTATTATATCTTGGTCATCATATATGTCTGCCATTCCTGTTGTCAAATATGTGATACTTTCCATGGCATATAATGACATAGTTATATCCGCTAAGATTTTTTGTGTGCTCTGGTACTGATATAACATTCTGTTAAAATGTTTCCTGCGTAGTACATGTACTGTTAATATATTTAAGAAATTCTTTAGAATTGCTATAGCTTGTCCACCAATGTTATATCTTTCTATATTGAACATATTTTTTAATATTTCAGGTCCTTGACCCAGATTACCAAGTATATTCTTAACAGGGACTTTTGTGTCCTTAAATGTAATTGTGGATGTCTTTAAACCACGTTGTCCTAAAGTTTCAATTGGTTTACTTGAAGTTATACCCCCATGATCACGCTCAACAAGTATTGCAGTGAGAGAGTTATCTGTTTTATAGGTATCTGCATGCTGAGTACAATTTGCAAATACAATAAAGAAGTCTGCATCTGGACCATTCGATACAAAAGTCTTTTCCCCGTTTATATATAGATATTCACCACAAACTGAATATGATGCTATTGTATTTAATTTTGTAGCATTGGGTCCGCTAGATGCCTCTGTAATTGCTATAGCAGGTATAATTTCTCCAGATGCTATCTTTGGCAAGTACTCCAACTTTTGTTCTACTGATCCATATCTCGTTAATAGTTCCACAGGCATTACTACCTGCTTCAAAAGGTAAGAACCAAGAGATGGTACCAGACTGACTGTTTCAACTAATTTAACAAATTCAGTACTTGTTAAATTAATTCCATTATACAATTCATCGATTCTGGCTCGGCTTATGCCAAAATCCTGAAAACGTTTTCTGAGATCCTCAGGAAAAGCTCCTTTCTCATCAATTTCTCTTCCATTAATATTCTTCTTAACGTACTCCTCTATGGGCTTAAGCCATGAATTAAATTCTCTGTTTCTGTCATTTGAATGTGCCTCTGGATAAACAAGAAACTCTGTGTCGAATTTTCCAATAAAGAAATTCTTAACAAAAGGTTCTCTTCGTGGTTTCTTTGCTAATAGTGCTGGTAATTTCTTCTCGAGGTTATATATTTCTTGTATAGCAGATTCGGGTGCACTGTGGGAATATCTTCTTGGATAACCATTTCTGTTTTTAAATCGCAATACCGACTGTTTTGGTAATATGTTACGAGTCAACATTTTTTTATAGTTCAAACTTGCAACAAGTAAAATGAACTATACTAAAATCACAAAAAGTTCACTTAGTTCCCAAAACTTCATGCACAACAGATCAACGAGCCGGTGTGTGCAGTACCGTCATGTATATATGTATGTATAGTATGTAATACTATACAGTATGTAATACTATACTATATAGTATATACTATATAGTATATACTATATACTATATGTATGTAATACTATATAGTATGTAATACTATACTTCAGTCATGTAATAAATACAATAGTATGCTCAACTTTTGCTACAAAATACGTAATTGCATGGTATTAAGCAATTATTAGACACAAGCTAACGATATTCCTCAAATACGTTCCGTTTCAATAATAAATGGTAATTTTTATATTTATACTGAACTAAAAATAATAAAGACATTTGTATAAAATCTCCCTACTCATCTCTGATTCTTATATCTCAGTGATCGAGACACATATCTCTCAGCGCTCTCGACTCATGTTCGAACACACCTACAGTGCTTCGGAGCACGTAAAAACGTTTCCACGAACGGACCTATTATTGGAATATGAGTTCAAAGTTTCTGCTAAATAAATCTGTAAATTTTGAGATATAGTATAGTGCCGCTATTGAAAAGTATTTAAAAAAAAAGGTTGAACCATGTTTATACAATCCTCCCAAAAATCCTAAATTGCAAGAATCTAGTGTACTTAAATATTACTCTTGGTAATTAATCAACATTGGACATTTTTTAAATATTCTACCTGTTCGTTTTTGCGATTTTTAAAGCTTTGTAACACTATAAGTATGTTCAAAATTGATCCACCAGCGCCGAAAATATCGTTATGCTACGATGGAATGCATTCAATAGAAACACGACAATGTCCTGAGTGATGTTGGCTCTTTTTTGAATCGCTTATAGTACTCCAAAGGCTTAAAAGTACAAAAACGAACGGATCATATCTTTAAAAAATGAAAAAAGTAATTTTATGCACTCCGAAAATAACTTCGTGAACGATTGGAAAACATACAGATTTCCAGATCCATGGGGCAGTTTTAAGTGAGTTTAGTAACGTAAAAAAAACGGAGCAACTGAGCAGTGGAGACGCGGTCGGCAGTTACGTTTATGTGTGTGTCAACAGTTCGCATAAACATATTGGAGCAAAAAGTGAATGTTGAGAAAACATGATATTGTGGAGTGGAATTTGACAGAAATACTTATTTAAAGCAAGGTGAAGAACATTAAATCTTTGGCGTGGATGCATTTTTTTCTGTTTTTTTATGGGTAACCGCCAAAACTATGGCCTGTGACGCCATCTTGAGCACTATTGTTGACAATTTAATAAATTAGATGCATTAGCGTATCATTTTTTAAACATTCTGGATGGCCAATAATTTATAATTATTTCGGTAATGTTTTATCAAAAATAGAGCTCTTTACGATAATTCCGTATGTCATGTTACTTCAATCCTAATTACATGTTGTATTTTCATTTATTATGTACACTATTTGTTTGTCAATGTTTATAACATTACTGAACCTGCTCTAATATCCGTGTTCAAAAGTAGGATGCACTTCATTCAATAATACGACACTAATGTTCCATTGCAAATTTTAATTGTAGGTTCTGTGTGAGGAGTTTCAATTATGTTTTACGCACACTTTGTTCTGGCCAAAAAGGGGCCATTGGCTCGTATTTGGCTAGCGGCTCACTGGGATAAAAAGTTAACAAAGGCTCATGTATTTGAGACCAATATTGAAAAATCTGTTGATGGAATTTTACAACCTAAGGTAATACCTGTTTTTATAAAATACGAGTATATTCATTACATTGAAATTTCATGGATATTTTAATATAAAAGAAATAAGTGTACTATTGCACAAGTTGCACCTTTCTGTAAAATTAAATTTTATCAAAAAAAGGTGAAAATGGCTCTGAGAACATCAGGCCATCTCCTACTTGGAGTCGTAAGGATATATTCAAGAAAGGCAAAATACCTTTTGGCTGACTGCAATGAAGCTTTTGTAAAAATCAAGATGGCCTTTCGGCCTGGTATGGTTGACTTACCAGAGGAACATCGAGAGGCTGCAGTTAATGCAATTACGCTACCAGAAGTCTTTCATGATTTTGATACTGCTATGCCAGAGTTGAAGTAAGTTCAAAAACTACATCATTTTTTACTAAACTAGTATTATTAACATTACTATAATTATGTATTTGATTAAACAGAGATGTGGATATTGAGGCTCAGTTTAGTCTCAATCAATCCAGAGCAGAGGAGATCACAATGAGAGAAGATTATGGTAGTCTGTCTCTAGTTACTCACGATCAAGGATTTGGGGATATGAGTTTCGATGCAGAACCTCCAGAATTGTTACGGCATGCTGGTAGCATAGAACCATCCCTAGATCAGGTACCTTCTTCTTATGAGATGTATGATATTAATTACTAATTTATATCCTTATTTAGAGCCACATGTTGTTCAGCGATGGACCTGGAATAGAATCAGCATTAGACCAAAAAGAGAAAGAGCCTATTGCAGGAACATCAGCAACGGCACAAGCAATGGATATTGACACACCTATTAGAGATGATGGCTTTGGTGGCCATCTTGGGCAGGATATTATATGTAAGTCAAAACAAATTACTCTTATTTAAATTTATGCCTAGCCATTTAAAAAAATTAACTTTTCACTTGCCATTCAGCTGGTGGCTTATTCGAAGGAGGTCTTTTTGACGAAGCACCGATAGGAGAAGTATCGGTACCTGAAGTGAGCGCAATAAGCGACCAACAGGAAGCTGTAGCTGCAGCAGGTGTAACGTCTCCTGCTCATGATGAGTCCGACGAAGACATGGGTGATCATTTTGGTGGACCATCATCACCAATGGGTGGAATTAGGTATAAACTCATTACCACTCTAATCTCATAAGTTGTATTGAATTATATCTTTCAATTTGGATACTAATCCCTTACATTGAACGTTACAACTCTAGTAGTTCAGAAGGCTCTAGACCAGCTACACCAGCTGCGGTTGGTGAAGAAGTTGAAGGGAGAGCTAGTGTGGCTAGTCGGCGTTTCACACCTGCACCACCGACTATTCCTGAAGAGCATCCAATGGAAACAATCGAGGAACCTCCACCTTTGCAAGATCAAACGACACTATTGCACGATGAGGAGGAAAGTTTCGCACTCGCACCTGTTGATGCGTCTGCCCTTAAAGGTATACCGCTTTTATGTATTCTTATTACAATTGAAGTAAACGAAGGATACATTACTGAATATCTTTTCAGGCTTCACTAAAGCAAAACGCAAACGTAAACTCATTGTCGACGAGGTTAAAAATATTTCCGGTGAGGAGATGAAGGCCCAACTTTCGGATACCAGTGATATTATTACTACTTTGGATTTGGCACCACCAACCAAGAGGCTGATGCACTGGAAGGAAACTGGTGGCGTTGAAAAACTCTTTGCTTTACCAGGAAGACCTATTCCTGCTCGTGCACTGTTTAAGGTGAAGAAAAACAATATTTTTTCAAGAATTGTTAGTATAATTGTCATTTTTTCAGAATTATCAACGACATTTGACCAGCAAGTCTTACGATCATGAAGACTTTGGAAGACTTGGTGCAGAAGAGGATGGTCTGCCACTTGAGCAAATGAGAGACGCTGCAGAGACTGACGTTCCTTCGTTTGAGCCAAGCATTCTTGGGAAACGAATGGGCCGTAAACGTAAAGCACCTGCAGAAGAAGAGGTTCGTCGAGTAAAAGTTACTTATCGTCATTTTTATTTATTTTTTCTATTATTCCAACTATCCTTCGTTCGACGACTAAAAGATTTTTTCTTACTTCTTGTATAGCCAAAAGGAACACCGGTACAACCTGCACCTCTTACACCATTGGAAGTCACTCAACCTTCCATGAGTGCAGAAAGTATCGAAGTATCAAGCATGATTCCACCTACGCCCTTGCCATCCGCACCTTCGCCAATGCCTCCAGAAGTGTCTCTACCAGTAGAACCTTCGGTACCCGACATAAGTGGCATAATACCCTCTGTCGAACCAAGTGAAATTATTGGAGGACCTCCAGAGACACCAACCCTTGGATTGGAGATGCCTCAAATTCCTCCAGCGGATGTTAGTTCGCTTCTTGGTGCTCCTGAAGAACAACCTGTCCCACAGACTCCCACACAGCCCGGAGAGGTACCTCTGCAACCATCGGAGTTACCACAAATGGAAAATATGGGATATGATCAAGTAAGTCTTATGTAAAATAATAATTTCAATACTTAATCAACCCAAATATCAATAGAAATCGTTTTAATTCATGTTATATTCAGGCTCAACCTCAAGTATCGTATATGGGATATGATGAACACCATCCTCCAGCGCATACGCCTGGTGCGATTTCGGAAAGAGGTCCGGCCACACCTTGGAATCATGAAGATTACGAATTCCCACCCTCAGTTGGACCGGTATTTATTAAAATATGTTTACGTCTACTGAAATTCTCTATATAAATCATATTCAACTGTTTTTATTTCTTCTGCGCAGCAAGAGGAACAACAAATAGATGAAACCTACGAGCAGTTCGAAGAACGTGTGCTGAATAAGAGAGCAGCACACATGTACCATGTTATTAAGAGCAAACTGGACACCAAAGACAGATTGACGTTCTCGGAAATGGCGTACAAGAATAATCGCAAGCAGGTACAAATTGTGGCATATAATAATAAAGATAAGTTATCAGAATAGATTGAACAGTCGTACAATAATTGTTTATCTATTTACAGGCCGCGCAGAAATTTTACACGTTATTAGTTCTCAAGAAATTCCAAGTACTGGAACTAAGCCAAGAACACTCCTACGCCGAAATACTAGTTACCAAAGGGCCGAAATTCGAAACTCCTGCATTATAAAAATGGAGGGAAAGAAAACCATCCTGCCGATTACGCGAGAAACTGCGGTATAAATGCGTCCTTTTGCACACAACAAGCCACGCCTGGTTATCAGCTTAAATTTCTACGAGGCTAGCCAATTTCTTATAATGAATATTTTAAAAATTCGTTTTACAAATTGGTTTTATCAGTTGCATATTTTTTTGTTGATTGCGTATGCACGCAGTGCCAGGGCCGAATATTTTTATTTCCCTGAACACGTAATAGCCGACCGAGCGTCTCTGTCACTTTTTCCATGGTAGGCTTACACAGTAAAGTTAAAGTATAATAACTCATTTCTTTATTCGAAGTTGCCTTCAAATTATGTTTTACGTAGGTAATTTTAGAAATAGCGAATACATATCACTTCTTTGATACGTGGACAGTTTGCATTTTGTAAAGGACACATAGAGCCACAAATCCGATGATTCCTATTGGAAGCAGTTATTTATCAATTATCAAGCACTTTTTTTTACATACGTTCATTTATCGCCTATGGGTTGTATGAGACGACAATGCAACAGCAACAGATACTCATTTTCGTTCTCAATGGCAAAGATTCGAAATTAATTTTTACAAAGTTACATTACATTATTGAAATTTGTGTTAAATTCATTTTTTTTTAATATATATATATTTTGTCATTTTGTAAAATGAATGCATAGTGTATAGATATACTTTCGAGAGAAACAATTTTTCAATCATTCCCTACGTGTCAGAATCAAAGCATCGATCATTTGAGCAAGTTTGTATGTATTATATATCACCTGTAAAAGATACTTTACATATTTTTTCATGCATGATATATATTAATTTTCCTAGTTGGAAACTCGTCATCGTGTAACTAACACTAACGAAAATCAGTAGGATGCATAGAAGAAAAAAAAATCAGTTTCACGCAAGATGAAATGTATTCATCGATCATTAATGAATATGTTAGGAATGGTTCTATTAATAAGATCATAGTCAATATATAATAACGCAATACGCAGAAGTCAATGTCATCGTAATGCGAAATAAATTAAACAAAAGCGACAGGACAGAATAGAATTCGTAGAGGTGGTATGTATTCTATTAGGTATGCATTTAACATTATCATACGTGAAAGGCGTGTATAAATATTATTTTCTATCGTGCGCCATTGCACCTTCTCTGATCATTGACATTTGAACAAATGACATCTTTATATTTGATTAATAAACATCGGCGCTGTCCAACTTGTCTCGCTCAAGTGAAATAACATTATTCGATACAACGTATAGTAGCAGATCAAACCATATCAAAACTGCATAGAGGAGGGTATGGTTGATTAAATTTTTACAAAATCTGATTATATCTTTTACCACAAATATATACCTAATATTAAGTCACGTACCCTTGAATGGTCTATTCTGCCTATACGTTATATAGAAGCTTAAGTGAGATTTACTTGAAATAATATATCGAATAAGCGCATGTCCAATTTTATTACCGCTACACGTTTTATATAGTGCATCATTATATTATTGTTGAGATGGTTCTTCAGTTAGAATTATTATAAATGCGTATAATGTATTGGAACATGTTAATGAAAGAGAGAGAGACATAGAGTGTATGTGTGAAAGAATAATGAAAATGAAATCAAAAGCTTGTTGGACAGCTCTGATTTTCTATAATATCTTATTACGTAACGTATTCCTCTAATATTGATTAGGAATACGAGATCATTAAATGTAATATATTATGATAATAAAATTCTAATGATGAAACGGGTACGTCACGTGGAAAATAGTAGCGTCATATATACACATACAAATTGATAAGGGATAACAAAAAGGAAACAATATAGGTAATTGGGTTATATTATTTACAAATGAAAGAAAACTAATTTAAATAGAATGGAAAAGCTTTATTTCGTATCTTTCCTTTTTTTAAAGAGTTAGTAAATTCATACATGAAGCATCAACGTGTTTGTGTGATTTTAATTAATTTATGATTATTCTCAACGCGATAATGTAAAGGTAATTATTATTATTTATTATACGTCGATTAGACCTCTATCAATCCAGCCTTTTTATGGGGTGAAAAGATGCGTGTAAAAAATAATGAATCGTAAGTGAAAGAAAAGTTAAAGTGATAAGTGCAATTTTTAAATTAACCATCTAATTCACCGGCGGCCATTGCGTCATGATAGCTCTTATCATTGCTACGGTCAGGATCAAGCCTAATCATATCATCGATTCGCAAAATAGTGATTGCTGCCTCGGTAGCGAATTTCAATGATTTTATCTTCGAAATGGCTGGTTCCAATACTCCAGCTTTCTTGTTATCTCTGACGGTTCCTTCCAGCAGGTCTAGCCCAACCCATTTGAGGTGTGCGTGATCGGCATTTGTTTGACTGGAATTCTGATACGCTCGTAATTTTGCTACTAGGTCTGTAGCATCCTGAGCTGCATTCACTGCTAGGGTCTTTGGTATGACCAATAAGGAACGAGCAAATTCCGCAATGGCGAGTTGTTCCCTTGAGCTCTGTTGAGAAGAAATTGGATATATTTATAGAAATTATGATCTAGAGATTATTATCGTATTATTATTGTGGGGTGCATATGTTTACTTACCAGAGACGTGGCGAAGTTCTCGAGGTAAATTGAAAGAGCAGCTTCGACGCAGCCACCACCGGCGACAACGCTCTTACTCTCTAGGACACGTTTAACGACACACAGAGCATCATGAATGGAACGTTCCATTTCGTCACAGTAGTAATCATTTGGTCCACGGAGAATAATAGAACTGGCAGTCCTTGCTTTCGGTCTGTTAAATTTAATTAATATGTGAAACCGTGATTATATTGATTTTAGGAATTTTAAGGCTTTTAATTTTACCCCTTGATCAAGATCAGCTCATCATCGCAAACGTATTCTTGCGTAACTTCAGCAGCTTCTCCAAGGAAACTGGCATCGAAGCTTTCTTCACCTTCCATATTAGTAAGTGAAGTCAAGAATTGAGCTCCAGTCGCTTTGGCAATGCGCTTGAGATCAGACTTTTTACACCTGCGAACAGCCATAGCACCAGCTTCCACGAAATACTGAAACCAAAGAGAAGTGTCGTTTATCGGAAATGAGAATAGAGTTATGTTTTAGGTATCTGAGTCTGTTTGATATTTATGAAGATCGCGAAGCATACCTTGAGGCAGAGATCATCAATTCCACCAGTAACAAGGATCACGTTAGTTCCTGCAGAGAAGATCTTCTGAATACGCTCCTTGGTTATGTCCGATTCTCGCTGACGGACACCTTCCAACTTCTCAGGATCAGTGATCAACACCTCAACACCCAACTTCAACTTAGCCTTTTGCAGGGAGAAGTCAAGACAGGCGATCTTCGCGTTCGTAACTTTTTTAACCATTGCCTGAGATGCTACTGTGCAGTTTAATGCATAACCATGTACGAGGACCGACTCACGAACGCTCTTGCCATGAGCCTTTAGAACGTTTACAGCGTTGATGGGGTAGAGATGTCCACCTTTACCATCGTTGACCTTTATGGCGTTGGCAGCATCGACAACCATGTTACCAAAGAAATCAGAATCACTATATTTTGTTCAGGAAAATACTTAGAGAAAGTGTATATGGTAAATTCCTGAAAAAGAGGCTATGGGTATAACTGATTGAGAAAGGATACGATCCAATGATCTTGCTAGACATTGCTGTTTTGGCAATGTTAACAAGACAATCCCGTCCCAGTTCATCTACACTGACTGTCAGATGCTCCTGAATATATTTGCAAGCTTCCCTAAGAAATTGATGAATCATGTTATATATGAATTATAATAATTTGTTTTCTTAGAATATCAAAAGACATTTGGAATTTTAATAATCAGGTCCATGACTTACTTGCAAGCAAGTCTGTATCCACTAATTACAGAGGTAGGATGAATCTTTTGTTTAACAAGCTCATCTGCATTTTTCAACAATTCTGCAGCAATAATTACCTGAAATACCCAACTAGGTCAATACTTAATTTCAAACTTTACAAAATTATTACTTACCACAGAAGTGGTACCGTCCCCAACTTCCTCATCTTGAAGTTGTGCTAATTCTACCAATACACGTGCTGCTGGGTGTTCAACTTCCAGCAGACGTAATATAGTAGCTCCATCATTAGTAACAGTAACATCCTAAAATCCAAATTGCATATGTATATTAATTCTCATGAAAATTATGACAAAAAAATCGATAGTCAGGAAGGGAATAAAAGCTTACACCAATGTCATCGACCAGCATCTTATCAAGGCCTACTGGGCCTAAAGAGCTTTTGACAATATTAGCAATGGCAGATGCTGCCATAACTGTAAAGGATAATTTAATTAATTCATATAGTCATGCTATATTTTTCATATTTGATATAATCTACATCGTGTCATACCCTTTTGGAGTACATGAAAGAATCCAGTTACCGTATTAGGCGTGACTCGCGAGTATTCACCAAAATTACAGAATGATCAGGTTAAAATAATTACCATTTTGAGTCCTTACAGGAGCACCAGATTGCCGTTGGCCACCAATGGCTAAAGGACTTGCTAACGTCGACATTTTACAGAAAGGTAAACCGTTTCTACGAAGCTAATACGTTTTTCGGAGCGAAATAAGTTGGAAGAACGTGGGTGAGGTCGATTCAAAGCCGCGTGTGACTACCAATGACTACACGAATAATAACAATGATCAGCGGTAGTCTGTTCTTTTCCCCTTGGACAAATCCGTCACGCGTTTTCACTGGATGCATTCCGTTGAATCTTAAATTTCATTGGTAAAGAATGTCCTGCACAAGATGGCCATCTTCTTGCAAAATGGGAACCCACACGTTTGTGTAGGTGCCGGCAGAAGCTTTCGTTCTTTCTAGAAAATGGTATTTTATAAAATTTCTACAAGATGATAGAAATTTCTTTTGAAGATATTGATTCATTTTTATTTTTTTTTTAAACAAAATAACGATACATAACGAATATAGAATTTGATAAATGTAAATTCAGACTATATATGGGCACAACTATCACGTTCGCCCACGCTATAATGCTATTTTTTTTTTACATAAAATGAAATTGTTACAGGGAAATTATTAAAGACATTGGTAATTATTTTATTTAATATTTTACAGATACTGAATTCTAACTAATCTGTGCCTAACAGTTAAAGTAATTGACTATGTGACAGATAAATCATTTATCAGGAAGAGGTTTCCTTGTTTCAGATTCTACAGCAAATTTACTAAATTCTTCTTTGGTTACTTGTGGCTGTCCTACTAAACGAAGTAGTTTATAATATGAAAGTATAATTTCTGAAAGAAACAGTCATATATATTTCATTTATTCTGATTAATGATTGTAGATTAAAATATTTATAACTTACTGATCAACTATAGACTTTACTTACCAACTGTTTTAGGTTCTAGTTTGGACTCCGAAGCGATCCTAATCGCAGTATATTTGTTAGGATCAGTTGCATGATGGTCAATGTATGAGATCAGTTGTTGCAAGGTGCATTTGCCTTCAGGAACATGAATTGGAGTTGAAAAATCAAACTCATATTGTTCAGTATGTATGTTCTTTGGTAAAGACCTTGTAGAAGTTGGTCTATCAGTGTGTTCTTTAATCTAATAATAAACATATTAATAATTCAATTTTTCACAAGTTCATTTTAAAATAATTACTTACCTCTGGATCGTGAGAACTAATATAAACACTCTTTAATCGATTATCCAAGGATGTATCTTTCTTACGAAGCTGCTCCATAGCATCAGGGTCAACTAGAAAACAATTAAAAAAGAAAACAAATGCACATTGATGAGTGTCTAATATACCTACTCTGTTTCACTTGTTCTATTTGTTTCAATGTTGCGTGAAACTGAGGAGCACGTGTAGGTTTTTCTTTCAATAACACCTTTTGTGCTCGAGCCTCTAGATTAAAATTTTGTAGCTTATGTGCTATCCTTGATGTTACTGCTCCCATTGCACTGTGCTTGCAAATAAATTAAAAATATATTTCTTGAAAAATATGTTTATTCCTTAAATCCAAGGAAGAATCATATGAATCCCAGCACACGACTGTTAATTAATACCTTAATCAATGTCCAGTAGTCTATAATATCAATGAAATAAATAACAAATATTATTTTATTGATGGATAAAGCATCATGAAGAAAGGTTATAATCTTCCAAGCAAAACCCCATGTGTTATTGAATGAGAGCGCATACCTAAATTACGTACTTTACTCATTCGTCCTCTTTCTTAAAGAATGTTAAGTAAAATTGTGCGTTCACAAATGCAACAATTTCCACGATCTACACGAAGAAACCTATTCTTACAATCCCGGTGGAGAGATGTATGTACACGCAATTTAGTATCGGTCGATATAGAAGACAGCTGTGATAAGTAGAATGACAATAAACGATATACCTCGGAAGTAAAACGTCAGATAAAATGCAAAGAATTATAATTGATTTCGATACACCGAAATGTATGTTGACAATTGACGTAACTCCAGGAACGTCATTGCGAAAGAGAATTCCTCGATTTGGTTGTAATATATTTGAAAATAGCGCCGTCCCTCGGTACGGCTCAATGTACGCATCATATTTTTAATAAAGGCATTATGCATTGGATAGACGCTGAATAAAATATCAGCGTCAAACAAAATAGCATCGCGAGCGCTGAGGGTTTCATGGGTTTTTCTGCTCGCGCGTTTCGTGCACACACCGTAAATTACGAAAAAGAGTGTCAAGTCAGTGGAGGAATGTGGCACTTCAAAATGGCTGCCAGTTACTTTAGGAATTTACGGCTGTATCTTTCTTTGTTGTCGCTCGTATAATTGCGGCCGGGAATTAGCAATCAGTGGGATCCTCTTCGTCGAGAAGTGGCGGTTCGAAAGTTTCGCGGATACGTCTTGCCCGGCCCGCAGATCTACGAAAAAAGGGGGAGCGGAATATGCTCGCGAACTACACACTGGCATCACCGTGGCTTTAATGGAACTTATTTCAAGAATATCTTCGGCAACTGTTCTCACTCCTATTAAACAAGTTACCGCACATCACGGTTCGCATATATCGAAAGTCCTCGAGCTGTTGCATTGCGTGTCTTGAGCATAGGTTAAATCTTTGGACCGTGCTGGCTACAGGGATGCGGGATAGCGCTCTTGCTGAAATTTTTGTACCAGAGAAAATTCTCTTCTGAGATCATTACCACTTTCTGGAGAAGATTGGCAGTTTCCAGTGTGTTATTTAAAAATGGAAGCTGCATGAAACAATGCCAAACATTTATCACTTTGTGCAAAGAACTGGAATTTTCAAAGAAGATACTCTGTCTATGTATCATCAGTGACTTGTAATTCATTGGATGCTTCTGCATTTATCTTTAGTGAAACGTACTTTCAAGAGTGTGTCACTATCACTAGTGAAGTGTTGGTATTGTTACGAGAAAGACTTGATTCTTTCTCTAAAGATTATTATAGCTTTGTATTTTATTTTCTGCATTGACACCGTGCTAATTATTGCTACTGCCATGACATCGCAGGGCCTGGAAAGTGAGATATTTTAGCACCAGATTACAATTGTTCTGTAAGCATTACACGACACCAAACATTTGTTTTTGGCAGGATTTACTGCAAAATTATATTTTTATTGTGTTCCTAATGACAATATGTTTATACTTCTTATCTTCAATTATTTATGGCATGATTATCTTTATCATAAAGAATTAGTGATTAATGAGAATTAATATGCTTGTCAAATATCATTGTTTTTATTATTCAACTCTTATGGTTTTCATTTGCTTGGTTTTAAGTATCTAAGAACTGCCACTTCTTTGAATATTATATTTTCTGTGATGCAGCATTAAATAGAAATAAGATATTCAACTATTGGAATATTTACAATCTTCAAGCTATTACAATTGCTGAAACACATAAACCTGTAACAATGAGCATTTAGCTATGACATACTGACGATAACACAATAGTTCATGCTGCTTAGAAGAATCTTGTGAGTTATAATTGTTCTAGTTATGCATGAGTAAAAACATATTCATTTGTTATAAATTATTCTTATTCTATGAATTATGTTGTATGGCAGAACAGTTATAAGAGGCACGATCTATTGTTACAGGTTCATACATGCCACAGCTAGATTGGAGCTAGGTCCCAGAGGACCTAGCATGGGCCACTATGAATCCACCTGCGGTCAGCAAGTCGAGCACTCGTGGCTCTGGATATCATCAAAAAGCACTAGCTGAGATCCGTAATTCACTGCTTCCGTTCGCAAATAGCGGAGGAGCAGGTGAAGTTGGTTCCAGTGCCGCGAGTACTATTTCAACACTCTCTACCACCAGCGGTGTTAGTTCAGCCTCAGGTCTCAGTGGACTCTCTGGCGCATCTGGGTCTGCTGCTGATAAACCTGATCAACGTCAGGCAGTAGCACAGCTATTAGCAATGGGCTATTCCGAGGTATACCCAAAACTAATCATTATCCTTAATAATATGTATCTATATATGTGTAAATATATATCTACATAATTTTTGCATATCCCGTATTCGACTACAGGATATAGGATTGCGTGCCCTGAAGCAAACAGGCTGGAGATTGGACGCGGCTTTAGAGTTCTTGAAACAAGTGCAAGTTGAATCTCTAAATGGTCTTGGCAAATTGAACACGAAGTTGATAAGAAAGCCAAGTTTAGAACGAGAGTTGAGTCTTCAACGTGGTAGTCCTGCCTTAGACAGCGGCGCCGGAAGTTCCCGATCGGATAGTCCACGTCTGACGGAACTGAGTCCACATCCTCAGTTAAGCAGACAATACTCACCCAGTAGTTTCGTAGAACGAGAACCTCCGCCACCGCCACCACCAAGATGCAGCTCAACACCACCACCACCACCACCTCCACACGCCCCATACAGTCAGCCAAACGTACCCACCAATATGCAACAAATGCTCAAGCGAATGTCACCAGCCCCAGTTGTGCCTTCTCGTCCACCTCCAGCGGCGCCTGGAACCGCCGGTTCGACGTCTGGCTCCGTCAATCCACCTCAAAGAGGCACGAGTCCCGTGGCGACATCCAACAGTAGTTCCAACGGTCGTCAACCGATGATCGTGCAGAATGGCCCTCAGGTCCAACAACAGCTCACTCAACAAATGCAAGCTCTGAGTATTTATCAGTCAGCAAACAATAGCTCGAGTGCTCAGGTAGAACCGCCACCACCGTATCCCATAGTACCCTCCTCGTCGGCTGGTCCCGTTCAGCCACCCTCGTACAGTGCATCTATGCAAAACCGTCAGAGTCCCACACAGTCCCAGCAGGATTATCGAAAGAGTCCATCATCAGGTATTTATTCAGGACCTACATCTGCTGGATCACCAAGTCCCATAACGGTATCCACAGTCTCACCAAGTACTCAAACCTCAATGGCCAGACCTACACCGTTACAGGCCTGGGGTGCTCGTCAGGCAAAGACCCAACCTCTAGTGATCATGCAATCAGTGAAGAGTACCCAGGTCCAGAAACCGGTGTTGCAAACAGCCATTGCGCCAACATCACCTCAACCGATTTCCACAACGAGTAACACTCCACCACCACCGCCATCCTACGCCTCCTCAATTCAACAGAAGCAACAGCAACAACCACCCCCGGCGTATCCTCCAGTGAACAACGCCGGTACTACACCAGCTAGTTCTATAAGCATGGGCGTTCCTGTAGGAGTTCCTACAACGGAGCCACCTAGTTATGCCACAACGATGCAAGCTTTAGCTGCCCAAAGAGGAATGCATCATCCTCTTCCTCCACCACCCTATGGAACACCCACCGACGACTCTTCCGGCATATCTACTGTGGAAAGTGGCACCACACCGAGATCCTCACCAGTAGCACATCATCCACCGCTTCAAAGAAAGTACTCACCCGCTGAGAGTGGTCAGCATCCATCGGAAACACCTCCGTTACCACCAACTGCCTCTACTTCTGTCTCGTCGAGGAACAACAATAATCATCCTTCCTTACCCGATGGAAGCGGTGCAAAGGGTGGTCCCTCGCCATCATCATACAAGATAAAACATCAATCTCCTATACCTGAACGGAAACACATGAGCAAAGAGAAAGAGGAGGAACGTAGAGACTGCAAAGTACGCAACTATTCACCCCAGGCGTTCAAGTTCTTCATGGAGCAGCACGTAGAGAACGTATTAAAATCCCACAAACAACGGCTCTACAGGCGTCTTCAGCTGGAAACGGAAATGGCAAAGATTGGCCTGAGTACTGAAGCTCAATGTCAAATGAGGAAAATGTTATCTCAAAAGGAATCGAATTACATCAGGCTCAAGAGAGCCAAGATGGACAAGTCTATGTTCACGAAAATAAAGCCAATCGGCGTTGGTGCTTTCGGTGAAGTGACTCTAGTAAGAAAACTTGATACTAATCAATTTTACGCCATGAAGACGCTTCGCAAGGCCGACGTTCTAAATCGTAATCAAGTTGCCCACGTGAAGGCAGAACGCGATATTCTGGCGGAAGCTGATAACGAATGGGTCGTCAAGCTTTATTATTCCTTTCAAGACAAGGATAATCTTTACTTTGTCATGGATTATATTCCTGGTGGGGATCTGATGTCCCTTCTCATTAAATTCGGCATCTTCAAAGAAGCCTTGGCGAGGTTTTACATCGCTGAGTTAACGTGCGCCGTGGAAAGTGTTCACAAAATGGGATTTATTCACAGAGATATAAAGCCGGATAATATTCTTATCGACCGGGACGGACATATAAAGCTCACGGATTTTGGATTGTGCACTGGGTTCCGTTGGACCCACAACTCAAAGTATTATCAGCAAAATGGTAGAGTATTAATTTTTCATATGAATTCGTTAATCTCCAATCCTAGCAATTCATTTAAATTACTCCGGATATAACTTAATTATATAAATCTGCTTATACCTAGGTCACGGTAAGCAGGATTCCATGGATCCAGCTGACGATTGGAACAACGAATGTCGGTGCATCCAGTTAAAACCATTAGAACGAAGACGTCACAGAGAACATCAACGATGTTTAGCTCATTCTCTTGTTGGTACACCCAATTACATTGCACCAGAAGTACTACAACGTACAGGTTACACGCAGTTGTGCGACTGGTGGAGTGTGGGTGTAATACTCTACGAGATGCTTGTGGGTTCTCCGCCATTTCTCGCAAATACACCAGCAGAAACGCAGTACAAGGTATTACAAAATTAAATATTACAATGGTATAAATTGTAATTAGTAACGTTATATCCGTAAACGATACTCATTACTGTTTCTCAGGTAATAAACTGGGAGACAACACTGCATATTCCAAAACAAGCAAATCTCTCGCCAGAAGGGATGGACCTAATACTGAAGCTTTGCGTGGGTGCTGATCGTCGGCTGGGAAAGAATGCGGATGAGGTGAAAAGCCATCCATTTTTTGCTAGCATTGATTTTGAAAAAGGTTTACGTCGCCAGGCGGCGCCACATATACCTCGCATACAGTACCCTACCGACACGAGTAACTTTGATCCGGTGGATCCTGACAAATTGAGAAATTCCGAATCCTCGGATTCAAATAAGTCGGACGAACTCCTAGACAACGGGAAACCATTTCACGGTTTCTTCGAGTTCACATTTAGACGCTTCTTTGATGATGGTGGTGGTCCTGCATATCCTAGTCGAATAAGTTTGGACGATAACGACAATCAAGGTCCTGTTTATGTATGACATTAGGCTAGTTTAACGAGGCGACGATCGTAAGGCAAATTCACGCCAGCGATTACTTGTCTTACGTTTGTTTCACATTCTCCAAGGAAACTACTTCTTCCTCCTCTCTTTTATTACTTCTTCTTTCTTTTCGTCCCTCGATCCTACGCCATACTGAGCTCTCGTGAACGAAGTCACATCCACTTCGAATCTGCGACGTTGCCCTGTATTTCTTTTTCTTTCCTTCACTATGAACAATTTATCACAACTTAACGTAATCGGACGAGACTGTACAGCAAACGTGCATTGTTAACGTGACGTTTTTTCGTGATCGGTTGCATCGATCGAATCAACTGCGTCACTTGCAGTGACCGCCGCATTTTATATCAGGTCCATTCGCGATGAATATTCGACGTCCAACGTCGATCGCCAATATGGTAAGAATCGATAATCGACAGGATGAAATTTTTCAATTAGCTCGACAGTGTCGATTTTTGAAAATTTTTCTCACCGGTGCATCCGTAGCTACCACCAATACGTCCATTACGTTATTTTACAGTGGTGTATAGGTGTCTCGCATAATCGGACGAAGCGTAACTCTCATAGCGTACTATAACTGTGCAAAAAGTAAAATTTAAAAAAACGGCGAAGCGACGTCGCGTTGTTTTTCGCGCTGAGGAGGAATATATTTTGTTTTTATTCCATTATGGCTTAATCGCGATACGAGGATCGCGGATACAAGATAAGACGAAGTTTCAAGGTACAATTTCGGCTTAAAGGCGAATGTGTTTATAATGATGGGCGACGGCCGGGGAGTATAAAGGAGAGCGACAAGATTGACTCATGGCTTGGCAATGTATTGTCATAAAAGTATATTTTGCAGATATTTTGCTTGCCATTTTCATTCGTTCGCATCGGCTTTCATTATCGGAAAGTACACGTTTAGTATGTTTCAGCAAGTACTGTGATATTGCAGATAATTAGTATAATGTGGCTTATAAACTATTATATTGGTCCTATTTAACGTTTTCTTTTATATCAAACGATTACTTCTAATATTATTATTATTATTATTGTATTAATTATTGTATAGATTCTGTGAATGAATGTAATGTGTTCATTGCGTATTATGCAGCTTTTAAATGTCTAAACGTTTTGTAATACCCACTTACTCTAAGCAACATTGCTTGATATATCGTCACAATACATACGTTAGCCGTGTCCGTTCTTCTCTGTAAGATTAATCAGTTGCGTAATCTTTGAATTTGCTGTTGCACAAAAGAAAAGACAGTTTTTAGTCTATACGAGCAGAGGGAAAGAGAGAAAGAGAGTGCGAGCAAAGCATTGTATCGAGCAACTAGTCGCAAGGGAATGTAATTTTGGATTTTAAAAAAGATAAAAGTAAACGGAACTAATTAGAAAATTCGGGATTCAGGATAACGCGCGGTGATTTTGTATTGCGCAAGCGAATTTTGTCGGTAATTTAAAAATTCAATGGCTGTTTTGCCTTTTGATTATAGAACGAACAAAGAAGCAACGATCGATTCGTTTAATCAGGGATCAGTTGTTTTTTTGACGGCAACAGGAGTGCCTTGTGTCATTGGACAAAAGTGCCTTCTATCGTAAAATAATGTTAATAACGATTAGGTATTCTCGTAGAAATTTACCTCTCTCTTTCGGCGACGGTAAATAATTTTTATTTGCCTCATCTTCGACATTCGTGCCCTCGTTACGTAACCCGAGGTTATACGTACGGTGAGGCTTGACTGTTGGATGTTAGGCAGTGCACGCTAAAGAATTGCAATTGTATGTACTATGTACAAAGTAAAAAGAAAAAAAGAAACAAACTATGAACTTCTATATTATTATACAATGCTGTTCAAATCGAAATAATATTTTGAACGATATCTTTGTACGGAGCTATTAAAGATTTTCTTATATAAAAAGGTAAACGTTCGTTTTTTCGTCTACCTACGCGGTTCTGAGGTAGCGTTACGCGAGCGTACGTTAATTATGATTATCCAATTGTAAACGTTTACCGGATAATCCATCTTATGAAATTTCATAATTTAATTGTTACAATTAATGAATGTACAATAAAACCGAACGATCGAACTGTTGTGAACAGAGGATACACGTGACGGTTAATCAACCGAATGACTTTAGATGATCGTTTATACTTTTTAAGAGTACAACTTTCTTTCTTCATTTCTTTTTTCTCTTTTCTCTTGACTCTCCCTGCTGCTATCACACACCCGATTAATTTAACGATCGCGATGCAATAAGTTTAAACTGCACTGTCCTATGGCTGCTGTCATATTTATATGACTTTCGTCAAAGTCCTTTTGTGCCTTAAATATTTTAATTAAGCCAAATTCCTGTATGATATCGACAGTGTTTCGCTATTAAGTATTTATTGTTATTAGGCGCTTACATTTGTCAATGTACAGGGTAAAGGAATTGTTGTCGAGTCTTTCGCGACAGTGAATATTAATATTATATAATTCATTGATTGAATTTGTGTCGACGTAGTTACGCCATGTAAAGGCATTTAAGGATTTGAGAAGAAGAAAAGAACAAATAATAGAAACCTCTCTCACACATAAGTTAGGTCACATTTTAATTATTGTTAAAGCCATCCATATCTTTGAACGTACAAAACGTTATCATTCGTTATTATCGTTTGACTCCTTAATTATTTCGTCTTTTTCTCTTTTTCTCTGCGTCACCCATCGCTCCGTCAGTTACTTATGTGGAAAAAAAAAGAATTACTGTCTTACATACCGAATCATTACGTAGCATTAAAAGAGTATGTAAATTATTACCGTATATTCGAAGGAAGGGACGAGGTTCTACGTGAACTGTCAAATCGAACGTGCCTTAGGATTTCACCAAAAAGAAAAAAGAAAATAATAACAGACATTGCATAAATACCGAATACCAAAGGGATTATGATTACCGTACTGAAGATGAGAAGCTTTAAAATGCCGCACGCATTAGGAATTGTTATTGATGCGCCAGACATTTGTCACGTGTCCATTTTCTTTTTAATTATATACAGACACGTCACGAGTATCGTATTAGTTACAGCAAATTGGAAATATTTTTCTTCTGATAACTTAACCTTTGGTACAGTTGACAAAAGACACACGGTATATTATACTCTTTAGCTCATTTTCACGACTAAAGAAAATACATGTTATCGCACACGTCGTATATGCATGGGTCTTTTTTTTTGTATTCAGCGTCTTATTTCATCGATTTATACTCAACTCATCGCAATGTTAATTATCCGGTTTGAAAACCAACGACGATTTCCTTAAGTTATTAAATCGCATCGGATTTCTTGCGTTTCGAGGAAGTCCGATGAGAATTTTCTTTTTTTTTTCATTCTCAAACTTTTCCTAGATTAATCATTAAGTCATAGCAGTTAAATTTAATAACTTGCATCGGTTTTTTTGTTGTTTTTAGTAAGCACGTAGTACATAAATTCAGCTCAGCATAGTTTAATATACAGTGTAATAGCATTGTGGGAAGCAGCAGTGAGTGCATGTGCGTCTAACAAAGAACGGATAAACGATTATTCGTTTTAATATCGTAATGCATTATCGTAACGCGATACAGATCTGTTAACTATACTTTTGTCCGCTTTAATATATAAGAGCGAATTTGATCTTCTTGTACATTTTGTAATATCTCCTACAACATTTGTAATTATATAACGCGCGAGAGAAACGTATATAGGGAAACGTAAGATAGTTTTTTAAGGCAGTATAACATGTGAAACTTATGTAAATACTTTGGATGAGTGTTCTAAATTAAAACTACATTTAATGCTCGTGTCTTTTTTATATTTATTTTACAAATATACGTGTCGCATATTCACATTTACTGATTGTAATTCCCGCGCGGAAATTTGCCGCGAATTTCTTGCAATATTCAAACATTAACTTACCCACAGGTGGAAATTGTTATTAGCTTCTGGGAAACTATCGAATATAGTTATTGGCGGATTGCAATGTGGTGGGGGGAGTGCTTTTTTTTCGTTTGCATAAGTTTATGATAACCGTACGAAGATCTCGCCTGACGATTAGCGATCACGCATATACCATCATCAAGTGACGACAAACGACTCCTTCTGTCCCGTGGCAGCTACTCGTGGCCTATGACCTCGGATCTGCATACGACACAGTCAACTGTCCTCGCGCTAAGGTTGTCTGCTAGTCTACTTTACTGTTGGGTGTGATTCAATATATTTCTTGTTAAATTATACACGGAAAATCATGAATCGTATCTTGAAATCACTTGGCAGTAAGGAGACGCGTGAATATTTTTTAAGGTAAGTGCATTCGTCAAATTTGTACTGTTGATTATTGAAAATAAACGATCTGTTGGAAATGGCTTAGTCTACAACTATATTATTTTCAGCACGCATTTTTGGGGACCTATCGCCAACTGGGGAATTCCAATTGCAGCAATTGCTGATATTAAAAGGGATCCGAAATATATTAGTGGAAAAATGACTGTGGGTACGTTGATAAAAATTAATTTGGGCCAAGGTCGAATTAATGACGATTTTTGTATGCCTAACCTAAATGTATGTTTCTCATTAAACTGGTGGTATGTTAGTTATTAGGATGTGTTTTGTAATTGACTTGACGTCAGGATGATATAATTTTGCATATTTTAGGGAATAGCTTTAAACAACTAGTCCGAGTATTAACGCTTGTTTATGCCAATTTATCATATAGTTCATTGTACACGGTTATGCAGTAGAAACACACCATTTGAAGTTAGCCTGTCCATTTGATTTCTGTGGTAGAACCATGTTCAGGTGGTGCGTTTCTACTGAATATCTATACATAGTAATATAGTACATTTTTATTGTGAGCAATAAATCCTAAATTGTATGTCTTGATATAAGTTTTAAGTGTAGGAGTCTAGTTTAATCTTACTTGTCGATGAATGACAACCTAATTATCTTTTACTGTGCTTCCAGCTCTATGTTTGTATTCAGCAATGTTCATGAGGTTCGCATACAAAGTACAACCAAGAAACATGCTTCTGTTCGCATGCCATTTTGTGAATGAAGGAGCTCAACTCACTCAGGGTGCTAGATTTATAAATCACCATTATTTACAAAAAAAGGATGAGAAATAATTAACTAGACAAATTATTATTTATCGATTGAACTATCCCTTGAGTAGGTACTATGTACCTAATCTTCCAGTACTCCTGGGACTTTGTAATATAAAAATTTTAATTGTCATTATTTATTTAAAATTCTGTAAATATAACAAAATATCCAATGCAGGATTAAATCAAATAAATATGTACATAATTTATAAGGATTGCTGTTTATCTACAGTTTCATATTTGTGATAAGGACATCTAACCCTATCTATGTTATAGTGAAAATTTTCTGCTAAGATGATCAAATAAACATTATAAATCACACTTAAAATAATTTGAATAAATAAATATTATTCACTGCACAATGATTACTCTGATATGATTTAAATTTATATATCAAGCGGGCACCGTTATCACGTTATACGAGTCTGCCGATATTCGCATGAATTATGTTCATAACAAATATAATTTACTAAATTTTCGGAGTCGCTCTATCGCGTTATTGCGCAACCGTTTCGTTCCAATTAAATTTTTATTAAAGAAATATATTAAAACCGTTTGGTAACATGACACTGTTCCGTGTTCAAAATTTGACATGCTACATCGTCTCATCACAATTTATCTCAGTCTATATTTAATAATTTATTTTGCTCTATTATCCATTTTACTCTTGACAAAGTTTCATCTGAAAAGACAACAACAAAAAAGATTCTAATGGAGGAAAGAGAAACGGAGTAAGCATGATGATCGAAGAAGATAAATAAAAATGAAAAAGTCATATGTATTAATTACTAAGAACTACAACATGAGGTTTTTTATAAGAAATATCAAAAATGAAAATTCACAAGTTTCTTCATGATCGTCACTCATCGATTGGCCTCATTAGCAACGATTATTTTTGTTTTAACAACAAAACGTTTGCCCGTCCATACGTGGATCGTAATAGTAATGCTCTACTTCTAGTTTAATCAAAAATTAAATAAAACCTGACGTATTTGGATCTTCTAAAAAATATATCCTCAAAATCGACGAGACTAATTTTTGAAGTTATTTGGACTTAAGTTGGCCATTCCCGCGAAGAGTTGTCGGGCGCTTTAGATTTTGGAAAGAAAACCAAAGGAGCTATGAGTGAGTACTGTATAAAATATCTGATTATAGTTTTAGTTTCTTCTAAAAGTAAATGTCATTTAAAAAATTTTAATTGTATATTTGATATCCTACCTCATTCTTAGTCAAATAGATTAAATTACTTTACAAGGTTATAGTAAACATAGATTATATTGTCTCCAATTGGATTTTATTATTTTTATATAAAACATACAAAGCTATTTCGATCATTGCATTAGCAAAGATCGTTGCGCAAAAGCGACAGTATTAAAATGAATAAACTATAAAATTGATGATTCTTTTCAAATTGAAAACAGTTCAAATCTTCAGAGATAGAAGATGAGTTTGTCTTAATATATATAAGAATATTACGAATGTATTACATATATTTAAAAAAATTTGTTATCTCCATTTTGCAGGAGGTTTGATTATAAAAAAAACTTTTAAAAATAAGTATAGTCTTAAAGATTTCAAAAAGACTACGGACGGAATGAGTAAGTCTCATTATTTCAGTGCGAGCAATTCCTAGCTGAAGGATTCCAAAGATTCCACTTAAAAAATTATTCTACGTTTCTAATAACAGTATCTTTTACACTTTAATAATGAAATGTGTCTTCTCAATATCTCCATGGACGGTATTCAGATCTAATTTAACATCATCTTTTACGTGAAATATAAAACGCTGCCTTTGAAACCTTAATTATCTACGGTACGTTGAATAAAATAACACCAATACCAATAGTAAAAGTATCCAACTAGCCTGGGTTGATGCTGCACCAGCCAGTCGACATTTGAACATGTCATATCTGTGAAAAATTCATGAAGGCACGAATAATCAAACATCCAACAAACAATTTATTAATTAATAACAACACTTACCTTGTCTTCGCATCATTAATTATATTAACAAATTCAGCCTCTACTAATTGCCCATCGTAGTAGGTAATTAGATCTTCGAATGGATATTCAAATCCTTGTCTACATTCACACTTGTAACCCCCAGACTCAAAACCTCTACCCAAGATTGGAACGCACTGAGAAAAAATCATTTTAAATCAATTAATTGTTATATCGACATGAATTTGATTATACTGACTGATATACTTACGTATGAGGTTTTCTTGTCGCACTTATGGGTACCTTTGAAAGCATTTGGAACATAATACGCATCGTCGCACTGGTTAATGTCCAGCTGAAGCAAGTCCATGGTAACAGCCACGACACCCCTGTAAGTGTCTTAATGTTAAATATGATCTTCCTTTCCTTCCTCCTTTATTATTAAACTGGTTCCACGAGCAAACTATCTCACACTCAATTTACTAACACGCATATAGAATGGCGAATTGGTGTACTCTCACGCACGTACAGTACTTATACTCACTTGAATTCCAGTTTCTCTTTCAGGCTGTCCCAGCCGAAAAATGGGGATGCATAGGTAATTACCCATTTCTTCACTTTACCGTTACAATCGAAGTAAGGAGCGGTCCAGTGGCCGTGCTTCAGGTTTGCTGCCCTACACAGAGACACCCCATCCGTCCCCACATATTAGAATAAATTACACGTCCAAGATAAAACTCCTGTCCCCTTTCCAAAATCATAATCCCCTTACACTTAGCTCATACTGGGAATTATATTATTCGGTTTCAAGGTTTCTCTACGTCATGCGGAAACTTAGGATCTTAAGTTTCCTTTCTTTCATTTATCTTAATACCGCTGTATTAATTTGACTTAACTCACCTGTAATAATTGGGATAGCGGTCATACTTCTTTAAGGTTTCACCAGTCTCGTTTAAGCGAATTCTTATTTTCATATAATACTTTTCCAAATCGTCAAAATTCGTTGCCCATCTTTGCTTTAATCCTTGGAAGAAATCCTTCTTTGTATACACCTCATCTGCATTGGATTTATGAACGTTAGTGACAGTGTATTCAAGGTATAATTACTCCTGTTTTCTTTTAATCAATCTTACCTGTATCATTGAGTCTTGCCAAATCCTCAACTTTGAACTTTCGCGAGGTCCAATCTTTCTTATATGCGAATGGAGCAAAGAAGGTTCGATTTGTAAACTTGTTCCTGTCCCAGTACGTCCCCGCAGACCAGATTCGCGTATCTCCCATAACCAAGGCGAGGGTCTCGCCAATCATTTGATCTTCAGTAAGGGGTTTGTCTGCAACCCTTTTCCCAGTGTAAACTTCAGTCGGATCCGTTATTTGCAAAAACGCGCTAATAAAGTTTGCCAGTCTGGATGCCATTTTTGCTTCGTTCTCATAAAATTCTCGAGCACCAAAACTTATATCACCATGTAGAGACAACTCATCTGGTGTGTACCTGGTTTAACGTAAGAAAATATATGCCGTTCAATGAATAGTTTACAAACAAAAAGTATAGGTGTTTCATCATTATGCTTCACGTACAAGGAGCAAGTTTTTGCATTAACACCACGTATAAAATTGATAACATTATAAGAATTAATTTTCTCCTCGTGAAGTGCATGTGGACCCACGGTAGAATTTTTATACTCATAAAACTGCTCTAGATACTTTTCACGTAGGAATGGACTCATCTTTTCCCATTTTGTTGGGACCTTGTGTATCCCTGTAAATATATTATATCGTTATTACCATCTTCCTTACGTTCCTTATCTGTATGGATAATACGAGACACACAAGAATCGTTACGCACATCCGATTTTGGAACAATCGAATCCATTGTAGTACTGCTCCTGCGTAGCTCTTTCAATAATCTCTCCAAGATAAGGACGTCTGACTACCGTTGGTAATCTGTATCCTGGTTTACACCTACACTGATAAGCACCTCTCCGAAAACCCCAACCATGTAATGGTTCACACTGAAAAAAAGATTCTTAAGTAACACTCATGAGCTTATCTATAGGAATAAATTTGATAAAGTCTACTGAAGAAATAGTCGCTTACCTCTGTTGTATCTGTCTTACATCGTGCTGTACCGGCAAACCGATTTGGACCAATGTTTCCATTACCTTTTGGACATTGATTTATGTCTATTCTTTCAAAGTCCATTTCTATGACAGTAACAGCAGTGTACCTGTAATATGTACAAATTGATCTCAAGTGAATATAGTGTAGTAAAGGAATTAAATAATTTTGATGAAAGTGTAATGAAGAATTTGATTTTCTGTACTTTTCTTGTGATTTATGAGAATTTTGAAATTTTAATATGGCTACGTAGTACATACGTTGGATATTCTATGTGTCTGAAACCTGTGTGACGTGGATAAATGTCAGCGATGGGAACAACTGCAGCCACGAGCCATCGATTTGATTGTCCACAATCAAAGTATGGTCTCGTCCATTGCACTGGACCAGGATTCTCATCGGCATCTGAAATATTTTTTAGGGATCTTGTATTAAACCTTGGGGTTAGCTTTTTTGCATCTGAAGAACTTTCACATTTTCGCAATGTTACACACCTCGGGGACCATGGAATGAAAATGTTTCATTGGTGTTATTAGCATATCTAATTTCAACTTGATATGTTCTTTTTGTGTCATGTCTTTTACCAACATTATCAGGCAACCACTTTTTATACCTAAACAGAAGATAATGAATAAGATATATTCTACTTAAACGATGTTGCAATATAAATTTATTGAGATGTACCACTCGTTTATCCTATAGTAATCCTGAGTATAGTCACTACTCAGACTGTCTAAAGGAAAAGCTCCAAGATCTTTAACAGTGAATGTATTCATGGTAGATATCCTTTCCAAGTGTATAGGATCATTAAAGTCATCGGCTCTGAATGTCCTAGGTGCGAATCTAGGCATAGTCTTATTGAAGAATCCTCTGTAGGACGGTGAGTAAGACATGTTTGGTGAGAAGTAGATAGCCGAAGCATTAATGTATGGATTAGCAGAGACATCAGCGACCGTAGATAAGAAATAATACATCATGCCAGGATCATAAGTATCATTGATAGCAGGTCTGATGAAACGTGACTGAAGAATATAACTCCAGAAAAAGGACCGGCTCAGTGCCATATTATGCAAATGTAGAAGAGCAGTTCTATTTGGAAAGACTGGATTGATGTGGACATCTTTGATGTCTGGCAAATGAGAGACTGTATCCTCGGGAAGGTAAAGATCCCCAACACGCTGAATAACACAATTATCCGAGGTGACTTTATCTAATCGATTACGAATTTCGTCAAATGCATCACTAGTTTGCCACTCATATTGACCAACAACGCCCAGACACAAACAAGCAACAATCGGCGCTATCCAGCGCCCAAAAAACACCATTCTCGCTGCTATAATGCGTTGTTTCTTCAACTCCTCAGGATCGCGTAAACCAAACCACCATATTATTACTTTCCCTCTGCCTCAAAGACAATAGATAACACCCTTTTCTTATCCTTTGACACTCGTTTCAACTGTTCCCTTGACTACACTATAGAACGCGGTAAACACGCCCTATTGAATGGAAGATGTTGTTGGGTGCGTAATGTGAGTTGTAGCGTAGTTGACGTCACTCATTCCATACCCTGTTTAAACTGATTTCAAGTAAATCAGCAAACAAAATTATCGTCATCGATAGCACAAATAACCTACATCGACATTGGAATATGTAAAGTGAATTGCAAGCAAGCATGTGCCAAGGTTTATACTGTTTAAAACCAGCATAAAAATGTTATAAAAAATACTTAAACCAATACGACAAAACTCGAATGTAGTATAGGCAGAGTAGAATATCCTCTCCCACAACACAAAGCTGCATTATGATGTGAGACCAAAGACGGTAATTGGACAATGAATGAGTCGTTAACCAATGGAATTTACGGAATATCGTCGGAGGAGTATAAACGGGTGTTAAACCAACTCCCATAGGAAACTGTTTTTGTCGAAGGCGCAACAAGTGAACCGCGCTTGAATCTCATCGACGACGACGTTACTATACTACTGGACTAGTCCTAGCATAGTTTCTATCTACGTAGTAACAAAGAGCACGATTTTTAACGATACTTCGCCTGAATTTCCGTTAAAGCGACATATCAGTCATTGAAAAATGTATATGAGGAACGTGGCTCGATCAGAGGACTCGATAATGGAGGGAAAGAAATACAGTGCAACCCCTATTCGGAGATTTTCGAAGTACGTATCAAATATTGTCGACATTCTATAGGTTCTGGCGATTGATAAAACATGCGGCCGAAAACGTGGAACTCGAAAACTAATCAATCTTGTAATATTTACTCACTTTCTTGTTTCTTTGAGCTTTGAATTATTTAAAATCGCTAGAGAATGAGCTAATAGTTTTCAAGGTATATATATATATATATTTATGACGCTCATGCATATCGACGTGTTCATACGCATAAATTACAACCTATATGGTGTGAAAGACCGAGGCAAATTGAGCTTTCCCACTTGGAACATCTCGAAGCACATTCCCAGCAGAAAAGGGAAAACAAAGCTGTGACTTAATGGGACATAACATTTAGGTAGGCTTTGTTATGATAATTTAGCTAGCGCCCCAGTCCAACGACCCCCTGCGGCCTCCGACACCCCGTACAGATTCATGTGTGCGAGCGAGCATAGCTATTATGTCGCCACACAGGTTCACCCCTGTTTACCCGTGAAAAAAAAGATTTTCTCATAGCCAGACAAGTTTTCGGAGCGAGTAGACGACTTGCTGGGGGTCTGCTGCTAATGTTGCTGCTACTGCTCCTCCTGCCACTGCTGCTCCTTCTACTGCTACTCTATACTCCTTGCTCCTGAGAAAAACTTACATTACCGTCTGCCTGTCTGCATTTCGTGATACTCGATATTTACGTGGGAAATAGGGGTGACGACGAGCATTAAGACACCATTGGACACTAGGCTATGCTTGAATTGATTTACTTGGGAAAGCATTGGAAAGTGTGGGATAATTTTTCATTTATACTTAACAAACGTTCAGACATCCTGTATGGTATTTCAGTTTCTTTGGTTTCGCTTCCATTGTAAAAGCACCCTTCTACTAGCGATAATAATAATACTCCGAACATATTGAATGCAGTTGCATCCAGCGAAGAATACCAGCGCTATTTCAGCTGGCTAGAGAAGAGAATGGCAGTTAGCGAGGAATGCTCATTACGGATAGAGAGAAAAAAAGCAGTCAAGCCAAAAGAAGAAAGACAAATAATACAAAGATAAAACTGTAGGAGACTTGCAGTTTTGTTTTTCTCTTCCGAACATCTGGCAAAGTCAAAATAAAAATATGACGGAGAAGAAAACGCCAATTAACCAAAGAGATTAATCCATGAGAGGATGTCTAGCGATTTTTTTACCTCGTCACGAAATCCTCTCCGCAGACGACGTTACGTCGCGACTGTATGCATTGCGCATTAAGCAGAACCACAAGCGCAAACATCCTGCCTCGAAGGAACAGTAGATTCCCTGTAATATCGACGGGAGCGTGTCGACACTGAATTTTCGTAATTGTAGAAATATTTTCCATTTCTTTTACCCAGACTAATCGATGTAGCATATTGTCACGAAGGGGCTTCGCGCTGTTGATTCTATTTTTTTTCCATTCTCGTCCCTTCCTCGTCACCTTCAGCCCTTCGGTAAAGGACGAAAAGAAGCCATTGGCTATTGAGTGTTGCAATTCGAACGACTGGCTATATACCAACGGAGCAGTGTCACAAAAAACTCCTGGGAAATATAATACGTGCGTTAGTCTCAACTAGAACTTTTAAACAAATACGTAAGTCATCCAATCGTCGATACTGTTATTGTTATTTTCACCGAAGAGATGTTTGCGCGAATGCCATTGGCCTCTTTTGTAGGTTAGAGCAATGTTGCGCAAACGTTCGCCTCGGCGTGGCAATGACGCGCTTTTTATATTCAGAAAAGATACCAACGTAGTGCAGTTTCATTGAAATACTTTATGCACAGCGTAAATATTTTTCTACACAACAAAATCCACTTGCCACAATCATGGCGCATATGTATCTCACTTTCGCGAATTGTATTACAAAATGAGCCTACAGTTTGAATATCCCTTTCAAGACTTTTAAGAAATTCTTGTACAGTCTTAGAAATTCATCTTAGGCCCCTACCAATACATGTACATTATTTTAATCTGAAAAATACATTTTTTAATATTCCCCTAATGAATTCGTCGTTAATCACAACGGTGCACAAACTATACCAATCAAAATTTACCTAATACCAATTATCAAGCATTCTATCGTAAGCTTTCTAACGTTAATTTATCAGTTTCTCCTAAATGAGTATTGTTATACCATACCGACGTGTTGACGCTGGAACGCAGAGTGGACGCAGCAGACAGTTCGCAGCCGGCGTCTGGAATATACATGTATACGTGCGTGTATATATATTTACTCTTGCCAAGCCACGTCGCGCAAAGTCAATTAATTACTTTCTACGATACATAAACATGATCTTTCATGTCCCCGCAACGCAAAGAAAACGTTTTCGAAGATTTACACAGAATAATCTCAATAAATATGACGCCCTGGTTTGAATCTTATTAGTAAAAGTCCTTGTTTAGCTTACTGCTGTGCTACGCTCACATTTTCACTGTTCGGGTAGGTTCTGCTTGCTTACGGTGACGGCTGCAATGTAATATAGATATACCTATGACTGTATCTATATACATATATATATATTTTATGCAAATAGGAACGACGTTGCACGAGCGAATTGCTTACCGCCGCGTCAGACAATAGTTAACCTCTCGATATCGTGACGATGCAAAATAATTGCGATAAGCGTTGCGCATTGTGGAATTTCAAAAGCGAGCCCCGTGCACCGGATAATGTGTCAAGATTATACGTCTTGTTTGTGCGGCATTGTACGTCCTATATATATATATATATATATATATATGGACAGATAGATTAACTGCAAGTACACGGAGTAGAGAAAGAGAGAAATTTGTTAATAAACCATTGGTATAAAACGAAGTTTGTTATTTTTTCGGGCAACTAGAAAAAAAAATATCTATTTTCATACATCCCTGTTCAGACTTGTAAACAGAGGAGTTGAGTCTAGGCGTGACTTTTGTGATGTATAAATAAATAAGATTTGTAGCTGCAAGTTGTGCTTTGCGATGCCATTTCTGTTAGGGTTATGTATATGCATATATATATTTCCGTACAGTCGAGTCTCGAGAGAAAAAGTATAAAACATTATATAGCGATATTTAAAAGCGATAGTTGCCTTAGCAACGATACAGTAAAGACTATTGGTGAAGGACGATTAAGCTTACTGTGCTCAGGATGTTCACCAGCCGCTGAAGGATTCGATCGAATGCGAATCCCCGTCGACAAAGAAAGTTTCGTCATGGCGGGTAGACTCGCCCGTTCGAATTTCAACCTCCCACGACAATGCGAGCGTCGCGCAAAAAATGCATTGTGTCTGCGTCGCGCAGACAGCCAGAGTAATAAAGTGGAAGCATGAATAATTGAATTTTTGAATTTGCCCGTGAATGGTTTTCGGTGTAGTTGCGGTTACCGGGAGGAATCGATGCTTTCGTTCTCTCTTACTCTTCTTCCCTTTTGGGCCATCTATCCTTCTCTCTCTCTCTCTCTCTCTCTCTCTCTCTCTCTCTCTCTCTCTCTCTCTCTCTCTCTCTCTCTCTCTCTCTCCCTCTTATTCACACTTTGTTCCTTCTCCTCTCTCGCTCTCTTCACGGAACGTACGAATAACAATTCGTGAGATAAAAATAATCATCAGGAAAGTAGAAAAGTTCGAAGGAACAGGTTTCTGCAAGCGTGTATGCATCGTTTCTCCTTCTCCAAGAGGGACGCGGGTGCACGCTCGACCAGACGAGGTGGCCTACGGTTCGGGCCAGTGCCGTGCATCGTTCACAGGGGGCCCCGTACCCGTCACAGACATGTATACCTGTTTCGTTCTGGACCTACAGGGAAAAAAGGATTCCATTGGTTGGCCTATGATTTCCTAGCTGTATGGTTGTAGCATTTTTCTACTTGTTGATTCGTTCTCTAGGTCCGTATACTCCAGTTTACTTTTTACAACGTCAGCCAGTATTTTTCAACTCCCATGCTTTCAGAGGGAGCGGACACACGTGTCTGGGAATAACGTGGCGACGGTTGGGACCAGACGATTCGAATTTCTCCATGAAAAATACAAACTGTTCCGCCTCCCAGGGCTGAACTCGAGGGATATGCCTGCTGGTGAAACTTGAGACGGGCCCAAAAGCTCCTACTTAGAAATATATATATTATTAATAGTCAAGCACCAACTCGGTACTATTACTCGTTCAATCATTATCGCATATTCATACTGTATTTTCTTTCTGTGTATATATATTATATATATACACACCAAAGAGACCAAAGAGATCAGAGAGCGCGAAGATGATCCGCTAGTAAGGTTATGGTCTACCTTAACCGTGCCAATTGAACTACCTGACGGTCTCTGGCAGTATTGATTTAGCAGCAGTACAAAAGAGTATTCTACCGGTAAATTGTAATGTAAATTAGTACACGGATACTCTCCTGGTACATATAATTCTTTTTCGCCAGTTTCTGCATTGCACTTACGACTTGCCCGCATTTTTATTCCCTGTCGAATCGCCAAATATCGAGTGTCCTTAATATATCTAAAATCAATCGATTTACTCAAGAGTTAATATCTTTTGCACATCGAGGTTCTTGTCTCGGTGCCTCGTTGCATAACGTACGACGATTAACGTGGATTAGGCCTATTTTTGTATCGTGCGAATAATCATAATGAATTATTGGACGAGCACAGGCAGCTTTAACGACGGAACGACTCGACGCCACGTCAATTAAAATTAACGATATCCGTACATACTTTGTCCATATATCCTTTTGTTGTATACATAGAAACGAGGGACTTGAGCTAATCGCTACTAGAAACGAATAAACTGTCTGTGAGTAAACCAAGTTGGTGGCAGGTAAGAGAACAGAATGGAAGTAATGGAGTAGTAGGTACGTTGAAATTGGAGGGAACTCACTTTGGCTGTCCTATATGGAGTCATACGTGTAGAACTATATATATATACTACCAGCATAAAATTAAATAGTATGTGGCAACAGACGTCTGGAAAACAGCGAGACGATCCTCTTTTGTTCTTTGTTCAAACGACTACGAGCATTCTAGTTCCCGTCTAGCTAGACACTGTCTATTCCACTAGCAGTTGGTCGGACATAACTATTTCTATCTTGATCTGCAGGTCTTTTTACTTTGTACAAATATCAAATCTTATTTACACTCGGTGCTGTAATAATTTATATTACACGAAGTAATGAAAATTATCCTTCATTTTGTTTAGTGCATACTTAACCCTGATCCATGTTTTTGGTATACGATTATGAACCGTCGCTGACTGAGGTTGCAAATTCACGGGTAGAGGAGGCTGTGCCAATCCCACGCACGGTAAAACTCAGGAACAGAGGAATTAAGCGCACCTGGAGTTTGTGCGCCCGTAGAAAAGGGTCGGTTGAGACGTCCCTGGTCTAAGGCGGGGCTCTTGTATACCGCGAAGAGAGGCAAGCGGTTGAATCGGATTGGATTGGGGCGCAACTCGCAAGCAAACTGGTTTGGTTTTGTACGGCTTGCACCACTGCACCGCTCTCTCGGCGAGACAGTCCAATTTATGCATTACGGCTATGTAGGCACTACACGATATCAAAACGCTGTGCCCGGACCTTACTCCATTCACCGTTGCAATATTATCTGAATTTCGCAAGTGCCTACACGACTAAATTGTAACACGCCACGCTACGCTACATAAATCTTACGCTTCACACGGGGGACAAAAAAAATACTATATTCGCAGTGCTTTACGATATTTGTTACGTTCGTACGGGGAACCCGTGAGTTTGATAAAAGAATTTAAAAAGAAAAAAAAGTGTTTACGATAAAGAGGAAAAGAACAGGAGGATATCGATAAAATAGGATCGAAAATACGTTATCGTACACCGTCGTGTATTGGACGTCAATCATAATATGAATCATACGATTTCGCATAAAACAACGTGACTCTGTATATTGTGTGTCGAGAAACTGGTGCTCGGTTATATTACACAGGCTTCGTTAACTAATCAACCCTTCGCAACAATTAATCGGCAAAGGTACTGAATGTTTATCATTTTTCCGTTTACACGGTTTTCTTCTCGCTTGTCACTCTATTTTCACGATATTCGTCAGCAACGCGTGTGTCTATGTACGAATTGTTAATGACCTTGCCTACGAACGGCATCAAGTGCATACTCGTGCAACGGCCTTTTCGGTCGAGTCGACTACGCCGGCGAGTCGTGTTTGTCTGGCCGTCCGCGCTCTTTTCTCCTACAACGTCTGGCTATACTTTGAACGCGCCAATGTAATTTCAAAGGTTATAATTAAACTGTGGCTACGCAGGATCCTCGCACAATTCGCTACGGATATTTTCACGTTTCTCGTTGCAGAGACTACAGTAGATATTTTTTGTTGCATTATTAAGCTTGTTCTTTTCTTGCTTCAACCTCTAATGACTAATAGCCGTATTCTCTTTCTCTCACTCTTTTGCCTTTCTCTTCTCTACATTATTTGTGCGTCCAGAGAAGCGTCCTTGGTTTTACGTGCAATGCACGCACGGTTCATTCATCCGTATTTTTGCACGACGGTTAAGGTTAGGGGACTGCGAACGCACACGGGCTCATGCACCATTTATATATGTATATATACGTGTCTCCATAGTCTGGCTGCACCAGGCGAAATATTCGAGGCGGTTACACGAGGCGGAGTATAATCTCGAAGTAGAAAGAGCCGGACGCCCGGCATTGTAACGGACCATTGCAATTAATGCTTTATCGAGCGGTTAGAGGAGAAAGCTCTTTCTTGCACAGACTTTGGTTGGTATAGACGGGAAGAGAGAGAGAGAGAAAGAGAGAGAGAGAGAGAGAGAGAGAGAGAGAAGAAAAGAATGCATCGTATGAAACTCGTGCTCGTTATATACCCGTCATCTTTTTTAATAATCCATTGGTTCGGACGGCTCGTGTAGCTAAATAACCGTGGAAGATCGAAGCGGCGCGATCAAGCGTATTCGAAAAATATGATGGTACAATTTACGGTTCGCCGAGTGCATAATGCACTGGTCGGTCGTCGCGCGTGTGTGCATGTGCGCGGAGCTCTCTCGCATTTTTTTTCTTTTTCTTGTCTTCTTCTTCTTCTTAACTTCTGCACAACAGCCAATGGGGTGCTTTCTGCAAGAAATTCGATTAAATTCGATCGATAGAGCGTCACGTTGAATACTATTGAGAAAGCCGCTGCAATACCTTGCATTCGTGTCACATTTGATAAATGCATCCTATGTGGATAAAACGTTCGTGAATTGCAACTGTGTCATTGAATCGTTCTTTAGAATGCAAATTTCTTAAGGAATTGTTTTGTTTGAAAGTGACGTGGAGACCAATGAGAATTGGCAGATTGTGTGTCATTTCCTAGAAGGAAATATATCGGTAGGATTTAATAATAACTTTGATAGTGCGTAAATAGTAAAAATGCATAGAAGCGGAATTGCATATCAAAAGGAGGTTAATGCGTGCGGAAGGTGCAGGAACGACGAGCGCGCGCGCCACGGCGTTCGCCCAGTGCATTTTGCATGTTGCGAACTTTTTCCATCTCCGTGTTTTTGCGAGAGCCAATGAGAATTCGCAAGGGCGCCAGAAAGAAAATGGCCAACGCGTGGCCGCTGGGTTCGAGCGTATCTTTGCGCGTCGTTTTGTGAACCCCGTAGTTCGCGATCACGTTGACGTCTGCCGCCATTTCCTCGCAGGAGGATTCCGTTCGGTAATTTTTAGAGGTAATAGAAGCGCGCGAGCCATTAAGAAACGTCCATTTATTTGGCTTGCCGGCATCTCTGACGCCGTGATAAATTGCGCGTTCGGAATTCGTTCGTCGGAACAAACAGGTGCGAGTGTTGTGTCGAGTGCAGAAAGTGCATCGCATTCCTCGAGACGTCTAGATGCAGTTCCTTTGCCGGCCGGCGGCGCCCGACGTCTTTTCGCAATTTGCGAATCTATTTTAACGTTTTCAAACTCGTTACCTCTCGCTTTTCATAGGGTTTCTCGTACTGTCTCCTACGACGTCGAATTTGTTCTACCCGCCTTTTATCGCGGCGCTAGCCATACCAAATCCGCTATTGTTCGCTTCCTGGGAAAAGTTTTTTTTCCTCTCTCTTTGTCCCTCTCTATTTCTTTCCCTCGGTTTCCTTTTTCCATTCTCACACACTTACAAACACTCTCTCCCTCTCTCTCTCTATCTCGTAGTCTATCTGGTTATCTATTTATCTTTCACTCTAACTCCGTGGACCTTCGGCACCCAGCTGCTCGAGCAAGTATCATCATCCAGAATTACTCACCGTTGATCTTCCCGCATTTGTTAAGAATACTGGATGCTTTGTAAGGGCGCGCGTAAAGAATTTTTCTCGTGAGAATTGCTGCCCGCTGCTCGTTGATCAGTTAGCGCGGGAAATGTGACGCTCCGTACAATTCAATCTTGAGGATTCCTTGGCGATGCGTCAACTCGCGGAATTTTCATGTTGAATGGCTAGAATATTGGGGGACGGCCGGTTGAGGATGGTCCGTTCACTGTCATTCGAATGGCCTTTGTCAGTCGTTGCTCCGAAATCGTCAGGTTCACACGACCACATTCGATAAAGACGGCGGCAGTTGCATAGCAACCCGTGACTTTGACTTTTCTTTCTCCTTTTCTGTTTAACAACTCCCTTGAGGTACCATTTAGAATAGTGCGAATTATTTTGGTTTTTTTTTCTCATCATTTTACCCTACCTTTTCTACATCCCTTTTTCCAACTATAATTGAAGATTTTTCGTGTATCGTTTTGAAATTGAATCCTCCAATGATGTAGTGTTGAGGCGGGAAATTCGCGTAACGCATCGTTTCGTATTTCGGCAAAAGAATTTTCGTGTTTTAAGTAGTGTTCAAGTTGATTGCTGAGTTGTATTCTTAAGTAAAATTACTGACAGATCGGTGTTATGTAAGTTTTGTGAAATTATTTTTATAAAAGTGCGGGCAACTCGGTTTTTCTTTTTTTTCTTTTACGCAGTGTGGAGAACAAATTAATTTTTAATACGCTCTGTTGATTTCAATTGGTTTTTTTTTTAAATATCTACTTTTGTATTATTTTTCGATTACTCAGTGGCGCGGATAAAGTATCGCGGAGTCGGTTTAAATTAGAATATTTCTTTTTTTCTCTTCTGTGGGGACATTAATATTTATAATGTGAAAAATGTTCCATGAATTTTGATTATAAATGAAACTATCAATAATTTATGACTTGCAAGCTGACCTGTCAGGATAATAATGTGCTTATTTTTTAAAATGACATACGATTATAGTTTATCTTGTACTTAAAACATATTGACAGAGATTAGAAGTGTGGTTTTTCTGTTGCTTTAGCTATGGCAGAGGGGAATGGGGAAATAAAAATGGAGGAAAAGCAGTCCAAGGAGGAGATGGAATATGTGGAAAGGACAGAGGATTATGCAAAACTGATCCAGTATGGACTCGATGAGAAAGTTGCAGCAAAACTTGACGAAATCTATAAGACCGGCAAGCTAGCTCACGTGGACTTGGATGAGAGAGCATTGGATGCATTAAGGGAGTTTCCAGTGGAAGGTGCATTAAATGTACTCACGCAGTTTCTTGAATCTAATTTGGAACATGTCTCCAACAAGTCTGCATACCTCTGTGGTGTTATGAAGACATATAGGCAGAAGACTAGAGCTGGACAAGGAACTGGCACCAGTACGACATCCAAAGCACCAGACGAGGATAAAATTAAGGTAAATACCATACAATAATCATTGCACTTCAAGCTACTACAATACTTTGAATACCAATCTTTACTCTATAACCAAGTATACCTTAGTCAACATTCTTTGCATGGACAACATTTTTTGCTATTTTTAACCTCATACTTTTTTTATTGTCTGTATATGTGAGAACATGCTATATGATATGCGTATGATGTTCCTGCATACATACGATGCCTTTATATTTTTGCTCGTATTCCTGATTTATTGCAACACATGATAATCTGTAGTAAATGACTGTGCGCCGAATGTATTTATCAAGTTTCGCGTAAGGTCATAAGATGATATCAACAGCGAGAGACGAAGTAAAAAAGAAATGAGACATAGAAAATGCATGGATTAGCAAAACACACCTAATTGGTTAAATATTTTGTTCCTTTATTGCACATCTGGTTTGCCACTGTGTAAACTGAGACATTTCGTATATTTTTCCATGGTATGTGTGTCTGCAATGCAAGTCATTGCAAACAGGATTTCCTCAATGTATTACACCGCTTCTCTTTATAATTCCACCTATGATGACAAATGATTCGCACCATACTTTTACCTAATCATTGACAATGCATTTCCATGCAGATGATACTCGAAAGAACTGGATACCCCTTAGATGTGACGACGGGACAAAGAAAATACGGCGGTCCACCTCCTAATTGGGAGGGTCCTACTCCAGGAAATGGTTGCGAGGTAAATTAAACATCCATTGTCAGCTTATTTATGCTAGAGCCATTTACATTCGCCTGCAGTTACATAATCAAAAGTGATTCATTTTTCCATAATGCTTCCAAGGATAATTATGATCTGACAAAATAATTCCAAACTCTTCTTTCTATAATTGTATACAGAGTTCTACGAGTTTTGCTGCGACAATCATATTTGACAGCTATTACAATCTCACTTTGTTTGAGCACTGTTTTATTTGCGATTAGCTTCACAAGATTGGTTTCTAGAAATTCATAGTAACATTGACAGCTGTCAAACTTGACTAACGAGCCTCCAATAGATGGTACTCTGCAGAGAGTGCGTAGCTGCACATAGAAGAATTTATAAAATTGACTATGACTTTTCTGTTCGAAGGTGTTTTGTGGAAAGATCCCAAAAGATATGTACGAAGATGAGTTGATTCCATTATTTGAAAAATGTGGAAAAATTTGGGATCTGAGGCTGATGATGGACCCCATGACATGTACCAACAGGGGATATGCTTTTATCACATTCACTAACCGGGAGGCTGCACAACAGGCTGTTAGAGAGGTATGTCTACTTCCGCCTATGACTACTATTACTAGTATTACTACTCTACTACTATATACTACACACTACTTTTACTACTACTACTTACTACACACTACTATTACTACTACTGCTACTACAATTACTACTACTACTACCGTTTAATACATAGACCTTATCTGTAACGTGTACAAACTTACTTATCTTTTTGTTAGCCCCATAGTTAACACCATGCCGCTACGGACCCATTGGATCTTTTTATTTATTTATTGTTTACAAAATTTTTAGAAATGTTACAAAATTGTTATTGCTACCAAAAAGACATGCACTCATTCAAAATGTTTGTCGTAGATACGATTAGCGGAAAGAGTCCTGATAAGTGTTTCAATTCAAGTTACTTCCTTGAACACGAGTAGACTCCTCCGCTTTATTTATTTTTTTTATAATTTTTTTTTCCATTATATCTCATCACCACAATTCGAAGCGATGCGCTCGATCAGCAATCTCGATTACTCTCGAGGCTCGTTGCTGAAATTTTCTTTTTCTTTTTGTTTCCACGACTTTAACCTTTAATTTATATTTAAGTCCCATGATGTTATCGCCTCGACTTTACGGAAACAATTGGCTCTCTTAAAAGAAAAACATTTCGAACGAGTGTCGTTACACATCTATGTGGCTTGTTCATTGTTCGTACATATTAGCTCCGTCTTTCTAGTAGTATCATGACTGTCATTGTGGTAATTGAAAATCGTATTCGGGATCGGTATCTGATGATCAATGTCGTTGGTGTCAAAGAACAACCCACATAATCACTGTCTTGATACGTATATGTCCCTGACCATTTATTCATGTTTAAGTACATAGTGACATCCACTTGATCCCAGACATTTTTATAACAGTGAAAGATGTATTAATGATGTCCTGCGGATGAGTTTCTTTTTCCAGCTCTCCTCTTTGCTCAGTGGGCAAAATTGGGAGTGGAGAACCTTGCTGAAAGAGTAATGAGTACGAAAGAAAGTACGTAAAAAACCAAAAAAAAAAAAACAAAAAAAAAGTAACGAGAGAACGTACGAAAGAACAGAAAAAAAAAGAAAGTAAAGGAAAAAGAGAGAAATGATATTTACGAAATTCGAAAGAGACAAGAGAAAAAAAATGTATCTTCTGTGGTTTAATTGGTTAGGGGTATATTTACATAATTGGTTGCAACTCAATTGGACAGTGACAATTTTTGTAACAAAATTTCAAAAAAAAAAAATTGGTAGGCTTAAAATTTGTTTACAGGAGCACACGATACGCGTACGCCGGTTTCCTATATTGTGAAGACTCGAGCGACAAAGCGCATGCCACTTTCTCGCTTTCGTGGATCCACGCCATGCTAACTACTTTTACTAAATTGTACATTTTGAGAACGTTTCCTAAATTTTTTTACTATCTGTCGTAATTACTTAACACCTATATGGACAAACTCATCGGAACAAAATTAGGCATGTGTGTGTTTTTCTTCATCCCACAGCTCGATAATCACGAAATAAGACCCGGCAAGTGTCTGAAAGTAAACATTAGCGTTCCTAATCTACGACTTTTCGTGGGGAACATACCAAAGTCAAAAGGCAAAGAGGAGATCTTGGAGGAATTTGGTAAATTAACAGGTAAAGTGAATTCGAGGCGTGTGTTACCTACCTCATACCTATACCTACCTGTCTACCTGTACTGTAACATAAGAGTGGTAGCTTTTAAGTAGTGGTTGTAGATGGTATGGAACTATGGAGCATCCACGCGATCACAATGATTGCGTGATCTGCGACACCTGTGACACCTTCGATTCTGGTCAGTCTCCTTGCCTCTCGGTTTATTAGTGAACAGTAACACCTCTCTGGTCCAAGTCTTCTTTTCCTCTCATATTTAGGTTGAGTTATGAGTTATATCTGCTTCCAGCTGTATACGCGCCGAGTACCTTGCTCCAGGCTCAATCCTAATCACAACCAGACACCATTCGGATATCATCCACCACGTATCACACGCAGTCCTCGCCCTCTTGTCGATCACTGCTCATCCTCCCGTCGACGCTCACCGTCAGATCCTTCGAGTCCTCTCAAGATCATCCACGATCTCGTCGACCCGTCTCGCTCATCGCTTCCTTCTTCGCAACCACCGTCCGTCCTGCGTCGCGGAGGAGGAAGATGCGAACAGCGTTGCGGGTTCCGGAGGACCTGGATGTTCGAGAGAGAGAAAGAAAAAAAAGAAAGAAAAAAAAAAAGAAATATACACCAATGAAACCCTGTAACTCGTGTAGACTAAGAACATCGTATTCTCAGATCTGACGAACGCAAGCCATCCAGAGATCATTTTTATTTGGATCTTTGATTTGTGAAAATGTGATTCATGACTAAGCCTCAAGCATTGGGGGTACGGGAGACCTGCGTGGACCGCTGGGGCGTGTGGCTCGCTAACAAACGGACAGGCACTCCCAACCACCCATTCATCCATTATCCAAATTCTATTTTAATCACGTATCCCAATTGGAACCGACAATCCTACTTCCACTTTCCGTTATCCAACTCGTCCTGGATCCCTTTAACCTCTCTTGCTCTTTGTATCTTTGACGCTCATGCACACACGTACATGTGTGTGACTTCTCTCTCTCTCTCTCTCTATCTCTCTCACTCACTCTTATTGTCTCTATATCTATCTATCTCTTTCTCTCGTTCAAATTCTCATTGACTCTCCGTGTCCATTTCCCATGGATCCTACGACTTTCCCTTGTAACTATCCCGAAGACACACCTATCGCTCCAACTCTCCTTTTGAAGGTCACTTCAGATTATAATTAACAAAAACCAAAAAACAAAAAAAAAAAAGAAAAAAAAATACCTACGCTCAGTCAGCCAATAAGCAGGCGAAATCACAAGAGGCAAGCTTAATTGGCTCTCTCCTTCCACATTATTCTTACAGCTGAATGATTATGAGATTCGGAAAGGCAAAAAGATTGGTGTTACCGTATCTTATAACAATCACCGCTTGTTTGTGGGAAATATTCCAAAGAATCGAGACCGAGATGACTTGTTCGAAGAGTTTACAAAGCACGCACGTAAGTTGACAATTGCCCTTAAATCAGCAGGCAGTGACCAAAGGAAGTTCTGTGGGAGAGAGCGATATGTACCTTAATCGGTGGGTCAGTTGTGTTGTAATTGCAGTCGATTAGCGGAGGTGCCAGGTGGGTTGGAATCTCGCCCTCTCGCATCTTAAATAGAAGAAAAAAGAAAAAAAAAGTTCAATCACAATTATTTCGAATATTCGTCAGTCATTGGTGGTCTGTTGTTCTCCCGTTGGCAAATTTTTTCACTGGACTTTGCAAAAAAAAAATTTTTTTCTTTCCATTCACACCTATCGTAAACACCTATCACGTATCAGCTACGGAATGCTTTTTCTGACGGTGTTTATTTTTTATATTCTGTTTTTTAAAAAAAAAAAAAAAAAGAAAAAAATGAAATTTTAGAAAAGGAGCCTCTGTCCACAATTTGTTCATGAGTCGCGAGCGAATGAGATACACTGTATGGGAATTACTTTATTTCTCTCTTTCTTCTCTCACTCTCATTCTTTTTCCTTCTTTCTCCACCTTTGGTCTTATTTTTAGTTGTATTGAGAAAATTTTTTTTTTTTCTTTCAAGTATACTCTCTCCTCGCATTTTTACACGCAATTCCTGATTACGTATCTAGTATTCGCCGTGCGTTTGTCTCGTTGTGAATTGGCTATTTTGTTATGATTAGTTCTCTTCACCCATCCGTCCTTTTAATTATACATACATATATATATAGTTTTTCTTGTCTTTTTGTTTCTTCGCATTCCCTTATTCTTTCGAAATTTTCTTCCCATCGAATCTCTCTCTATCTCTCTCCCTTCTCCTCTCGTAGTTTGCACTCTTTTTATTTCCGTTACTCGAGACATTCGTGCAAGAGTTCGTCGCATGTCTTATCAAAATCTCCGGGGTGGTAGAACGAACGAAAAAAAAAAAAAAAAAAAACTAAAACTTGCGGGTACGTAGCTTAGTCTCGCTGTCTCCCCCTCTAAGGTACAAACGTTACTCGTTGCGGAATTATATCGATCGCGAGATCAAAAAAAAAAAGTGATACCAAAAAAAGAAAACAAAAAATTTACGTAGGTCTGTCTTTCGTTTCCGAGAAGTTACACGGAAATGTGAAGCGAAACAAAATTTTTCAAAAAAGCAAAAAAAATTTACTAACGGCTGGCATAACGTGTCAATTTTGACAAAGCGATGTCTCGTCCAGGTCTGTTTGAGAACGATGTCTTTTTGTGTGAAACGACGAGTGCCTGAACCGTGATTCATTCTTGTACTTTCTCTCTGGTTATTATATTTTTCTTTTATATATATATACATACATATACACATATATATGCAGGACATTTTTTGTTCAGTGGCTATGTGTCTGTATATACTTATTTTTATTATTTTCTTTTTTTTTTCTTTTTTTTTTTTCTTTTTTGTAATATACGCGCGAATGTGTGGTGGCATTTAGTATATTCTTGCATGAACTCTCAGAGTCTGGACACAGAGAGGAGACCCAGCGACAAAAACACATCCCCGGAGGCAAGTGCCAAAGTTGATGCGATGAGGCGAAGGCTGATCGAATTATTATTCATTTAGGAATCATACGTACGAGAATAACATTGCGTTAGGAGACACACGAGGCATATACATTTTTCCAACAATTTACGAGACTCTTTTGTCTTCCTCCTCTTGGTCATTAATTTACACGCGTCTACCTGCGTCGTGGGACTTGCTTTAAACGCCCGCCCGCCCCCCTGCATTAGTATTGTGACTTGCGGGAAAATCCAATTTTTCTATTTTTTTCCCCTCCAATTACATCGACCGTCACGTTCGTTGGATGGGAGAATGTGTGCCACGGTGTTCGTTTTTGCGAAAAAGATATTAAAAAAGAAAGTAATCATATAGGTAGAAGAAAAAAAGAATAGAACGAGCATCAGAGCTTGGCTATGTAAACTGAGAGGAAGGAGAGGTGAACCATATCCTACAAAGCATTGCAGTAGATAGTCGGACTGTCTGACATACGTTATTTTATTTTTTATTTTTTATTTTTTCAAATCGCGCAACCACGGGTCAGTCTGAAGTGTTCGTAAATTCGTTACAAAGAATCGTGTGACGTTTACGTTAAGAATGTCTATAGAATTTTGAGGGGTTTTTCGAAAAGAAATTTCTTTTTTCTCTTTCGAACCATTTTATCTTTACACGTTACTCCGTTTATATGTTTTTTCGATCGAGGGTCGACCCGTTCATTTGACTTTTTTTTTTATCTTCTTGATCTTGATTATTAAGCCGAGCTTGGCTCGGTGATAGTTTTTCTCTTTTTCTTATTTATCTCCATATTTTTTTAATCTGTAAACATCTCAGACCGACCACGTGTCCGGTTTTTTTTTGTTTGACACAATGTCTCTCTCTCGCTCCGTCGAGTGTATTCTATACCGTTCTCTCGTTTTAATCTTCACGTTTCGTTTCAAAAGCCTTTTTCTTCACATTGAAAACACGTATGTCGTCTCCTAACATAGAAAAACGTCAGGTTCCCCTTTTTGTTTGTCTCTTGTCGAAAGAAAGAAAGAAAAAAGAAAAAAAAAAGGAAAGCGAAAGACATTTCAAAGAAAGCATTCACAGTCACAAGCAACTACGGCGAAACTGATCGTACGCGAACATAAATTTTGATTATTTTTTTTTTTTTGGAATTTATTTATTTTTCTTTCTTGGTAAGAACAGGAAATATACATATATCTATAGAGGAACGTCAACATCCTCCCCTTCTACCCTTATCACACACGCTTAAAACATACGCACCCGTCGGCATGTCTCGATTAACAGCGGGTTGACTTACGGACGTTTCGCGAGCCTTTACAGAAATGGAAGAAGGAAAAAAAGGGAAAAGTACGGGAAAAAATGAGAGGGAAATGACAATAATGATACATACAAACAACCACAACACTGTGCCAAGGTTAATGGTAGTACAATAATAATAATAATAATAATAATAACGCGCACTTGACTATTCTAGCCCCCTCCCCCCCCCCCCCC